TCCGTACTAGAGCTCCGTCCCTCTGCGCACCCTACAATTCGAGCACTGCACACCATATCAGTAGATCCGGAAAAATTAGCTGAAGCGGAAAAAAATGCTTGTAATTGTAGTAAGTACATATTGAACCCGTATTTTGTGACTCATTAATCCTTATTAATTTCCATCGATGCTTCTAAGACAATTTGGTAAATTCCAACTTGTATACAAATCTTTGGAATTTGATTTCTACATATCAACATTACTGTAGAGACGTATAGGTAGAGTCCGGAAAATAAGTAAGTAATAATTTATTCCAAATAGCAATGTCTCTACTACAATGTTCGAAATAGTAGTTTGGCCCATTCTAAAAGTGAAAGCTACAATCAGTAGCCAAAAATCTAAAACATACATTTAAAGGTTTATTAATTTTGAGCATAAACTGATTTTATTGTGTTTTTATTTTTAATTTTTTTGGGACCTTTACCTTAACCTAACCTAACCTAACCAAATGATCTCATCAGTCTCAAATTTTAAATTTAATAATTATTTTGTAATTAAAAATGTATAAAATGTTTAAGCTAAAGATTGAAAATTTAAATCAAGGTTGTATGTAAATATGTTTTGGTACCTATATAAACTACTTTATTAACATTAATATCATCAAATATACATAGTAATATCAATATACCATAGGCTGATAGACTGTCTTCGCTCAGAATTTTTTTTCTTATACAATGATATTATATGCTTGAACTCAAATTTAACACCGTCTATAACGGTGACCCACTTGTAACCTACTGTACAGCCAAGCGACAACCACTTGCCCACCTTTTTTATTTTTTTTTTTGACGCTTTTGAAAACTATACTGAACATTTTTGATTTTGATCTCTTGAATGCACCAACTAGATTCACTAACTACCAAAATAAATGGTCCTTAAAAGTGAAAATACGAAATAAAAAACCAATGAACAATATTTCCGACCTGTTGGTTATTGTTGAATTTTAAATAAATTTGTATAATATTAATAAAAACTATGATTATTATTTTGGTATAAATCATTGATTTAAATTTTTTTAAATTTAAAAATTAATTTATATTATCAATATCTATGTAATTTGTATTTAATTTACGGTAAATTATTTACCGATTTCTATAGATATTTATAGTTGATTTTTAAACCGTTTTCATATCCTATTTTTAAATAAAATATTTGTAAGTTGTAACTAACTTTATGCATTATTTACCAATTTTTTATGTACACGTTTAGATAGTATATAAGTTAATTTTGAAAACTAAATAAATCTTTCTAGCGGAAACACTGAAAGCAAAATGGAAAAATATGAGAAATTATTATAGCGCAGAATTGAGAAAACACTCTTTTGGAAAATCGGAGGCTGGATCTGAGGATGTTAGCAATTCTTCGGGGATGTTATTTAAATGTTTGTCTTATTTACGAAATACAATGTAAACTAGAATTCGTTTCACAAACATTAAATCGAATTTCTACTCTTCAGAAGAAGCAGACATCGAGTCAAATTCATCGAATGCATATTATAATGTGCGACAGGCTCAGGATAATGATAGTTTTACTTAAGATAGTTCGAATATTAATGATGGTGATCTAGATATAATACAGACTTCGATGTAAGTCCTGCAAGTGGATTAAAAAAAAAGGAACTACGATGTCATGCATATAGATAGGCTGCAGCAAATAATTTTAGACGGGAATTATTGAATATGGAAACTAAAAAAAATAAACTTTTAGAAAATGAGGAAAAAGAAGATGATGATTTGTTATTTTAAAAAAGTTTATTATTGCCTGACCTAAAAAACTTATCTCAAACACAGAAAATGAGAACAAAAATTAAATTTCAAGAGATTTTACTTCAAGAAACTTTAAATTTACTACAACCAAGTACCAACACCAACCACACGTCAAACAGTGGTCAACAGTTATAGCCCACATAGTGTCCAATGGCATATAAATAATGAGGGAAACAAACTTTCAAAACTAATTTTTGGTTTAAACTTAACGAAGTCATCTTGGCGACTAAAACTATTCACCACAAAACAATAAAAACGCGGAACTGGCCCCACCACAAATTGTAAAAATCGCTGGAAAATATTGCTCGCATCGCAAATCGCGTCCAGTGCGGCCGAGAACCCAAATTAGCGAATAGGGACTTGCGGTGACCACGTAGCCGTGCGAAATATATAATATTATAGGAAATTATATTAATTTAGTATTTACCTACTATACCTACATTTATACGTTTTGAGAATAATCTTATCTTTCCGTATTATTTTGACTGATAAGAGGGATACCCTGATGTCTGATGAATGATGATAAGCCGATTTTGGTTTTTTTTTTGTTGCGAAGAGAAGTTTTTATACATTAACACATACATGATACATTATTAGAGGGTGCTAATTTTAAAATTGGGGGTGCTAATACCTCCTAAGCCCCCCCCTATTGGCGCCTATGATTATAGCCTACCGGCTATCTGTATGTTAAGTAATTTTTCTACGGTAAAATGTCAATGCTCGCAACAAACTTCCATCAATACTCATTAATTTCAATATCGAATTTCTTATCCACAAACCGACAAACCTCATTAAAATTATCATTATGTATATTTAATTCCCCTGCTATATTGCATAATATCTATAATAACGGTAATCTTTAATAATTGAGTAATAAACATTTTATTATAGCACCATGTCTTTAAATACATGATTGTCATAAGCATATGACATATTAATTTATTTTTATATTACCTATTTATAATAATATATGGACTACGATAGATTGAACTAATTATTTCCCAAAACAAAAACATTTAACTATTATAAATCAATAATTAATAAAAATTAATAATTATAATAATATTATACCTAGTGGCTAGTTGTTATTATAATATTATTTATTTCATTATACGATATACCTATCCAACCATCTGGTTTATTAACTTATAAGTTATAAAATTTATAATATTACAACCAACACATTTTTCCTGTAAATCAATGCGTATTTACTATAATATTATGCTGTAGTGGCTGTACCTACCTAAATTGACTATATGCGTAGACGGATAACTGACCACATAGACAACGAAGGATCTGGCCAACCAAGTTATGAAGATGATTACATTTTGTTTATTTGAATTAAATTTATTATCTTTGTATTGAACTTACCTACAAAAAAAACTGGTTTTTTTTCTCTGTCTCTAATGCTCGACATCTAACTATAAGCTTATTAGTTATTAATAATATTATAATTGTATTTACCTACCTGAGCCTCCGCAGTCCGCACACGACACCGCAGTACATTGTACCTACATAACAATATAATGTCAATCCCTATATCTCGGAAATCATAGGAACACATTATTTTCATTGTTATGCATAACAACTCATGTCAAACAGGCAAAAGATTAATGGCCACATCTGGGAACTAAATATCTACTCTGACGGCCAGGCGAGTTTTTCAAATATTTTTTCGGAGACCTATGTATTGCAACGAGTTAAGATCAGCCTAAACTCTAGAACGCAGCAAAAAACTCTAGTACTCTACCGTATTTTAGAATTATATCATCCAAGTTCTGAATAGAAAAACTACTTTCCAATATCACTGAATTTGTTTTAAAAATGATGTTACAATTTATAGAAACGTCGATACCTACATTCTTTGGGTTTTGGGTGAACTGCCTATACTAGGAAACACCTTGAGAATTACTTCCATTAAATTAATAAATAAATAGATAATATATTTTTATACATTGTTTAGATATTATGTTATAGCATCTTGGTCCAATTAAAGTACCCAAATAACTTATCAGTTATCATATTGTATTTACTGACTTACAGAATTTAAATAAATTTACATTTCAATTACATGAACTAGAGATTTGTTTCTTCATATTATCATTTTGTTTAATTGATGATATGTGTACATGTGGTTTTTTTATGCTTCTTAATTCCTAAGTGATTACAAATGTATATAATATACACACAAAATCATCTGTATTTTTTCATGACTCAAACATTTTTATTCACCTCATGAAAATGACATAATATAGCTTACACAATATATTTTCCAAAAAATTGTTTACAATAACGTAATAAAAAAAACGTCTTATTCACTATGCATAATAATCAATCAAATTTTCTGAGGTAATTAATTGTTTGAACACATAATAATAAATTATTGGAAGATAAGGGTAATTAATAAACTAGATTTTAAAATTATTTACTTATTGTAAAATTAATATAATATGTAATATAACAGTTTTCATCTAAAAAAAAAACATACTAAGTAAATTGAATAATTAAAATAAAGTTATAATTGAAGTTTAAAAAAACATAATCTAAGTTATAAAATACAATAAACTAATTAATTATTCATAAATTAATATTACGTTACGATAATAAATTACAATTTATTATACAATCATAAAATTATATTTGTACCATAAGGTTTGGAATAACAATGAATAATGAAGAATAAAGTAATAAATATGTCAATATTTAATTTACCAAAATATAATTACTTATTAATTATTGGTTTATTAACATTAGATCTGAATAATTCATAAGGGTGTTTCAACATAAATAACACATCCCAAAATATAATATGTAATTTAACAGTTTTCATTTAAAAATAAAGCCTAAGTAAATTGAATAATTAAAATAAAGTTATAATTAAAAATTAAAAAAACATAATGTAAGTTATAAAATACAATAAACTAATTATTTATTCATAAATTAATATTACGTTACGATAATAAGCTACAATTTATTATATAATCATAAAATTATATTTGTACCTTAAGGTTTGGAATAACAATTAATAATAAAGTATAGCATAATACATATGCCATTATTTAATTTACCAAAATATAATTACTTATTAATTATGGGTTTATTAACATTAGAGCTGAATAATTCATAAGGGTGTTTCAACATAAATAACACATACCAAACTTATAGAACATAATATTATATTTAATTTAAATATCTTTAAATTTTCAGAGTTTTTAAAGAGTTGCTTTTAAATTGTGATATAAGATTTTGCTTGACAATTTCTTGACCACCAATGGATTTTGAAGTAATGGTCAGTTTAGCATCTTCTGATACGTTTCGTGCGAAGTGGTGTGCAACAAGACACACAAATAATCCACTATCCCAAAACTTAAATCCATGATGTAAATTATTCACATTAGTATACTTCCAACGGGTTGTACATAAAAATCTTTTCTTTCTCATTAAATATTCCAGTTTTAAATATTTCAATATTAATTGTTGGGTTCTTATACCACCCTGGTATCCTCTTCCAACACTATCATAATATCTAATTGATTGGTCTTTAAAATTAACATTAATTAAACTCCACAACCTATTTGATTTGAAATAAATAGGGATGAACAATCTTTCTTTTGAAAATATATCAACATTTTTGGTCCAACGATGAATGCGGGAATATCCGTGATCAGAAAGGGCGGTAAAAAAATTTGTATTGAACGCATATAATGTGTTGGGAGAATAGTGAGTTATCAATTCCATGTATTTATTTATGATTGTTTCGGATAAACAACAACCATTAAGGATCTCCTGATACATTTTTTCTGCTTCATCATTTGGATCAGTTCGGTCACTTTGATTTTTGTTTCCTTTACGTCCAAATATACTATTGCTCCACATCTCCATATCTTCTAGATTCTCAACCTAGAATCATAAAAAATACTTATTGTAAAATATAACTTATTTCATACTTATTTAAACGACTATAAAAGACTATATTAGTACCTAACAAAAAGATTAATAAATCATCATTTTTATAACACAGGTTACAATACATCTCAAAAATGTTATAAGTTAATATACAAATAAAACTTAATGTACAGTTGGCTACATCATAGCATTATGAAACTACACTTTGATAATACCCATAAGTTGTAAATACAAATTAAACAATTAAAAACAATTGTAGCAGTATCCATATAAATGTATTAAAATTATTATTACTCTATTTTTTTAAAATCAAGCGATTTTATATGGTGTTTGATGTATGATACTCAATAAATCACATAGATTCAATGTTTAAATTTGGCTGCTTCTTAATATTAAATCTAACGATTAAGAGGAGGCCACAAATGCATAATATTTTGTCTATTTACAAGTGCATAACTTGCAAGAACATTCTGTGTTCATATATGATTGTACGATAATTCATTTTTGTAGTGAGTTTTGCGTATATAAAATAGAGCAATTTAAAAATTAGTCATTGCAAGTTTAAAAACTCAATTAATGTAACTTAATATTTTTACATAAGTATACAGTATGTCAACGGAATCAAATTATAGGTACTCTAATATAAATCAGTAACTTATACATATTTCTTAATATGGTTTGTGGAACATTTAACTATACACTGTGCAATGAATTACTCTGACTTATAATTTTTTTAATCCTTGCACTCACTACTCTGATACTTAGCATGCACAAGGCAATTTTTTTTTTAATGAGAACTCCTATTTTAGATTCTGAGCAAAGCGATGATATTGATTTTAAAATGTGTTTTATCTGTTTGTTTAATTTTATTTCTGTCATCATCTAACAGAGAAGTAAAAATTCTTAGATTTTCAACTTTCCACAGATTGTAAATTTATTTTAAAAATAAATGAAAATAATGAAATAGCTCTTATTTATGCAATTTGGATTTGTGTTCTCTGTTTCCGTGGAGACATGGTAATGGTATATTGGTATATAATATAATAATTTGTTTTTGAACTGAGAAGTATAGTATAAGTGTATAATTGAGGGCTAATATTATAGTATTAAGATCGATAACACAAGAGTTAAGAAGATTTGTGAGATAAAATAACACAATAATAATAAAATAAAAAGGGATATTCACTTTAAATTTAATTTTGGCTCTTTATCTAGTCAATTAATGAACATGATGTGTTTTTCTTTAGAACAACATTTATAAAACATTTTAATAAAATTAGCAGATAACACTTGTCTCATAAATCAGATATTCAAATGTTAGTTGTGTACAATATTTGAAGACTTAAAAATTAACAGTATTTGAAATTTATTACTCTAACACTTTTTCTGTTTGTTCCCTTCCAACTATATGATCGGACACTCTTGTTCTACACCTGCATAGGACTTTAACCAATTTACCTTTACTCATACCAGCTATTTTAATGGAATTATATAACATTTATAAGAAGTGCCATAGGTGAATTGTCCATCTCTGTCAAATTAGTTTATTTAGCAAGGTACACCGATTTAATATGCATCTATTTTTCGGTCCTCCCCTCCCTCTCTTTCCTTATATGTTTATATACTCTCGCCACTTCAAAGCATCCTCTTCTCATGACACGTCCGAACCTCCTCAATATATTCTTTCTCATTTTGTCAACAATTGATGCCACTTCTACACTACCCCTAATGAATTAATTTCTTATTCTAGCCAACATGTGTCATTCTATACATCCATCTTAGAATTACTGTTCTGTTTCAATGTCCACTGTCCAACATTTTGATTCATACAACATGCTTGGTTTTACAACTGCATTATAAAATCTACTATTTAATCACAGCGACATCCTCATGTCACACAAAATACCTGATTATCTCTACTTCGTTCATCCATACATAATCCTATTTCTGTGGTCATCCTCAAAACCAACATTCTTTTAAAAACAAACCAAATTACTTGAATCTATTCACTTCACACACTGTCATTAACCATCATCGATCATCATCACATGTCTTGTCCCCACAATTTCTAGATTACTTCCTCCAAAACCATAAACTTTTGCCTTAGTTTCACTCCTATCCCAGTCACTTCTTTTCAAATGCTGTTCACCACTCTTCTAATAAATCGAGCACTGCTTCCACTAATATGCATAATATGGCACCTCATTAGTAGGTACATTACCATTATAAGTTAAACACCGAAGCAAAATAATCACATAGAAGGTTCATTAAAAAATACAATAATACAATATTAACATGATTATAGGTACGTATTATATAAGCACTGTAGGCTCCAGAACTATTAAAATGAAAATGTTTATAACCACATTTTTTTTAAGGAACTAGAGGAAAGACCGTAGGAAAGAGATTGTACCTACCTACCTAATAAAAATAAAATATTAAAATATTATTTACCTTTTAGATCAGTAAACCAAAATATATAGGTAGGTTATAATTAATAAATATTCCTCTCGATTCTCGATATTCTCCTTTCAATCTACGTTTATTTAATTATTAAAATGTATTAAATAATAAAATGTTTGGAGCACTAAAATCTTATATAATAAACGTTAAAACAATATAACTAATATAATAGTCAAAAGTTATTGTAAATTTGGAAACGTTAATTTTATGATTAAACGCAAAAACGCAATTAAAGGAAAGCACAGCCACGGAGTAATCACTGAGTTTAGAACTACTAACGAATGCCAAGTGGTCGTAAGTCACTAACTCGTAATAAATAATTTCTAACAAACACTAAATAGTAAATAGGTATTATAGTGAAATATTATAGTTAATATTCTCAGCCACAAATCACAATACGAGTGTCGGCATCTATATTGGATAATAAAATGGACTAACTAGTAAATACCCACTGATGGAGTCTGTTACTCTGTTATCAGTGAGTACTGAGTATAACAACATAACCACGGACCACGGACTAAGATATCTTAGTCCGTGAACATAACCAAACAATATCGAATATTCCATGAAAATAATATAAAATGGAATATAAATCACATACACCCATAGACGTCTATGTACCATAGAATATAGATTAAAGATGGTACCATGGTACCACCACTGTTCTATGGTACCACCATAGAACGTACCACGGACCTTGGATGTTTGTTACTCACATCGTGACTAACGATGTTTATAGATAATCATAATAGTATCATTAACCTTGCGTGGCCACTATTATTATTATACGTATATTAAAATCTTAAATCCCCAAATCTTAAATATTTGCGCCTACTCACACATAATATAGAGAGATAATATACAGGTTAAATATCGGCCTATGATATTAATATAATGACGTACGTATTTTTCAACACCGTCTAACTCCTAGATCCTATACACATATACCGCAGCGTATGATTTTGTTGACGATATAATGACGAGTCACCGAAATAGGTGATGGATGTGCGCAAGCAACTTCGCATAATAATTATAATAATAATAATAATTATTTTCCAAAGGTACAATAAGGCGGTATCTGTGAACAAATATGCGAGAACTGAGAAGTCGAGTTGCGCATGTGCATATCGACCACCTATTTCGGCGAAACGTCAATGACGGAATGACCAATGGGCAATGACATCGGCAAAGTTTTTTTGTATTGATTTAATACGCTGTGGCTCCATGCAGGTCAAACTGAGTCGCCGAAACAGCTGTGGAAGGACAGACTGCCGCCATCTAGCGGCGTTATGGTGGAAACTTAACAATACAAAAAGTACTTCTCTATTATTATGCTCGAATTATATAATAAAATATCATATAGGTTAAATTCATTATATCACTAGATGGTAATATCTACTTCACTAAGGCAGCGCTAGTGATGCTAAAAGGAAAATATTCCCCGAACTCAGCCTGTTGTATTACATTCCGTGGTCAACCCCCCCACACTCTCCAACCTTGTCGTGGACAGTCCTGTATATTATCTTAGTCCGTGATATTTGACAATATTTGTCACCTTATCACTATCGCAATTATATGTGTAAACAGTCTGTTGTAGGTATTCTAAATATTATCTTAAATCGTGAACATTATATAGATTCAAGATTTTCAGGGAAGAAATTATTGGAGTTCAACAGCGTTCAAGAAGTTACCCGTGTAATATACAAGCGATACGTACCGGACCCTTATCGGACTCAGACCTCGATAAGAATCGGTACGTAACTATTTCATAACGTAGGTATAGATATCGAATTTTTTTCTTGATGGCAGTTTGATATTTTTTATCTAGGTACTTCTACTAGGGTTTTTTAATGATTTTTTCTGACTGCACAAACATATTCCCACTCTTGGGTTTTTTTATTTTTTTTTTATTTTAAAAGCCTCTGGTATAAACTATGATAGCTGAACAATTAAATAGGCCCATTCTTGCCACTTGGCTTATAGTAGGGAATTTGTCTACGCAGACCAAACCCTACTGTTATTCGTTGAACTGTCAGGGGTGGCTCCAGGGGGGCCCTAAGACCCCCCCCAAAGCTGTATTTCTAAACAATTTTATACTGTTAAAAATAAAATTACAAAAAAAAATCATTGACTTTTTCTGAAAATTATGACTTGGTCACCCTCTATTCATGTATCTGGAGCCGTCCCTGTGAACTGTACCGGCTATACTACCTAATACCTACTATCCTACTGTCTATTGTATACTGTACTATCTACTTTTTGTTACTTTCATAAGACTGCATATAGGTACTCAGAAACGATATGTAAAAACATATAAATCCCAACTCTCTCTCATGATATACCAAATAAATTATTTTATATTAATGCACTATTTTTATTGTAAATTTATATATAATAATTTTAAAATTTTGTTATTAAATATAAGTAATAATACTTACTAAGAATTATTTACTTGAAATATGTAATTTGTAATAATAATTGTTTATAATAATAAAAACAATCAATTGACCACGTAGGTATCTAATTTCTTTATAATTTTTGTAATATACTTTATATCATAAAAATGATAATTTTGACTGAATCATAATGCGTCTAGACCACTACAACTTTTACAAAGAGAAATTTTATGGATATGTTTAGTATCTAATAAGTAAAAATACTTTAATTGGTTCAACTAAAGAAAACTTTAAGTTATTAGATGTGTTACCATTTGAGTCTGTATATAAACAAATAACAATTATACATATTATAATTAAACGCTGAGAGATTTCTGGATATGAAAAAGGTAATAATTAAAAGAGAAAATAGGTTATTTTATGTTAGAATGGAGTATTCTAGAAAAGTGTTTGGTCAAAAATTCATATATTATCTAGATCCAAAAAACTACAACTTAATGTCAGTAAATATAAAAAGGGACATATGCTATATAGAAGAGAATCATATAACTATAGAAATGAAAAAAAAATTCAAATTTAGTTATTTTCAATACTTGAATAAATAATAAATAATTTTATTTAACTATTGTAATTTAATATTAGTTATGATTAGTATTCTAATTGCATAGATTGATTATTCAGTTTTTGTCCGCTTTTCTTATTTATAATTAAATTGTTCATATTATGTTGTTTGACTCTCTACCACCATCACAAGCATGTGCTTAAAGGTGGTAAATATTTTTTTTGTTTTAAAAAAAAAAAAATTAAAGAAAATAAGTATAATAATGAATAATATAAACAATTTTTAATTTTAATAGAAACATTTTTTTTTTATTTTGAAGTTTACTCAATTATTCTTTTATAATATACAATAAAATATATCATCCTGAAATTCTTTTTTTGCACTGCACAAAGTAACAATTTTCACTGCACAAAATGTGTCTCACTGCACACTCAAAAAAAACCCTGTGTCTTCTACTACTATATATACATAATATATTCGATATATACATATTTTACGATATATTAATATATATATATATATTACAATATATCGGTACCTATACTACGATTTATCCATATATTACGATTATGATGTATAATATGAGGGTGTACCGAGGATGAATATATTAAAATAGGTATATCTTTTTTTTATGGCATAACGACACAATTAAATATCGGATTACAACCCTGTATTCACGGATCGGGCGGCTGGGTAAATTTACGGACCGGACCCGTATCGGACTCAGACCTCGAAAAGAGTCGCTACCTACGAAACTATAATTTTTGTCGATACGTAACTATTCCATATCGATACGTAGGTACTAGGTATAGGTATCGATTATTGAAAATCTTCATGGTCTGTGCGTTCTTACCCCCTAGCCATCAAAATAATTCAGCCATAATAATATAACCAGAGAAAGTAAAAGAACATTGAACAAATATTTTTTTGGTTTTTATTCTAAGGTATTATTTGGATTAATTAAAAGTGTTATGTAAATTATTGCGCCTTCGGTAATGCAACGCTGCAATTCTTGATGGAAATAAATAATTACTTTTTAAGTAACTTTCTAATTTAACTAGTTACATTTAATACACAAATAACTTTCAAACTTAACGAGTTGAATTTAATGCGTAAAATAATCCTAATCTAACTCGTTAGAAAAAAAACTAACTACAGTGGTCTGAAACGTTATTTTAGGCTCTCAAAAGTCCAATTTCAAAATGTGTTTAAAAAAAAATGACATAACTACAAAATCATATGTTCCTTAGCTCAAATATAAAATTTCACAATCATACATTTATTTTTTCCTTTTTAATAACTATTTGAACATGGAAATTGTACGTCATGGACGTTTTTTTTCGTTATTATTAATGAAACATAATATTTTATTTATCAGGGAAATTTAATTTTTTTTAAATTTAAAATTTAATGTTAATTCCTTTAGGTATATTAATGTTATAAGACGGATTAAAAATTATGCATTCAAATTTTTTTATTGACAATATACCAAGCTATTTGAAAATATTTTTAATTTTGAAATTTTTATATTTTTATTTTAGCTTGCCAATAAAAATTACTCAATTTTACACAAAATATGATGTATACATAAAATAAAGAAAGTTACCAGGATTTTGAAAAAGTAATTTTTTTTGGGTCCATACTCCATGAGGAATTATTGCGTATACAGAAATTATTTCTGTGAAGTTTGTTGCAAAAAAATATGAACAAAATAATAATGAAATAGTAATAAAAAGAAAATTCCAAATTAAATATCAAAGTTAATAAATTACCTAGGTACAAAATGTATGTTTTGTTACAAATATTGCTATAAACCTTACGAAATAATTTCTGTACTCAATAATTCCCCTTAGACGCAAAAAAAAATTACTATTCCAAAATCCTGGGAACTTTTTTTATTTTACATATACATCAGATTTTGGGTAAAATTTAGTCTGATAAATTAAATATAAGGCCTCATTAAAAATAACGAAAAAAAATGTCCAAGACGTACAATTTCCATCTTCAAATAGTTATTAACAAGATGATAAATGTATGATTGTAAAATTTTATGTTTGAGCTAAAGAACATATGATTATGTAGTTATGACATTCTTTTTTTTTCAACACATTTTGAAATAGGACTTTTGAGCATGTAATTTGTAACAGACAAATATCATAATAAAGAATAAACTTATAATTTAACACAATTAATTCTCTATCTCTATATGCGGACGAATACAAATTTTAAGCATGAAATGGGAATCGGGAACTTGCAATAACCAAAGACCGGATTTATATGTTTTTACATATCGTTACTGGCCACTGGGTCTATGCACTATGCAGTCTTATGAGAGTAAAAAATGTGGACGATTCGTTCAATTCTGAATGCTTAGAAAAAAGTTTTTTTTGCATATTTGAGAATATTTTATGGGTAAGAAAATATGTAACTCATTGAGCATATTTTGGAATATTTCGTAAATTGTGGGCAAAAATTTGTATTTATTTTAAATTTTAATACTAGGGTACTATGAAAAAATTTTTTGAACATTTGTCATTTACAATTTATTTTTTTATTTATTTTCATTTTGATAAAAAGAAAACACGCAGTGTTATCAAGGTTTATCTATGTATATCTACTGATAAGATCAACGTATACGTTTATCAAATATTCAAATATCCAAATTTTATTTTTGTGTTTTAATATTATATACTGTTATATTTATATTATATTCCAACTTCCTACTCTTACTAAAGTGCAATAGTATTCCATTAGGTATAATACGCAACTTTTAATACCTAATTAATATCTCACTATTAAAATATAGTTGAAAAAAAATTTTAAAAAATAAAAGCATATTAAAGCATATAATGATGTTTTTGATTATTTTTGCATATTTTTGCATATGTTTTAAATTTTTGAACGAATATAATGAGAATATTTTAAGGTTTTTTAGAGAATATTAGCATCATATTTTGGTTATTTTAAGAGAATATAAATGCGGTCTTTAGTAATAACGAATAGAACTACCTAGTAAATTTATGAAAACAAAGAATAACGAACAACAGATTTCCGGTGGACGTCGTGCACTTTCACGGTGATAACAATTAACAATAATTTATGACTAAAGGCTTGGTCACGGACTAATATATATGACGTATGTCTTAATCCGTGGCACGATGTAGGTAAAACGGTGTAGTCACTCGAGCTTAAAAGCGAGTCCTAATCAGACGGAACTTTGGTTAGCGCGCCTTCCACCAGGTAGAGCTAAAAAGGCCGATCAACAGACTGCTGCTATCGAGAAGGCCCCATTATAATGCCGTTTTGCGTATTATCCGCGGTAAAGTTATAAAATTTCAGACTTCAGTGTTCATTCAAATTTATAATAAATATAATCAAATATGCACTGTATAATATTATAATACTGTTTACAGATAAGTTTCTATCTTTCAGTGGTATTTTATTATTCCATACAGATAATAAGTCCTGCAAGATAAATTATTTTAAAATGTTCATGTTTATACCAGAATACTTGTATTAGCTGTTATGTAGCTTTTTAAAATTACTTTTTACTTTTAAGAACCTTTCAAAATTTATGGAACATTTAATTATAAATTTAAAAATAAATTATTGCCAGAATACAAAATAATTTGATTAATTAATTTTATATTTTTGGTTTTTATAGATATATTCTCTTTTTGTTATTTTTTTCTGTCTTTCTAGTTGTATTTTTGTTTATCCCTCTGTTATTAGTTTCATGTTGGCAAATATTTCCGAAAACGGCCTTCTTAGCGCTTCCTGGTGGACAGTTGTGTAACTAAACTTCCGTAAAAACAGTACTCATTTATTTCTCATACGTACTGATAGTGACTACATCGTTTTACCTACATCGTGGTCCGTGGCCTTGGTTACACAATGCGAGCCATGAAGATTAGAGATAAGGAGACCAAACTCCTATAGCCGCTCGTTTATAAAGTGGCCTGACAAAAGTCGCACGGTTATTCTGCCACCAGGAGCGCGACGTTCGATAGCAGTGCTACGTTTTACAATTATAGCATGTAGTATAATAGGGATTATGTACGTTTTTCGAATTAAACTTGATTTATTATTCCTAAAACATAAAACAATAGTAATTTGTATTTTGTGTTTTATTTCTTACACATTAAAAATGGTTAATTGTTGTTTCATGCCAGGGTGTAATACTGGTTATGCTTTAGATGTCGAACATAAAAAAAAAATTGGATTAAAAAATAAAAGTTTGCTTAAAGCACCCAAAGTAAGAAAACATACTATCTTAACCTTATTTATGAATAATCATTTTTTATTTAATTATTTGTTACAAATAATATTTAGAACACAGAGCTTTTAGCAAGATGGCATAGAGCTATACCTAGGAAAGACAAAATGCTCACAGAAAAGTGTTATGTGTGTGAAGTGCATTTCAAAGAGAATGATATTCTAATTTATGATGAGACTATCTTAAATGATGGAACAGTCAATAAAATTAAAAGAATTAGACCCACATTAAAAGCTGGAGCAGTTCCATCTATATTTCCGAACTTACCATTTTATTTAACAGAGCATACAATTAAGAGAAAACCTCCTCTCGAAAGGTCTATAAATAGTGATAAAAAGAAATTTAAACCAAGTCAGGCATATTTAAATACAATTGAAAATTCCCAAGAAGAATTTTCATTTCAGTATTTAAAAGAAAATCTGAATCTATTAGAAAAACCAGACAATAAATGGATGTTTGGATTAACTGATGATGAAGTAGTGCTTGCAATATGGAATAGTGGATCTGAAAAAAGAATAATAATTTCAAATGATTTAATAGTAAAAGTAAGCAATTATTTGGTCAAAAGTAAAATAAAAAACTGTTTAAACCTATAATCGTATTCTATATTAATTCATATTATTCCAATTCTTTATTCATTAAATGTTGACAACTTTTTTTCAATGGTTACTGAAATTTTTTGTGAATTTTAAACTTTTTTATAGCAAACACCTTTTGAACTTTGATTATATATTTAGGTATACTTTAACCTGACCAGGTAATAAATAATAAATCATAATTTATATTTCATTCGAATTCAAAAAAATGAAAAAGAACGTACATTTATAGAAAAGTACGTATAAAATAAGTGGTAAAACGTAGCACTGCTATCGAACGACGCGCTCAAGGTGGCAGAATAACCGTGCGACTTTTGTCGGGCCATATTTTGTATACGGAGTTTGGTCTCCTTATCTCTAATCTTCATGATGCGAGCTAAACGACCGAGTTGCCTAATCAGTTACTTCAGTACAGCCACTCACATCGTGTGACCATATTATCATATATTATACGAGTTAATGTCATCTGAAAGCTGGTCAGTGACTCGCGTACCAGTTACCACGACATTTTTTGTTTTTACTCGCCTGCTCGCATTCCCCCTCCACACCACAAGCAGCAGCTCACATGTGACACGTACTGTGTGCCTGGTATTATAATTTTGATAACTTAATTAAGTAAGAAATATAGGTATTAATAAAAATAATTTCTTCTATATTTAATATTTAATTATTTTAGATTCTGAGAGGAGCGATGAATGTATTGATTTTACAATGATGTGTGTTTATTTTTTTAATTTTTTTTTTTTTTTGTGTGTTTACACGATAATTAGTCGAAATAATGCTTCGATTTTCAACTTCAGTATCTTGTTCGATGGGAAAATGAATATTATTGGTGGATTGGGGAGGTCAAAATGTAAAATTCCCAATAGTTTTCAAAAGCGCCGGGAAAAACAACGAAAATATCCCCCGACTTGTTGTGCAACACCACCACCACAAGTTGGTCACAGGTTAACCGCCGTAGTTTACATTCATATCATTTTCGGACAAGTGCTTATCACTCTGATAGCTCATCACATTATCATTATTAAATAAAATAACTAAAAGAATAATATAATTAATTATGGTTATAATAAATCATGACATAATCTCAACAGTCCATATTTGGTTCAAGTCCGCGCAAAACGTCACTTGCTTACCCGAATTATCATATTGCCATTAAATTATTACTACTATACACTACTCTACTTCACGTGCTTACCGAAGGATCTGACCGTAAAAAAGTTACGGTCATACATTGTTTTTATATCATGTAATAAATTATACTTTTAACTTTAATCTAAATGTGTATGAATTTCATGACAAAATAGATAATGTGCTATAATAAAATTATACATTTAAAAATTATTGTACGTCTTTATTGTTTGATTCCCGCCATAAAATTATCACCGTTTATCATATTTTTATTATAATAATCTAAGACCGTGATAATAATTAATACATTTGGGATAGTGTATTTCGGGACAAGTGCGCAATGCCCACATTTTGTCAACATCTCATGGATAAGAAAATTTCGGCCATTTTGTTGGCTTCATTAATATTACATTGTAGGAATAGGGAGTGGGAGTCTATCAAATATTTTTATTAATCTGTGGCTTTAATTTAAAGTGTAGACTGTAGAGTAATTTTTCGTTATACCTATTATGATAAATAAATACCGAATTTTAAATGAATAATTAATTAGTATTAATTGTATGTTATATATTTAAAGTTTAGATGAAATAGTCTGAATCGTGCAAGGGTAAATCACTAAATTCAAGGATCTTTGGAACTGGTAACTAAAAAAGACAATATAATAAAAAATGCTGAAACACTGGTATTTTTATAGCAGGTACTTAGTGCAAATTATTATTTGAAAGTAGTTTTTAATATTACTAATTATCAATTTTCATCACTACCTATTAGGAGAGCACCAGTATACAAATGTAATAGGTGTTTGTCACATGTGGGAACCAGATATCACTGCACTTTATGTAAAGACTACGATTTATGTATGACCTGTTACAAACAAGTAAAGCATCAACACTCCATGGAGAAACGGAATGTTAATTTGTACGACAATTCTTTCTTCAGATCATCAGTTCTTCGTTACTACCAAGAGCATGCAGGAACTCCAATGTCTAAAAAATTTATAAAAAGGATTATTCGTTTACATAAACACGCTTCCAAATGTTTAGGTTGTAACAATACAGATTGTAAAAATATGAGGGGGGTGTTAAATCATGGTGTGATATGTAAATTCAAAATTGATGGCAAATGCCCTATTTATGATAAATATTTTGAAATTTTGAAGTGCTGCTGCACTGTGTATTGTACTAAAGCTCCTTCCCACTGCCCTTCTGCCCACACAAACTAGATCAAGAAACATTGACTCAAAATATATCTCAATTATAACAAATAACAACAATAACAGCAATAGCAAAGACCAACATTCAACTTCAATAAAAAATGATACTCGTTAACCAACAAAATCCAATGTTTCTACAGGACAATGGTAACCAAAATGAATAATCAGCTTCATTAACCTAATCTACTTTTTTTCCCAATATAAATTATGCTATGCCATATTATATCTATAATCAGATTTTGAATGTCAATATGTTATCACTTAAATATTGAATATGTTCATTTTCATCTTCTAACCGTTAATTTATTTTTGGAGAACCGATACCGGAACCCATACTGATAAATTCTAAAGATTCCAGTCCCTGATGTATACTAACCATTTACAGAGCTCAACATTTTGTTTTTTTTTTATGACCACATGGAAAACACAGTAGGTATTCCCAATGATATTTTAATGAGGAGGTACCTATTACTTTCATGCACTGTAGCAAACAATATTATTTTATACAAACAAAATCTTTTGACTTTCAACTTTTGATCGATTGTTAAATTATTACCTACAAATTTGAATATAAAAGAAAAACATTTTTTTTTTCTAAAATCTATGGTAAAATTTTTCTTCTTTGGCTCTCAGGTAGGACTCCTATATCCCCTGGTTAGGCTTAGTAAATCCGCCACTGTAATTTTTCCTTTTAAACATTCTATATAATAATAATAAATATAATTATTATTATTATTATTATTATTATATAAAAATATTTTTAAGGGATATATTATATAATTTATAAAATAGAGAGTTGTCAACTAGATGGCCTTATTCAACGTATTTATAAAATTTTTTTTTATATACAAATTATAAAGAAATGTATATACATCAATTAATCCTTAGTTACAAGAGAGCCGTGTAAGGCTTCTTGTTTGCCTTTATTCTATAAATAATTTAACATTTTTATTTTTATTATATTATATAAAGTAAGTTATAAATTTAAAGACATTGAGGCACATTTTTATCCAAATGAATATTATAAATTAATAATGTATTATAACCTATATGTTAAATGTATATATTTTTTTTGTATTTAATTTGTCTGCTTAGTTGGACTGCATATTATGTTTATTAATTTAAAACCAATACTGTAAGAAATAATTGTAAGAAATTGATATATATTAAGATTCACATAATTGCATAAAAATGAAAAGAAAAAATATAACCTGTTCCAAAGCTTTTAACTTAAAAGGAATAATTTATCAAATAATAGTAGTAATAAGATATTATATTATATTTTTATGTAATACTGTATACATGTAATTAGTGATTATGTACCTAGTATGTAATTATTATTGGGAACAATTAAGTAAGGCAATTATTATTATACAAATTAATTTTAATTCTTATTGTTTTCATTTAATTTAGTATACTACTATACTCTAAACAGTTTAAACTCAAAGTAACACTTATAATATTCCCTTGTTATGAGCGTCAATAGTATCGTTATTTAATGATTCGAGGTCTGTGGGCTGTTGTTAGCAAATTCAGCCCAATCCCAGACAGCAATTTTTTGTTTAATAATATTATTATAACATTATAATAACAAATAATATTAGTATAACGTTATTATAATACTATCATTACAAAATGCTGTTTTTTTTTTTACTAATTTGATGTAAAATATAAATCTGAAAATGAAATTCTGGTTATTAGTTACAATAACCTAGGAATAGTTAAACAAAGTAATGAAATACATTTCAAATAATTTCTGTGTAAATGTGTTTGGTCTTTGGGCCAAAGAGTGAAAACAAATAGTGCGCTCATATCCTCTTAAATCATATCTCATATATAAATACAATCTAATATAAAATTAAATACTTGCTTTTTTATTTTTTTAAAGTATATATATTATTAGTTTAGGCTTAGCTTTAGAATTAACCTATGAAATCTATTTTTAAGAATTACATGTAATTATAACTCTAAATTATCCAAGAGTTTATTTCCTGTAACTCCAAATGATCCTTGTGTTTATTTAAACTCGTGAATTATTAATATTTTAAAATATCAAACATATTTTTATGTAAATAATTTTGTTTATTTTGTAGTTTTTTATTAAAATTGTTTTCACATTTCCCATTTTCATTAATTAGATAAGAAAAAATATTTTTTTTTTATAATTTTTTAATAAATATAATAATAACATTTATGTGTGTTGTAACAACAGTTGGTACACCTAACAAGTTAATAACATGTAAATTGCTTTTTTCATAAATATACTAATAATAATATATGTATTGGATGTCTTATCACATATGAACTACTGAATTTTATTGTATGGCTACTAACTATTACACTCATTTAAGGGAGGATGATGGTAGCCTGCTTTAGGACCTCCCTGCATATGCTATTTTTCTGGACATTGATGTTCTAACCAACAGAAACAGCCATCTAAAATAGCATAACGAATACCATCACCTAGACGCTAATTCCTAGCATTATTATTAGTACTCTAAATAGTGAAATGTAATAAAATTAAAAACAAAATAAATTAATATGAAAAATAAAATTGTTGATTTCACGTTAATTAAAAATTAAATTTAGTAAGTTAGTATGTACCTAGTTATTGAACAAGTTAAAAAGTTTAAATTAAATTAACTTTAACATTTTAACTCGTTAATGCCCAACCTGGGATTTACCTAATTTACATATTTCATAGTGAAATCAAATACGATACTAATACCATAGAACATAATATGTTATTACACAACATTTTGAAGACCCTGTATATCTTATAATCATCTATCTAAGTATATTTGTAGTAAACATAAATACTATTGGACTATCAATTTGCCAAATTTGAATGACAAAGTAAGGAAAACTGCAAAAACTCACAGGAATATCTCAGATGTTAGCAGTATTGTCTGTAATAGTGTCACTTGATTGTAAAAGAATCCATAAACTATTAAAATATTAATAATATTCAGTAGGTATCAGTAGGATAGGTATATTTTTACAAAAGTTGTGTATGTTTAAATGATTAAACTGACATCAACATTTTTAAGCACAATGACAATATATTGTATTACCTTTGTTTTATAATTTGTACAATTTCTAAATTGGTAAATATTTTCAATAAATTGTACAAATGTAAGTACTTGCTGATTATTCCAATGCTGTAGAAAGACATTATTTTTTTTCGGGGGGGAGGTCCATAATTTTCTTCTCTAGTTATTGCAATGCAACAATATCTAATTATCACCCCTTGGTTCATTAAGTGTATTTTCTCTTTTTATGTTTATATTTTTATATTAACAATCATGCTACCTATATAATATAATATAGGTAACAATAATTTACCAACATTGTTGTAAATCATAATGTATTTATTAATATATTATCATTATATCAATGTGTTGTAAACAAAACATTTAATTTTTTGTTCGATTATATATCATTACAGTTTACCAACAAGAATACAAAACTATATTAAGGCTATCGAAAGCTGGTCGGTTTTTCGTGCATTTAAACCTGCAATAAGCGGGAAAAAATATAGGTACATCCAGGAGTCCAATTTTAATTTTGAAAAAGTGAGGATTTTTTCGCATTTTGTTTGTTTTGTAGGAAGTGTATATTTTTGGTAAATGGAAATTTTTCCCCCGATTGTTTTTGATGCAGTAGTACATTTCCCCCCCATTTTTTTTTAAAAGTTTATTATTGACTAATAATATTGAATTTAATAATATAATATTACTCATTATTTAATATAAAATTATTTTTTTTTTTAAATATTTAATATATTATAAACATTTTTTTCATAAATATATAGGTTATAAATGTATATGTTCGATCCACTTAACTACTTCAAAAAAAAAAATAAGAATATAATAAAATATAATTAGGTAGGTAATTAATAAAAATAGCTAAATATTCCGACATAAAAATGATGTAAAAAACATTTAATTACTAATTCTTTTGTTATTTCTAACCACATATTTTTGGGCCTTTGTTCATATTTTTTTTTAATTTTTTTGTTAAGACTACCAGTTCGGATATTTTACAATTTAATAATTGCTGTTTAATTTTATTCAAGTAGTTCAGTTGATCAAAAATATACATCTATAATTTATTATATTTATGAAAATATTAGACAATAATAATTAAAAAAAAAAATAATTTAATATAATAATAATTTAATAAAATAATATTTTCATTTTAAACAATAAAATATTATTATTAAATAGTAAATTTAAAAAAAAATATGTTGGGGGGGAAATGTCCTCATCAAAAATATATCCGGGGGGGGGAATGTCCTACTACAGTGAAATGTGAAAACATTAGGGGGTAAAATGATGGCGATTTTTTCTGTGTGTAATATTAAAAGGAATTTAAATATATTTTCAAAATTAAAATAGTGTTTTAGGTAGGTACCTACCTTCTAGCTACAATTTTTTTTCCACTTTTTAAGACTTTCGTAGCACATAGGAGATGAACATTTTTAATCCCAAATTATAGTGACGTGTGAATTTGCGTGTGTACGTTTCCAAGGAATTTAGGACATTTGACACCCAATAATATAGGACAATTGACACCGAACATATCGTATATAATCGTATAATACTATAATATAATAATATAATTGAAAAGTTTATTCTAATAAAATGAAAAATAAACGATTTTGTAAACATTAATTTTAAGTTTATAATAATGAGTTAGATTATACTAAGTACACGATTCTTTATATTGATACAAATGAGTGAATGAGTGGATTATGGTTAAATATATATCAGTGTTGGGAAAGTTCCTTTTAAAAAGGAACTCGTTCCCGTTCCTCGTTCCTACTGTAAGAAAGGAACTCGTTCCCGTTCCTCGTTCCTGTCCCGAAAAAAGAACGCGTTCCCGTTCCTTTTTAAAAAGGAACGCGTTCCCGTTCCTTCATGTTCCTTTTTTTGCAATTTGAGTGGTGGTCAATGGTGTATTTTGCGAACAATTTTTAAGTCAGAAATAATCGAACCGAGAGAGTTAACCGATTATTTTTGACTTAAAAATTTTTCGCAAAAAACACCATTGACCACCACTGAAATCGGTTAACTCATTCCTTTCTATCTGCACCGATTTTTAACAAAAATGATTTGTCTTAGATTTTTTTGTTATAATTCAAAAGTTGTATAGCGTAGACTTGAAACTTTATATATATACATTCATATTGCATAATTGCATAATATTATACATGTATATTACTATAGTAGTATAGTATACAGTGTATAGTGTGTACTATACACGATACACCACACATAGAGACATGCTATAGGTTATAGGCTTATAGCCCATAGGAGTATAGGACATAGTATAATACAACAATCTGTTTTTTTTTTAAATTCAATTTATTTGAAAAAATATTTTTATACTGACATTTCGTATTTCGTTTATTGGTCCATGGCGCGCGGAACCGGAAACGACCCGGAACGCGACACGTAGTCGATCGACGGCGTCGCGGCTCAGTTTTAGCGCGGAAACACACTATATGCGCTTCATAAAATATACTGTGGCACTCAACGTGTTAAAAATAAATATATTTATATTTTTTTTTTCATTATTTGAGGAACGGAAATTTTCGTTCAAGTTCCTTCAAAATAGGAACTCGTTCCCGTTCCTCGTTCCTATATTTTAAATGGAACGCGTTCCGAGCTTCGTTCCTATAAAAGGAACGCGTTCCAGGAACGCGTTCCTCAAGGAACGCGTTCCTTCCCAACACTGATATATATAATATGTAGTGTAAGTATAGGTGTGTTCTTATAAAACTAATAAAACAATAATATGCCTAGTCTTATATTTGTGTTGTATAAAATTCAGTTTGTTTGATTTCTATTTGTATCCAATGCTCGATCATTAATCTTGAATTGAAATCCGTCAGAACCCACTGCCGCACCCTACACCTATATTACGGCTTACGGGGATAGCCAGCGATAAGAGAGTCGCAAACCGAAGAGCAGGAAAATAAATGATACTTACTCAATTTTATAATATTAGGTAGTAATTATTGGTAAAAATGTTAAGACGTGAGGCACAGTTATAATAATAATATAATAATATGTTTCTACTTTTTGTCACTCGACTTCTCAAACCGAAATAATATGAATCGGTTTGCAGGATGTTTAAGACATATATTTACGTATATAAATAATGATATTTACGTAGTTGAAGGTGCCTACCTATCTATGATAGTACTCGACGCGAAAACACTGTCCCGTGACCGTCAAGAACCGCAAACGGACTTTACTCTTCAGTCATAACGAAGAAATACGTGAGTATACTGGATACTGGATTAGTTTGGGAACCCATGGATTCCTGGGGTGGCATGGGGCGCGGGTTGCGGGGGTCATGGGCTGCAGGTTTTCGTGTCGCGGACTACATCTATATTATGATTGTGACCTTTTTTGGGGGACGAAATATTTTACCTACCCGAGTCTTCGCACGACAACGGTGCATTGTACATAATATAATGTTAATCCCTATATCTCGGAAATCGGAGGACAACATCTCCATTGTGATACGAGTAATACCTAACCGTCTGTCAAACCGTTTAATATTAATGGCCACAGCTGTAGAAAAAAAAATGTATAGGTACCTACGTTCTGTGGTAAGACGTTTGATCGTATATGTGATAGTCAAGAATGCTCTTTTATTATACATCTATTATACCTATAATATTATGTTTGGTTATAATACATTATATTAATATTGTTCGGTTTTAAGCGGCGGGTATTTCGTTCGATAAAAATTAACAGTCTGTATAACAGCTATAACATACAATTATACTTACAAATGGTCTGAATTATGTGCAATATGTAATATTGTTATAACTAGAACGTGGATTTGTATACATTTACATATTTATTCTGGTTGATCGTATGATATTATGCAGACTTGGGTAGTATTCCGAATACAGTATTCGGAATACTATATTCGGAATACTTTTTAAATACTTTTTTTTGAATGTATTCAATACGGTATTTTGAATACTTTTTACGAGTATTCGGAGTACAGTATTCGGAATACTTATTTTTTTTATATAGGTATAATCTAATATAATATTACTGATTATTACTTATTAGTTATTAACTATATTAATTTGAATATAATTTATAACTAATAGATAGCCAGATAGGTGTGTATTATCGAGATTATAATAATGTTCATTTAAAAACAAAGAATTTAAAAAAAAATAATATTTTTGATATTGAAATCTAAATCTACTAAAAAAAATATTCGAAAAATATTTGGAATACTTTTTGTGAAGTATTCCAAATACTTAGGAATATTATTATCATAAAGTATTCGAATACATACTCTGAATACTTTTTTTTAAGTATTCGGAAAATGTATTTGAAATACTTTTAAAAAGTATTTTACCCAAGTCTGAATTTATTATTATGCTATGTGAGCCCGTAATTTGACATACCGATTTAAACTATGAAACTTTTAAGGTACATAAATACATAAAATTTTACATTCAACATTTACCCATTTTTTTTTTTATTTTAAAGGCTTATTTTACGATTGTAAATTAATATTTTATGCATATTTCGGTGTTTTTTTTAGAAATTTTTGCAATATAGAAAAACTAATTTATATTTTTATAATGTCAATTAATATGGAAATAAATTATTAGATGTAATTGAGTGAAAGTGTAAAACGGTTGACAGAAACTCTTATGTAGTTATACTAATTATTATAACCACTAACTGTTCACATTTTACAAATTAAAATTTCCATAGCTCCTTCAATTATTGACGCATCAATGTAAACGACCCGTAAAATACGTTAAGTTAAAAAAATTAAACTTTACATAAATATTATTTAAAAAAATATGGTTTCTTGTTTGCATTTCAAAAGTTACCCCTCAAACTAATCCTTTATAATTAATAAAAAAAAATTATTTAATATCTAACTTGTCTAGATTATATGATTAAAAACCGGTTTTGCATAGGTAATTTTTTCCTAATTTTAATATTAGATACATAGTAAAATCTGCTGTCACATAAAATTAAGAACACCCTGTAGGCTGTATTTATAGGTACTAGGTACATAGTTCACAGATCTTTTGTAGTGTTGTTAAGAATGAAGTGATCGGTTGCAAATAAGGTCAACGCAGTTCTGTATTAATAGCCATTTATTTAACTATGAATAATATAATAAAAATACCGCTGGCGGTTCCGACTTCCGCGACTCCAGGCGGGATATCGGGCACAGCATTCTACTCCTACCACCCACACGACGCCGTCGGCGTGCCTAAAATCCCTCGTCGTCCGTGTCCGGCAGGCGCAAATTGCAACCGTCCTCGTCCGACAATGACTGGTCTTCGTCCCGTCTATTTGAGGACTGGAGCATGTGCTTAGTTTGTTGACCGGCATTCGTCAGCACCTCGCTAGTCTGAGCTGGCGGATATGGAGGTCGGCGTATGGGAGTTCGTATCGCCTTCGCGAGTCTCGGTATTCGTGAGAGCCGTGACCCCTGGGTTGCTTGACCTTGATCTGCCATTTGTAAATACCAATCCACTGAAATATCACATATTTTACAAAATTTGTCTTGCGTGTTTTCCCGGGCCGAGTTGTGGGGCGGTAATGGTAAACCGAGTCCCAAATAATTGAGTGAATATTGGGGCTAGGTAAATTGAGTCAGAAAAACTTTAATTTCCTAGGTAAATTGAAATCGAAAATCTGCTCAACTCAGCAGAATAATTTTTTTTTGGGGGGGGGGATCAATACCCCCTTTGTATTTTTTTTGCTGTTATTTTAGAAAATAAGTATATATATCTAGACTAAATCGTGTTTAGTATTTATTATATTAATGTATTTTTCAGTTTTGTAACTAAAGTTAAAAAAAAATCAGTTAAAAGGTAATTTAATAACATGGTTTTACACCACTGAAACTCCGTTATGTTGAGTTCGTGCGATTTCTATCCGATTTCTATTCTACCGTGCTGTAGCTGTTCTGTTTCTCGACACGGGTGTATTAAGGTCCCCACACACTGCAGCGGTGGCGGTATAGCGGTTACGGCATAATATTATATTTAGTTAGTACGAATAAATATTTATGAAACTATTATTTCTGTACAAAATGTATTATTGTATTAGTGTTATTGTTATTGACTAAAAATACCAACTATTGGTATTCAATGTAGAATTTATGGTATTTAAAGTGTAAACTGTACAACATTTAGTGTACAAATTTTGGAAAGCCTTAAGGGGTTTGTGGGGGCAAAGCCCCCCCCCCACTATTACGAATGCTATTCAATGGCCCATCCCTTCTCTAAACAATTCTTAAACACACTGCTGCCATGGGTCAACCAGAAAAGGTAGTCAATTCGTCTTTCCCAAATCCTGGGGAACCATGCCCTACTACCCTATCTATAGGCAGTATATCTGCTACTACACGTAATAAGTAGTGTATAATATAATATAATAATATCGACTCACCTTCCAGGTCTCGAGGTTTGTAATCCTACTTCGCAAGTGACTCTTGTGGACGAGGATGCCGGTGGATAGAGATTAACACAGTTATGTACAAATAGCACCTTATTTAAATGGCCGCACCATAGGGGCGCCCACCATAGGTTATCTCTAGGTATACGGTCCCCACCGTCAGTCGAACGACCGACGCGCGTCAAGTGGTTGACGGAAAAGACTTAAGGTCCCCACACACTGCACATTCTATTGTCTTGGCTTCACCGCTGCGGCGAGCGGTGAAATGTGTACTACAGCAATCCACCGCCACCGCTGCAGTGTGTGGGGACCTTAAAGGTTAGATTAGTGATCTATACCGGCGTAGCTCTGATACCAGATTATACCCTGTACGCCGTAACAAAATATAAAATAATACGCACCCCCTATAAATGTACCTAAATGAGGATACAATAATGTAAGATTATTAACTATATTAGCTATGTTTATTAGATATTTTAACAAAAATTGGCGTGTGCTGTCGACGGCGAAACAGTGGCGTGATGAACTAATTTTTGGTGAGGAGCAAAAATGTATACAAGGTACATCTGAAGGGTCTGAAAAGAATTATGCACAAATTGACAAGGAAGCCCTTGCCTTGGTTTTTGCCATTAAATATTTCCATCAGTTTGTGTATAGAAGGGAATTTATTTTGAGGACTGACCACAAGCCTGTAGTCAGTATTTTTGGTGAAAAGAAAGGAATATTCCTCTTATGTCAGCACATAGACTACAGCGTTACGCTATATTTTTATCCGGTTATACTCATAAAATATAATTTATTAAAGGTCTAGAAAATGGTAATGCTGATGCTCTATCAAGATTGCCTTTAAGTGTAACTGGTAGTAATGATACAGAGTGTGATAATTTTTTCATTAATATGGTAACTACTAATATTAAGTCTATTGGAGATTTAGATATTTGTAATGAAATAAAAAAAGATGTTGTTCTGCGTGATGTGTTTATTAAAGTGTTTACTAGGAATTGGCTTGATAACAGTAAGGATGTTTCACTAGATCTTAAACCGTTTTACAGTAGGAGACTGGAATTGTCTATCGAGCAGGGTTGTTTGATGTGGGGACATCGATTAATTATTCCTCAAAAGTATAGGAAACAATTGTTGCAGGAATTGCATTGTACACATATGGGTACTGTCAATATGAAAGCATTGGCTAGATCTTATTTATGGTGGCCGGGTATGGATTCTGAAATTGAATGTATTACAAAAGAGTGTAAAGAATGTTTAATTCTTAGTGATAGTCACCTAAGAGTGTGTTACATAATTGGCCTTGGCCTGAAGATCCTGCACAAAGAATCCATTTAGATTTTTTAGGACCTGTTAAGGGTATGATGTTCATAGTTATTTTAGATGCATACTCAAAGTGGGTTTTTGTGAAAAGAATGTTAAATATAACATCTAGTTCTACTGTTATGGTGTTAAGAGAGTATTTTGCAACTTGGGGTATACCTGGAAAATTGGTATCTGATAATGGCCCTTCTTTGTGTTCTGTTGAGTTTGAAACATTTCTTAAAAACAATGGTGTTTTTCACATTAAAACTGCTCCATATAACCCTTTATCAAATAGCGCAGCAGAGAATTTAGTGAGGACTTTCAAAAATTACTTAAAGAAAGTAATTTCTAGTACTAATAATAAAGATTGTATTGATACTGGTGTGTTGAAATTTATTTTGTCTTATAATAGCACTAAACACTAGATAGAACTCTTTAGTACTATGGTACTTTAGAAAGGTAATTTTTCGATTATCTCAATAGTTATTTAATGCCACAGGAAAAACCACTAAAAATAAGATTTTAATTTCTAATGCTTTGTTTATTACCACAAAACCAATAAAAAATAATAATAACTATTATAATTTAGATTCAACTTACAGGATATTATAATAAATAAAAATAATATCCAGACTGACAAACCGTCTCCACTCAGAATCGTTTTTCTTATATAATGATATTATATCATCGAATTAAAGTTTTATACAATCCTTTATACATTGACCCACTTGTAACCTACTGTACAGCAGAACGGCATCCAATTACAAACTTTTTTTTTATATATATATAGATATAATTAAATAAATAAACCTGTAGAGTTTGTTTGTTTGAACGTGCTAATCTCAGGAACTACTGGTTCGAATTGAAAAATTATTTTTTGTTGAATAGTCCATTCATCGAGGAAGGCTATAGACTAAATAACATTATGCTACGACCAATTAATAGAAGTGCTCAAACATGGATTTTGAGATTTACGATAGAAATATTTGTTTATAAATGGCTTCTATTGGTTATAGGAGAAACAATAATTTAATAGGAATAGTATTTATTTATTATTGGTTGCTATTGGTTAATCGGGCAGATCAAGTACGAGTGAACTTGTTTTCACATAATTATTTAGTTAATTAATTGAAGGGAGATAATTGAATTTAAGACCTAGTCTATTATTATTTTTTACTATTAGGTACTAATAAGGTACTGTGTCGGGTCGTCGGGATACAATCGTTCGTCTATAACTGGACTTTTTGGTAGTCTACCGGTCTTCTGCTTACCTATTTCGAGTTTTAAAAGTCTATAATAAACACTTTACACAATTTATTACAGTTTACACTCAACATCCGAAGGAGGTTATTTATCTATAATTATCAACGTATACTGACAAAGGTAGGTACTGTGTAATGTATATGTACGGACTGCGCAGTGGACCAACAACGACACATTATGACATTCCGTTCGACTGCCACGGTTTTGGAAAATAATAATATAAATGATAAACATATAATAAATGTATAGATTGCGATGCCAGGGGCAAGTAAAAAATGTGGGGCCCCTATTCCTATTTTATAAATTACATAATACATCCCCATTCTAAATTAACTCTAGACTTAATTCAAAAGGTAATTTTGTCCATCGATTTTAAATCAAACAATAAATTATTGTACATTTGGTACCTATGTAAGATTAGTTTTTTTCCTAAGACACTTGTTCCAAATTTTAATAGGTACATATAGATAAAGGGATGTATTCCTGGAAAATTAACGTGAAAATTATGAATAATTACTATATAAAGTTTTTTTAAGATCAAATTGTCCTCGATCGAATATAATATGTGTTTTCAATAATATACGACTTTTAGACAGAGATATATGTATCTAATTGTTTAAAAAGATACGTTCAATTTTTTTATACATCTATCCATAGGTACCTAATATACTAATATATAGGTAATATATAAATATCAATGCATGCGTTTTATTCATTGACATTTGACATATTATTATATGTCATTATGTCAATGGTTTTATTACGAATTACGATTGAGTCTGATAATAATCTAATATCATGAATTGAATGTAATTATAATGTTAGATTTTTTTTCAGTTGTTCATAATATTATAATCTAAAAATCTTGTTGGTTAAAATTATAATCTTAATATATTTGATGTTTTTATAAGAATTCTTTCAAATACTTTCGAGTAATCTCCATTTAATCAGTTCAAGTATAATATTGACATATTAATTATGTAAGTACTAAACTAGGTATATGTGTACTCTATATATATTCAGATATTCTTTGATTCTATAATTGCTGGTCATGAAACTAGACTAATAGAAATAGAACTCTAGAATATGTTTAGGGTACCTAGGGCCTAGGGGTACTGAGTAATGTAGGTAAGTGAGTTATAGTGTACCTACCCAGTTCTTGCGTACACACGATATATATTAAAACAATGGTTTCAATAAAAATATTTGTTTTAGATTTGTATTTCAACATTTATATTTCGTGTTGACACCCGGCACACCACCAACATAAGGGCGCAGCAATTTTATTAGTCCTGGGCGTCGTCCGGAGGAGAAGTAATGTTGTCCGGAGGAGAAGTAATGTCCGGAGGAGAATTAATGGTCCGGAGGAGAAGTAATGTCCGGAGGAGAAGTAATTGTCCGGAGGAGAAGTAATGCTAAAGTCCGGAGGAAAAGTAATGCTAAGTCCGGAGGAGAAGTAATGCTAACGCGGTTCCTCCTCCGGTCCTCGATCTAACCGGAAAAAAAAAAAAAAAAGTCCTGGGCGTCAAATTTCCTAGATCTGGCACTAGTCCATGTAGTTTGTACGATTCAAACCTTAACACTATGCCCATCGTACATGTGACTAAAAGTTCTTGATAATTTTTATTCCTAGAAGACTGATAGATTTCTATTAGATTATTAATTTTTAAAGTATTTACGCTTGTATGATTTGCTGACTTCTGTGAAATTGGTAATTATAATTATTATTTATTTACTTACTTTTTATTTGGTAATTACTATAGTCTATAATATTACTAACTATAAATATAGTGACCATAGTACTAAGGTATTAGTTTCATAGGGTTGTAATTTTTCTGTTGCATTGACTTACTGTACTTATAATACCTACCACATAACGTTTTTCCAACATACAATTATAAATGGACTACTTGATACTACATTCTCAAGTCCAAGCGCAACATAGACAAAATACATTTACGCAGAATTTTTTTTTTTTTTTTTATGTTTTTGAGTCAAATCACCCATTACAAAAACGATAGGGAATAATATTTTGGCTACCACACGATTGCGTACGATGTACCTTTTTAAGAACACGATTGCGTACGTTAACACGATTGCGTACGTTAAACCATTAACTTTAATATTTACCCTAAAAGTCAAACGATTGCGTATGATTTGCTGTGCAACGTTGCCAAGTTTATGTTTTTATGTGTAATCAGTAAAATTTAAATTTTAAATTAGATTTTGGAAAAGCGGGATAATTTTTTCGACGTTTATCGTACATTGCTTTTCGAATCGACCGTACATCTCTGTGCTCGATTTCAGAGTGATTGCCATTGCTCCCCATAAGTTCGTTTCTAATTATTTTTATGGGTCTGACACAAATAGTATTATTTGATTTTCTTTTACAAGCTTCTCGTAGTACTTGTCGTTCAATGCTCTGTTGTGAATTTTCAGGGTGGTGGTGTTCATTAATTGTTTCATGGACATACTCTCCATTTGTCAAAATGCTAGCATAACATGATTTTTTGGTACACAGCCATTTTTTAATTCCGTCTTTTCTTTCCCTAATAAACCGATATTTATGTAAATTTAGTAAAACTAGTGGTTTGCCTTTTTCAGAAGTTATAAAATTAACTTTATTTTCCATATTTCACTCGAAAAACACGAAACACGCTAAGAGGTTGATAATCCCACGACGGTTCTTCACTGACTTCGTTTATTAAACGATACGCATATTGCAGTATACATATTATTTTATCGGGTGCGAGTATCCTAAAATATCCTAGTAAAATACCCGATTTCGTTATCGCCTATCAAATATCACCTATCGCCTCTCAATTAATTTTAAATTGTATGTTCTATTAGTTCAAAGCAAATGGCAACAGTGCTTCAAAGTTGCAGATAAAAATCGTACGCAACCGTGAACATTAAATGTTCACGATTGCGTATGTCAATAAAGACCGTACGCAATCGTGTTTCACCGAATATTTTTGAGGATATGACATACAGATTTGTCTCAAAACAATTTAAACATTATTTAATTTAACAAAATATTTTTATTTTTTATTTTGAAAGTCTAATACAAAGTCAAATAACAATTAAATATAAAACATTTATGTCATACCCACAAAAATATAGGTTTATTTTTGTAATAGGTAATTTTACTCTAAGATTACTCAAAAAAATCATTCGGCGTAAATGAGTTTTGTCCATGTTGTGCGTGGGCCAGAAAGAGAAAACAAACAGTGATCTGACATCTTCTTACTAGCCTACCTTTTAAATTTTTTTTGAAAATTGTATTTATCTTTAACATTAAAATAAATCATCATAATATTATAATATATTGTTTATTATTTTAATCTAATGTAGATAGGTAGGTACTTGATATGTACACAAAAGGGACAAAGAATTAATCTGTCTAAAGGAGAGATAATTTTTTTTCCCCATTTAATTTTTAGTTTGTATAGTTATCTTACCTTAAAATAAAAGTTAAAATCTATCATATAATAATATAAATATCTGCCAAACTAATATTTTGATTTTTTTTTTAATATTTTTTAACCTCCGTGGTTAAGAAATTAGTACGTCAGACTATTTATTTTTCAGACCACTAATTACTATTAGTCTTAATCTTAAAATGTACAAAAAAAAAAAAAATTACTTCGATAAGTAGTTTATTATGTATGCATATGATTTTCTTATATTATAATTTATGAAAATTAAGAACACCGCTAATTGTTAATTTGTGTTAAGTACTCATTTCCTAGATAAATTAATAGATATGCTACTAAATCTATAAGCATGGTTAAGAGCAGTTCTAGAAACTAAATAATTATTGTAAGTATTCCTTTCTTATAATATATAAAAAATAAAATATTTACCAATGTCATAATTAACAATTTGATTAACTGGATAAATTATGTCATCAACAATAGCAGGATTGACATATAAAAGGCCTCGGCCGCAATTTTTCTCAGGGGCCTCGATTTTTTTTCTTCATTTACTATATATGAACAAGGTGGTTCCTAGAGTTATTGTATATCCCCCCCCTCCCCCGACCAACCAGCCAAAATGTTAATGAATTATTTTTTGTAAACCAACTTATGATATATTATGTCAGAATTCAGTTTTTTTCTTATGAATAAAAATAAAAAATGACTAAGTTGTATGATTAAAGTGAAACCTGTATAGGGAACAGCACCGTTTGATGCTGACCGTTAAACGCCAATTTATTATTAACGCTGACTTTTACCTCCCTCCCCCCACTCACCAAATAGTCGCTCGATTAAAATTTTTCCACTTTTACAATTCTCTACTAAAACCAAGTATTAACTTCTGACGTGCTTAATGATACACATGATTTTAGTAAGTTACTAAACAAAATGCAATTCAAATTACGAAAAAGATATCATCCAAAATATAATAAAGAAGACAAACAATGAACAAAAGTTGACACAACATTATTTTTAAAGAAAGTAATAGCTAAATATAAAAAACTTAAATACTAAATGAGCAATTCATGTAACATTTTAGATGACTTAGCTATAGTATCAATAATTTGCGTTTTCTGAATCTTGATATCTTTTTCAATTGCCATAAGCATTAAATGTTGTTGACTTATTGTTGATCTGATTTTAGACTTCGCTGATATATAATATTAATTATTGATATCAAAATGAATAAAAATAAAAATAAATTGATATTTCACTATTAATGAAAATCTGAAAGTAACTCGTCACTATACATATAGTCACTTGTCTATACGATATAGTACAATAGATATTTTTTAATTATTGTTAATTGTTCAGTTAAATAAAATGTGAGATGTAGTTATAAAACTATAGTCTATAAATCAAATTATTGATTTCAAGATAAAAGTTACATACTATATGAAATAATATTTATGTATGCAGATTGTTAACGATAAGACATAGATTGTAAGCCATTAAATATAATCCTAATGAAAACAAATAACAGATAAATCGGAGATTGGTATTTTCAATTTTGTACTAAAAATAGAAAAACAATAAGCATACGTATTAAATCATAGTACGTTATACGAACATAATACATATCAATTATCAGTATATTATCACGGTTACCTATAAAAAACATGATGACCGTGTTCGTAGTATACAAAATTCATATTATAATAATATATAAACAACACGGTCAACACTCAACACTGCAGTACACGTACCTAGTTTAGTTCTTACTTCTTCATTTCGATATAGCGCTTATGATAATAATTAACTAGACAATTTATCAAACCTATTGTACAGCCGTACGGGGGCCCCACACATAGACGTTATTGACTTATTGTATTTGTACTCGTTACGATTTTCCCGAAAATGTTGTTGTACCTGTGGGCTGTAGCAAACCCTGTTGTACAAAAAATCTTATTTGCGTTCAAATCATCTCGTTTATCATTACATTTGTACTACACCTTATACGAGTAAACAGCACACCGCACACCGCACACGTATACACCATGACAAAATATAGATTCTATTATATCGTACTAGATAGTAGATACGTGTTTGTAGTGATTGTACACAACACTCAAATTCTATAACATATGCACAGGGCCGGATTTAGGATGGTGGGGGCCCTAGGGCCCATCATATGGCCATATAAGGTTGACATATAACTTACTGCATAAGCTGAAAGGTAATTATCTCGTGGGGGCCTCTTATTAATTGAATCTTGTGGGGCCACGGGCCCCGTGGGCTCTCTCTAAACCGGCCCCGTTTATACACTTCGTCAGTAGCGCAACTAGGAAAATTGTCACTTTCAATGAAGGGCTTTCTATTAAAGTTTTATTAAAAGTTTTCTACGATTATTTTTGTGAATAAAAATTGGGGTGGTCATATTGATTGTTAAAAATTGTTATCCAAATCTAATATGCAAAAACAATATTTTTAGTTAAGACTTAGGCTGGGGCCCCTGCAGCCTGTGGGCCCCAGTGATCGACACTCCCTCGTCCATCGTCGTACATTTAATTGTAAAAAAAAAAGCTCAGGGCCGACACTGATTGACAGGCTCGACATTCAAGTCTTCATCATCAACGTCATCATTATTGCCAACATAATCATCTAATTATTATAAAAATGAATATTTATAAAATAATAATAAATAATATCTATTATAGCCTATAGTTACATAATATATTTACATATAATTGATTTACCTTGTTCTACATTTGTATGCCAATCCAACTCTATATGTAAATAATTATCCAAAGAATGTGAGCATTGTAGAAGGAACTCTTTCACATTTAAAATTCCTATCCCTAATTGTTGGGTAGCAGTCCTAATTCGTTCAGAATTACTTAAACGACATTTCACTCCTCGTGTTACTTTTTGTCCTGCTCTTAATTGTCGAATCATCACATGACTGATACGACCAACATCATTGAGTTTCTCTATAAGGCATTTTATATATTATATTATATGAACATTATAGAAGTTTTATCTTTGATATAATTGAAAAATTAAAACAGATCATATTTCATAGACTATAGTGCGTTTCATTATAACTGCAACTCAAAGCTAACGCGCTTCATGGCGGTTTGTCTCAAACCAGCGATTTTCAAAGTAAGATCGAAAAGAATGCATAAAATCTTCGTCATCAATTTTAAATAGATATAAAGTTTTAATTTTAAAACTTTACGCGCAAGTTTTAGAAACCCTAATGAAAAAACACCACGAGGCGTGTTAGCGTTGAGTCGCAGTTATAATGAAACACACTATAGGTATAAAGTAATAAAAAAACAAAAAATTCTATTTAATATATAAAATAAAACCACAGCCAAGCCAATTATAAATTTGGTTTACAATAATTATGTATATGACTGGTTTAAAATTAAAAAATCATCATGCAATCATAAATACGCTTTTATTATGTATTTTTATATTGTTTATTTTATGCACATTACATAGTTAAAGTTAATGTAGCAATAGTTAATGCATAGTTAAAGTTTTTAATTCAATCTTGTTTTTTATTGTTACTATACCAATTTTAAGATAACTGATGAAACAAAAACACACATAATATTATTATTTATTATATTCTATTTATTTACCTAAGAACCGAAAAAGATTTGGATGGATAACATTGAATTTTTCTTTTAAACCATTGTGGAACGATTCAATGTTGTTGTTGGTTCTAATGGGTAAGCCATGCACCGTAAAAACTTCTGGACCTCTAGATCTGAGCCAATATCTATAAAATGTATTTAAAATTTTATAACTGGTAGCATAAAATTAAATCAATGTTATTGAAAATTCAGAAAGTTTTTAAATTTAAATTCGAACCTGGAGAAATAATTAAAAAAATACATCAATATGTATATTGTTATCTCTTACATGTTGTTTAGCTGTTTGAAAACCTTCTTCAATTAAAGCAGCTGGTAATAATGCTAAAGCTGCACACATCTTGATGCATAGTTTAGCATGAGTATTATTTTTAATATACTGTGTTAAATGTACCTTTCTAATATTTTTCACTAAACTCTAAACATTAAATGAACAAAAAAAAAAATAGATTAATTAAGATATATTATATTATATACTAATAATAATAAACTATACTATTTGTTGTATAAATGAGGTAGGAATAAGAAATTATAGTTGTTGACCTTGCATGAAAATTATTATGGGTATACACTATTATGGGGCAAAGTCAAGTGCAAACATAGTTCAACTCCCGTGTAGTGGTTTAAAAAAAAAAGGTACCGATGGAATATCGAATCAGTGGCGTAATTTGGTCATGGTTGTGGGGGGGGATGAAATGTATGTACATTTCACCAATTACCCCCCCCCCCTCAACATTTTTTTTTTTAATCGTATAAGGCATAAGCTATAAGCAATAAGCACCCCTCAATACAAGAATACAACCATTATGATCTGTATGTAATAACTAGTAGCTGGAATTATATTCTTTTGCATATTTTTTTTGAGTCTATGCAGTCAGACGGGGGTTCAAAATCTTTACAAATCATGAAACAGGTGAGTTAATGGCAAAAGTTTATTTTGCATATTTGGGAATATTTCAAGATAAAAGAATATTTCGTATAATAAAAAATATTAGAGAATATATCGATTAATTTTTGTAGATGTTCGATATTTTTTGTTGCAGTGGCCTAAATAATATAAATAGCACATATAAAAACATTTTAACCGACCGTTGTACAAATATGACATCAGGGAACATGGAACAAAATATAGTTGTCAACTGTTTTCAAAAATTTTCTTAGTTAAAAATTTAAAATAATTAAATATTAAATCAAACTTTTCTTAACAAGTAGTATTTTTTATTATGTAGGTACCTATTTATATCAGGTTTTTATATTATTTTGCATATTATGTACCTATTTATTTATATGAGTTCGTATTATTTGCTTAATTATTTTGCATATAAATGCATATTTTTAGTTCAAGAGAATATTTTAATAAAAAAGCATTTTTTTTGGATACCTATTTTATTATTATTTTTAAAGAATATTGGAAGAATATTTTCAACTTTTTAAGAGAATATTCAATATTAGCATCTTATTTTGGCTATTTTAAAAGAATATAATTCCGGGCCTAGTAATAACTAATATTGTATATACAGTGTGATCACGATTTTAGGTACCACTGAATATCTCAGATGGCTGACTTTGTATTGAAATGGGGTTTTCGGGAGGTGATAGCCGATAGGAAGCACTTAAATACATATTTTCAGACCAGTTTAAAATTTTTAGCTCACTCGGTATGCACATGCGCAATATGACTTACTATTTGTTAAATGGCAACCCCACTTTTTTTCTACAGATTCGGGTAGAGTATTTTTTTTTAAACATTTTTTGTATTGAAAGTTTTTCTATTTATAAAACTGACCAAGTTAGAGAAAGTCAAATTTTGGATTTATTCATAATATGTGTTAAAAGCAATTTGCATTTATAACCAGTTGAAATAATAAAATAAGTGCCAAATAAATGTTTGATTAGGGGGGGGGGGGGTGGCTGAGTGGACTAAGGCGTCGGTTGTGGCCGATTTCCGTCCGCCATTAAACATTTATTTGGCTCTTATTTTATTATTTCAACTGGTTATAAATGAAAATATCATTAAACACGAATTATGCATAAATGTTCAATAAATGTTCAAAAATAAATACTCTACCTGAATCTGCAGAAAAAACTGGGGTTGCCATTTAAAAATAAGTAATATTGCGCATGCGGCATGCGCGTACCGAGTGAGCAAAAAATTTGAAACTGGTCTGAAAATATGTATTTAAGTGCTCCCTATCACCTCCCGAAAATCCCATTTCAATACAAAGTCATCCATCTGTGATATTCAGTGGTACCTAAAATCGTGATCACACTGTATATGATAATATTGATGGATGATTATATATTTGTATAATATTATGGAGATTTGGGTGATTTTTGTATTATCTATGAAATATATATTAATAAAATTAGTACATAAATGTGTTTGACGATTAAAAAAAAAAAAAAAATGGTCAAGGGGGGGGGGGATACGACACCCAAATCCCCCCCGTAATTACGCCACTGTATCGAATAGGTATAATAAGTATAGTGTATACCAGATACCTAGGTACATGTTATATTATATGTTCAATATTTGATTTTTCATTATTATAGTAATAATATTGGACTAATATATTTGGACTTATTGTATACAGCTATTGTAGATGTAGAGTTAAATACTAAAAAAGAATACAAACGGTCTAACATTGAAGGATTTAAACATGTAATAATTATTTAATATAGGTAGGTAAATACTTGTACATAATGAAACCAGCAAGAATGTCTTTCTGAATTTCCACAAACAGCCCGCAATGCCACTTCAAAGTCAGTCATAACACTTGTAGGATGTAAAAATGGATATAGTGTTTTGCATTTTGTTAGTAAAAGAGTGTATGCCGTTTCCGTTTTTGATTCCATCAAAGCAAATTCCATGAGTATAGACTAAGATGTTAAATGAAAAATAAATATGTACTTATTAAGAATTTACCATAACTCGAGATTGATAAAAAAATAAATTACGTGATTTTGTATAATGGCATGCATCATGAATAGTTGTCTACTTTGAGGTCTTCATGGGACTACTTGAAATGTAGCATCCGCATGGATATTTGTAGCTCCTTAACGAACACTTTTCCTTATTAAATCTATACATCCAAACATTACAGAACATTTCCCATGCTCATCAATAACTCTATCCAGGAAATAGTTTTGATCGCAGCATGTATAATTTTTCTTGGTTAATTTCCAAAAAATCAGCCAATGCATCTAGTGTAGTAGGCAATGGAGGCACAATCTTAACCGTGTTTGCCTCATTGAAGATTCAATAATTAACCTAGGTAAGCATACAAATGTAATTAATAAGCAGATAAAGTTAAAACTTACCAACTAGCGCGAAACATGGCTAATGCAACTGAGAGTTGCTTAATTGAATGTTTATCTGGATCTACATTTAAAAACTATTAATAATGATATAGTGGATGAACAGCTGGCTAATTTAGAGACAGAATTTGGAGGTACAACAAATATTGAAGTGTCGGAAGAAAGTATAGAACTATTGAACAATTTTGAACAAGAAGTAATACAATATACCTACTCATGCATATATATTATATTATATTATTATACTCATGTATTATCATAGAGTTTGAATTTAAATTATTTACAGGTATTAAAAAATAGTTTGAACACTCAACTTACAACAATAGAACGTGATTGTATAAAATATATTACTGGGTCAGTAGCGAGAAAGTTTATTAATATCCTTACTTAGGCAATACTGATAACCTAGGCAGAACCCCAAAGAATTGGATAGATTGTGTATCATTAGGCAATTTAATTTATCCTTCGGACGACTTGTTGAAGACTGCAAGACTCCTTGAAAACATTTTTAATGACTATCATGGTGCAAACAATTTAAATAAACTTCCAGGTACTTACTGAATAATAATTCTAAATAATTGGATCAATTATATTTTTTAAATGTTTATTTAGGTGTAATAACCAAAGTGGCTAATGATGTTGTTGAGCAATTAAACATTCTCAAAATATCCATTCCGAATGAGGTAGTCCAAGAACTTTTATAATTTTATAAGACTAAATAATTTAAATTAAATAATTCGTGATAAAGGATTACAAACCAAAAGAAATGAACTAAGAAAATTTATATCATAATAACAATTTGTTTCTACAATTAATATATATTTACTTGTTTTAAATAAATTGATTTTATTTCTATTTTATAAAATCTATGTTTATTTAAGTGAATTGTAATTTTGTGATTTAATCCCATTGGTATCAGTATTTCTTAAAAAGTGTATTAAATGTCACCATGGCTAAATATTAAATAACTTACATAGTATTGAGTAATATGAGTGTCGAACAAAAATTTGTTCTCACCACTTGTGACGTTAGAATAGAATAATATGTTACAAGATATTATTTTCATTTTCAACTCACAAGGCAATAGAAAAGGACAAGACCAACTTAAAATACGCGGAAAAGATACATTGGTAAGAATTCCTTCCGGTTGACGTCATCGACATGCGTATCACCATAGAACAACAGTATCACGGAACCACAGAACTAAGATCATACCTAGTTATTTAGCCATGGCGCGAAAAAAATAAAACAATCGGATGAATGACAAAAGTGCTTAGATACAAATGTTTAGATTTTGTTTTGTACATATTACGATGACCGATGACGGACTAGGATATACTTTGGGCCAAGGTACATTACTGTTTTGTCAATTCTCCATACCATCATCATAATATTATTTATATTGGAAATACCCAGAATTATTTCCAAGAACATGACCAGGCGGCGGACAGTTTAGCGTCAGTTCCGTGCAGCGGGTTTTTGTTGGGTATCAAAAAATAGGTTCGTTGTTAAACAACACTGTACCGAACGAGAGCCACATTTCGTCATGGGCAGGGGTACGGACCATGAACTAAGATATTATTATCTTAGTTCATGGTACGGACACTCCGCGAATTGGCCGGATCGGGCGATTGTGGCATACGTGAAATATTGTTCTATGGTGAAATAGGGAATGGTAAACAAGTCACCCCGCGGCCCGTGTAGCGTATCCACCGAACTGTAATTATACCATATTATACAGTTTATTAGTGAGCGTACCCAGCCTACGTTTCGGTAAACGTTTTCATAATACGGGTAACCTTGGATCTAACATCAAGTATAAGCACATACTAAAATTGGTAAACGGACGTTTCGCCCCCGCCGTTTCGTCCCCGTCAAAAAAACCAGTACATGGACGTTTCGTCCCCGGCAATTATTGAGATAGGAGTCATAGGACGTTTCGTCCCTGAGAGTTATTAGCCATAGGACGTTTGGTCCCCGGTATACTTTGATAATCTAAATACATTAATTTTTAAGGGGCCTCACTACCAAGTCTTTTTTTTGTCAAAAACTACTGTTTCTAATTCCAACGATACGTGTCGACAATTATCACGATTTTCATTCTGAAAAGATATTCTGATTGTCCGTAATATATACAAGGGAACGATCGAGCCACATTTTTAATTTTTGTAATTTAAATTGCAATAAAAATTGTAAAAAAATAAAAAAAAATACAGAATTTCCAACTTAAATATTTAATTAACTAAATACAATTTTAAAAATGTGCCTCGATCCCTCGTACATGTTGTGGAAAATAAGAATATTTTGTCAGAATGAAAATTGAGGTAATCGTTGCGACGTACTGTTGGAATTAGAATCGTATGTTTAAGTGAAAAATATCTAAGCATTTTTTCATGATCACAATATTATTATATATTGACATGTGTGTGCGAGTGCGTGCGAGAGCTACAATTGACCCACATGGACGCCACACACTCTAATAATCATTTACGACTAACACATAGATCTCGGGTGGCGACGACGAGATTAGAAATTGCCTAAATGATTCTCCTTAAATCAATGCCATTGCGAGGCCCCTTAAAGCTGCTAGTAACAATTAAAAAAATGTGGAAGTAGTTAATAATATTCATTAGGTATGATCAAATTTTTTTTTCTCGTAGTTTTGGTTTATTGACTTCATCATCGTCAATATTTGTAATTGGGTTTCCTTCAACACTTGTTTGCAGTTATATGCATTGTAAGCAGTGGCGTGGTGAACATTTATAAACCTCGATGCCCAGCATATATTTCAGAACCTACCTCCTTTATCCCTTTAATATAATATATAGTACATATAATTATTATGTGACTGTAAATATTTTAATTTTTGTTGTATGTTATTGGTTACCAAAATGTACCTGACCACCCCACCCCCCCCCTCCACAAAAAAACCCCATTCACCTCGCCACTGAATTAAGCATAAAGTATTATTTTTTCCGTCCGCTGTTAATCATTTGCAATTGAGTTATTAAAAGGGTACCTAAAATATTTGCTATATCCTATAGCATTGGTGGTATAACGATAATACTATCAAACAGTAGGTAAAAAAATCACCTTCAAAAAGGAGTGTCATAACACATATAGACTCTAAACGAAAACCACAAAAATGAGTCAAGTAAGTTTTCTTGAAAAAATCTAACAAGTTTCCAAATGTGTTTTCGACAGGACGTAACGCCTGACCAAATCTGAACTGTGTGTTATCCATTAATCGTATAGACACAGGTTGATATCTCTACAGATTTAAATGTAATTATTCATTATTTAATAGTTTAATTGTGAAGATAATGTTTAAAACATACTTGTTTGGCTACTTCTCTCATACATTTTACTCCTGATTCAAAATCAGGAAAAACCACAGAATCATAAACACGACAATCTGGAAGAGGTCGAATTTTTAAGGTCACTTCTGTAATTATACCTAATGTACCTGAAATATAAAAACAGTAATCAATCTAAAATATTGTTGATTATAAATTACCAACAAACAAACCTTCTGACCCTAAGACAATTTGTTGAAAATCTGGTCCACTTGACATTCTAGGGACCTTACTGTTTTTTTCGACCACCCCTCTACAAGTGACCATTTTAGCATCAATTACTAAATCTTCAATGTTACCATACACATTTTTCTTCATGCCCGACGCTCTAGTAGCGACCCAACCACCTAAACTGATTTGTTTAATACACATTACTGATTATAAGTTTCTTCCAGTAAATAATAATACTAAAATTACAGCTATATTCAATAAACACATGCATGTTTCTATACTAAGAATAAAATAAAAATGTATTAGTACATTTAAACAACGCACACAAAATGTGACTAAAATACTAAACTAAATCAAACGATTGTAATACTTAAAAAATAGTAAATACAATAAAAGGAAACTTACTACTTTAATGATTGCTACAAAGGCTACACTCGAGTTTTTTTTTTTTTTTATTTCAATGAATACCTAGAAAACTCATAAGAGTCGGGTTCATGTCCACATGTATAGCCTCGTTTGTTTAGTTCTCGTTCTAAATCTTGACCAATGACTCCGGCTTCAAAACATACCAGTAAGTTTGATTCATCCAACCACAGTAAACGGTTCTATAGAAAAGAAAAGAAATGTTTCAAAGGCCACTTTAATTTTTTTGATATTGCAATATCATACGTATTAGTATAATTACCATTTGTGAAGTGTCCACACTGACTATACATCTATTTTCATTGGCAGGACACGATACTGCCCCAGATACATTAGTTCCACCGCCAAACGGAACAAGTACAATGTTATGCACATTGACTAATTCAACTATGCTTACAACATCGTTATGATTTGCTTAAATAAAAAATATTCTTGTTGCAACACAAAAATTATCACAAACTAACTCAAAACTAAATAATACATACCAGGCCAGACTACTAAATCACAAATGCGTGGAAAACATTTACCATATCTGAGGGAATAAATATCATAAAGTGTTTGTCCATGGGATCGCAAAAGTCTAGCTGAGCTATCAATCGTATGGTCAATTTTCATTTCTTTTAAGATGTTTAATAATTCTGAAAAAGTATTAAATATAATTTTGTAATAAATTATATGCAAAAATGATTCCATTAAATAAAACTGGTACAAACTCGTAGATACACGGTAAGGTGGAATCTCTGTGGAACTGAACTTCTCTCTAGGCACATTCCTTAGAGTTAGGTCAATATTTAATACTTGTTGGACCCATTGAGTAAAAAAAGGCAAATCTGTTTCACCAATGGAATACCTACCTGATTGGGAAAAATTCATCATTAATTATACAACTGTTTTGTATTTTAATAACGTTTTAATTAATGTAAATTTGTTTGCATATACTTACGGTATTGTACACCTTCGCTTATTTCCCATATGATGAAGGTTTTAAGTTTATATACCTACCTACTACAGCCTATAGGTATAGGCGTCTACGAGCTCATTAATTAATCATTAATCATTATAAGCAATGTAATAATATACTATAACTAGTAATAGTATAATTATACTCATGGCCCATATTATCTATATAGTGTTATATGAATACCAATATAGACTCACGACAGCTAATAATATCAACTCTAACGATACAATTTATGATCGTATCTACGATACGATTTCCTATAGGAAATCTTAATAGTAAGTTAAAGCATTTTTAATTAATACATATTATAAATTATAATATTATTACGATTTACGATAGGAATGTGCTATGTTTTTTTTTGTTTTATTGTGACTTGAAAATTGTTCTAAAACATGGTATGGAAGAAAACATGACCGACAAATAATGACGAGTGATGACAATATAGAATAATATTATTGTGGCCATGTCTGAGAATTTATGTTGTATACCTGGCATTTGGCAAATGTATTACACTTTCATTCGGTACTCGATAAAGGTCCAACCACTTATTGTGCGGTTATGCCTATAATTATATTATTGTACAACTGTCAAAACACTCATACCTTCGAAAAGTGATTTCCAAGTACAGTAATGGATACCTGTTACAAGATTTGTTCAGATTAGAATATTACAACTCAAGTCAATATTTTATTATATTGTAAAAATTGACTTATACACTCGACAATACGAAAAAAGCAACAATAATTTTTTGTGTTCACAAATTTTTTTTTTTTATTTATCGAACAAAAACAATATGACATTTTTAATTTTGAATATAATTTCAAAAACGGAAACAATTTTGGAAACGTTTGCCGTTATATAATTATTATACAATTTTGTATGTTCAAAAAAAAGTTAGAACAAAAAAAAAAAGCCGAAATTTATAAAGTCAATATTATTCGATATACCTAAGTAAAGAAAATTTAAATGGAAAAAAAATACGACGGACAGGAGACACAATAAACTAGGAGGGGAGGATACGGGATGGCGATTTGGTGCGGATATGCAATGATGTGGCCACTGGTCACCTCTGCACGTCCCCACGACCGGTCCACCAGGTTGACGAGTGTCACGGGCGCGTTTGCTCGGACGCGTGACGACCTTGCCCAGCTGGCGAGGCCAGACCGAGACGGCCACGCGGGAGCGACTACGGTTGACGGCGACGAGCGGCGGCTATAGCGCGCGATGTTGTGCGCGTCGACGGTTGTGGACGGTGACGACTCTGCGACGGACGGCGAAGACCGATAGGCACGCGGAGAGAGTGAACAGAGATTTTGTGCTGCGGAACAGTTTGCGACGCGGCCGATGTGGGATTGCCGCGGGACGAAAAGGCGAGAGTCGTCGGATCCTTGACTCCCGGTAATTTTCGTCCTGGCGTCGTCCCTTCAGCCGCGTCTTCGTCCGATGACCGCCGCCGGACCAGTTAACTGACCAAACTGGTCTGAGTTCCCTCGGGTCCGGCGCCGCTCACGTCCGTGTTCCTACACATAATCTCTACACCACTGACTCACCCCGTGCCAAAGTCTCCGCTGTTGCCGTCGAAGCGAGTCGCCATCGCCGTCATCGTTGGTACCGTCGGGGCGGAATCGTTGCCCGCGTCCGTACCTATGCTATAGCCGCCGCGTCGTCGTCGTTGCCGTCCGTCGCTCCGCGTGACCGTAACTGCAGCCGGGCGCTCGCCGAGCCGCCAGAGGGTCTCGCGCGTCAACTACGGCCGAGCGCGCTACGCCCGCGAACCCGTCTCGCTGGTGGTGGTCGGAGAACGTGCGCGGGTGACTTACCGCCGCGCACCTTCCGTGCTCTTTCCCGCATCCTCCCCTTCTTTGCGTCGCCGTCATCCTGTCCGTCGTCTTCGGCCCAAGTGGGCTGTGCTAATAGTATTAGCTCCGGGCGGTTTTACAGCCGCAGCAGAACAACACGCGAAAAACGCGTTTCACACTTTTCCACGTCGACTTTCTACGTGGAGAAACGGGTTTTTCGACTTCTACTGCGGGACTCTCCTTGCCGATTAGCTCACTGTCCATCACAGCTATTTCCTTGGCCGGTTCCTCACTGTCTGCACATAATTCGTCAGACTCGTCTTCTGCAGCTGCAGGCATCACTACGTCCTCTGCAGCTGCAGGCATCACTGCGTCTTCTACGGCTGTAGGCATCACTATGTCTTCTACGGCTGCAGGCATCACTGCGTCTTCTACGGCTGTAGGCATCACTATGTCTTCTACGGCTGCAGGCATCACTCCGTCGTCGTGAGGTCCGCCCTCGGAAGTCGGACTTGGGTCGACAGTCCCCGACTCCGAGGACGGTGCGTCGCCTCCCGACTGCGATTCCTCACGAACTGATGATTTTGTCAACCCGTCGATCTCTTGGACAGTATGTAGTATGAGTGGTGCTGTCTCGGGGGTCTGAGCTGCAGGCTCAGACTGTGACAGAGACAGCGCATCGCCACTCGGCAATTCACTGTCGTCGTCCGTAATAGAAGGGGTTTCTTCTGGCTCTGGGGACTGCATGTCGTCGCTCTCATGAAGATAAACGCCCTCCATTACACCGATTACAATGCTGCGTATAAATTCGACTAATGCTGCCTGTACCTCGTCGCTTTCGTTGTTGACAGCCATTTTTTTATTTGCAAGTAGATAGGTATATGTGTCAGTACTCAGTTGTAATTGAGAATTGCTAGTGAGCTAAATACAAGTCTCCCAACACAGAGACCGATAAATTCTAAAATCTCCCAGGCGACGACTTGTATCTATATATTGTTATATATAGCCAGATAGTACGTTCATCGTTCATCGGCTCACAGCATTACCTTGTATTTATCATAGTAATAATTATAAAAGTAAATATAACAATCATAATATTATGGTAAAATTAAATCATAATCAATAATTAGCACAATATACAGGGTGATTTTTTTATCAAAGAACACTCATTATTTCAAAAAGTATTAATGTTTAAGAAAATATTTTTTTACATAGTTTCAAGTTGTTAAAAAACAATATTTTTATTAAAAAATTATATTTTTAAATATTTTTTATCCTTTTAATTTTTTAAGTTTTTTACTTTTTTGAATGACAACATCTAATTTTAATTTGATATTCAAAAACAGAATATTTTTCTGATTATTTTAATACATAAAAATTGAATTTAGGGCAAGTAGTTTATGAGTTATAAGTATTTAAAGTTTAGATGAGCGGAGTAGAGGACAAACATTTCGCGGGGTAACCCCGTACCACTCTACTCCGCTCATCTAAACTTTAAATACTTATAACTCATAAACTAATTGCCCTAAATTCAATTTTTATGTATCGAAATACTCAGAAAAATATTCTGTTTTTGAATATCAAATTAAAATTAGATGTTGTCATTCAAAAAAGTAAAAAACTTAAAAAATTAAAAGGATAACAAATATTTAAAAATATAATTTTTTAATAAAATATTGTTTTTTAACAACTTGAAACTATGTAAAAAAATATTTTCTTAAACATTAATACTTTTTGAAATAATGAGTGTTCTTCGATAAAAAAATCACCCTGTATATAAAAGTATTAAAAATCGTAAAATAGTAATAATTATAAAAGTAAATATTTGAGATACGATTGTTCCGTTTCGAACATTTTGTGACTTCCCAATACTATGAGTTATAAGACGCGCCGTGTCTCGAAAAGTACGGTCGCGTCGTACAGTCACAGAAGTACGGAACGTTTAGTTTAAAAATATTTATTTTTCCGGGCGGAACTATTTTTGTACCTGTATATTTTTTCGGGCGGAATTTACATGTACCTTTTTTACTTGGATATTTTTCCGGGCTTAATTTACCATAGACCTTGTTTTTACCTGTTCATTTCGGGCGGAATTTACAATCTCCCGATGAGAGATAGACCCTCCAGAAGCCATAATAGTGTCTCGGGCTATGGTTTCAATATGATGGTAAGTTGATACTGGATCATCTAGTCCGGTCCAATTAAATCCAAAATAAAAATAAACACAACAACCGGAGTCGTATGTCTGTGTTACTCGACAGCTAATCAAGTAATACTTGATATTAAGTTCTAAAAGACAAAAAAAAAATGTTTACCCTAAATGAAAGGTCAATATTGATAAAATAACAATTATATTAATCACTTACTATTGCATTAATTTGCTACAACTTTTTTGACATTATCACATAAACTGAGAGTTTTATCCCAGGATACTGATGTTTCAAACGATTCAGCTACAACTCGATATTCTAACGCAAGATCCTAAATATTAATTTCATTAGAATTTATCAACTTAATAAAAATATTAAAAGTATTAAGTTATTTTTCTTACACGTATATAAGCTATAACAAAGGTCAGCATATAACCACGTTCTCCATTTCTCTCTCCTGCAGTTACACCACCAAAAGACAGCTATTTTAGCGATGCAATTTCTATGTGAAACTACTTTAGAACGTTTACCCAGACAAAATTACCATTACTAGTAAGTTATACATAGGTAGAACACAATAGCAGAACCACCTTTTTGAATAACACAATTGCAAGTATTTTTACCTCTTAACTGTCATATGATTAACACTAAACACAAAATAGGTAGTCATAATAATTTAATAGCTTTAACATGATACATTTTTTGACAAATATTGCTGGCGAGTGGTGGCAGATTATTTTTAATTTAAGTTAGTAGCAAGAACTTAACATGATTAAAAAAATAAGATTATTGTCAATCAATTTAAGAATGTAGTTATTGTAAAAAAATATTAATGATTTGTCAATTATGTAAATCAATCATTATAGTTACTTTAACTTATACATCGAAATATTTTTTTTAAGTACATGTTGTCACTTTCCAGATATTTTTAGACACCTCATTATATTCTTATTCTTCTACGCAACAATTTAATATTTAAATGACAATACTACAAAATATACAAATACATAATCAATATCCATACAATACAATTACAAATAGTCAAGATTTAAATACATCACAATATTGTATTAAGTCAACACAAATTGTAGTCAAAATTAATAAATTAAAATTAAATACTATAATATTAAGATAAATTATATATTTATTTTTAGGTAACTGACTTATGTATTTTAAATAGTATAAAATGTAAATTGTAATTATCGTCATTATATTGAAATCCCGTACAATATAATATTATTATGATTGTAATTTGTTTTCCTTAAAACTAACTATTTTCGGTATATTTATTATTTCATTTTGTTTTTGTACCAATGCAGTCGTTGCAGACGCATTGCACATCTGTATTGAATACTCTCTGTATCAAATACTCTTAAAATAAAGTAGTTAAATAAATATATAATATTACATTGTTATAAAATTAAAGTAAAACCACGACGGCATGGTATTTTTATTTAACAAGAATAATTATAAGTAGAAACAAATTAAGAATTAAAAGAAAAAAAAAGTATTCAATAAAATAGTACCTACTCAATATGGAAAAAAGTATTTGAATACTTTTACTCAAATACTTTACAACACTGTATATTAGACATTACAGAATTGTTCATTAAAAATAAATGTATTAAAATAAAGAACTTTGAAGTAGGTAATTAATAACCTGAGAACCGAATGTCCTAACCTAATGAAAATATGCCGGGGACCAAACGTCCTACCTATGTCTAATAAGTAATAACTCTCCGGGACGAAATGTCCTATCTCAATAATTGCCGGGGACGAAACGGCGGGGGTGAAACGTCCGTGATTCACTAAAATTAAGCTATAGATCTTGATTCAGATTCTATTAAGATAAGACCAGAGAATATATGAAGTACTCATACTAATGTTGGTATTCTCAAGTACAAGAAAAATATAAACAATTGTTGAAAAACTGGTATTTTATATTTTCCTAACAAATTGCAAACAATTAATGCTATTGATGCAATAAATATAAAACCACAGAATGTATAAAAGCTCATATATTATGTTAGTAAAATAACATATGATAACACAGAGCTACAATTTACAAACAATAAATTGACGATGATCGGAGAAGGTGTGTCGCAGGCAATGTTTACAAAATAATATAATTTATCACAGTATATATTATGTAGGTATTCAAAAGCATATACCTACCTATGTACCTGTAACTTATATGAATAAATGTAAAATAAATTTGAACATTGCCTGCTTCATAAATGGCGGCTGACTTCAACATTGGTCACAACTCAAGTATAAATACATGCCATCTATCTATCTAGTTGTTGTATTGGGCATATATCAATTGCGCCGGAAATCGCAGGTAAAGAAAAAAAATTATGCGATAGGAAAAAGGTATACATCAACTGCGCCGATCGATATTCCAATGTTATAAATTGTGTACGTCAATTGCGCCGATCGATATTTGAATGTAATAAATGGTGTACGTTAATTATGCTGATCGATTCTTAAATATATACAAATGTCTATAAAACTATTTCTATTATAACTACATATCGGTTTATACGTGTTTTAATCTAATATATCTATATCGTTTATCTATATCATAGCCCATAGGTAAGTTTGAATTATATTATTTTATTACTTGAAAGTTGAAGATAAAATAAATTACAAAAGGTGAACAAATACCATGTTAGGTTATAGGTACCTAAATCCATAGTATTGTGCAGTACAATTCCATGCGTTGTTCGTATAGTCGTTCGTTTAGTTGTCGTGGCTCGTGCTTAAATTTATAATGGAAATTGTATTAAGTGAACTTGGTAACGAACTAATTATTTACCAAAATTATAAATTTTCTTTTAAGGAACTTACCAAAAAAGGGCATAGATGGCAGTGCGCACACAAAAGTTGCAACTCTAAGCTGTACGTAGATGATGTTAAAACTACAATTTTATTTGAAGAAATTAAACATGAACATCATCCTCCTAATAACTTCATCAGAAAGATAAATTTGTATGTAATATATGTATGTAAATTATTTTCATTTAAATTTACTTTTTAATATCAGTGCAATTGATGTATACCTTTTCGATACCTATACCTTTTTTATACCGGCGCAATAGATGTATACCTACTATACAGGTAGTGTCCCAAATTCGGCGTAATTGACGAAACCCCGTTGTATTTATCTATGATTACAATAAGCATGTTTTTCCTGATGACTAGATAACGAACATTTAACTGATTTAATATTTGTCCCTAAAAATACGGTCCTATGTAATATTGTCCCGATCAATACTAATCCCGTAAAATAAGTTTCCTATTTATTACAGTCCCAAAAAATACGATTTTTTATTTCCTAATTAATACTATTCCTATAATAGTTTTGGTTCTTGAAATTTATTTTACTGTTGTTTAACATACTGGTTTGTATATGATTCCAGTAAATACAATTTAAATTTCCTCCATAATACTATTCCTAAATTAGGTATATTATTCTGTGGAAATAACATTCCGTACAAAAAACAATCCCAATTTTTTTTTCCTGTTTAAATGTTTCCCTGATTTATATAGCCCCCCCTTCTCCCCCCGTACAAGGACTTGCATACTGAAAAATTTGCAGTAAACCTGAGTTCTACTCGGGACAATGACCGAGCACCCCGTCCGGTTTTTAGCCAACACCGAGTCGTTACTCACGCAACCGTGTAGACACAATCACTTACGGAATTTATGCTGATTTAAAACCAGCTCACTCCCCTCACGTAAATACTGGCCTATCCAAATCGGAGGTGTTATCGTCCGGCGAACGCGCAAAACTTTCTGTAGGTACACATATCCGGCTACATTGAACATTTACGTTCGGCGTGCTTCGACGCATTGCAGGCGTTTTTGACCTCATGGCAGATATCTCCACCCACCTCTCGTCACCCATCATCATCACATATTTTCGGTAGTACTGACGAAGAAAAATTATGCTATCCAACCAGAAATCTATTTTGAAATTGAATATTTAGCATTATTTCTTCTAGAAAATGGTCATCAGTCAACAGACACAAAAGTGGTAAACTTCGTAGTAAATTCAATAGGGTAGTATAGAAGATTGTGTATAATACCTAATTATTAATAATTGTAGTTTCGGTTTTAAATTATGATACCGGTTTTCAGTTTTTTCGGTTTCGGTTTTAGATTGTAATACCATTATCCAATTATTTTCGGTTTCGGATTTGATTTTGTTTTTTGTTTTGGTTTTTAACGGTTCAAGCCCTGGCCCCTGGGTAAAAGTTAAACGTATTATATTATATTCTGCATAATAATATACGTATATTAATGTATTGTTTATGGTGTACCTATGTCCTATATCTATATACATCTTGTGTAGGCAATTCAAACATCACTACTTACTTTAGTAATGTATAAAGCTTATCGGTAAGTACCCACATATTTTCCATCAGTTTTAAATTACTGTCTTAAATTTGTATTGTAACTGACTAACTAATGGACTAGCTGTAGGTACATCATAAATTAACTCTGTCAGCATATTGATATTTTATGATTATTTAAATGCTTAATTTTTGAGAATTAATAGTTTACCAGAAGAGTGCTATTCATATTATGTAACTTAATATTATATATATATATATATGTATAGGTAAGGTACATTTTTTATGACTGATTATAATATCGGATGAATTTTATTGTGTACAGTTGTATCTATGTATCCCAACAAAAACACTCCGCCAAACTCCGGGTAAATAATGCTAAGTATAAAAAACAGCTTTAAAAGTTGTGATATCATTTTATAGCTAAGTCTTTGAAGTATAGATATAATTTATGTTGTGGTGGGCTGCTAAATAATTGAACTTATATCTTGGCGAAAATATGTAAGTACCCTATACATTTATGCTAGTAATTCGAACATTAGATTCGTATTAAAATTTGGTTGGATAAATTAATATAATATTTCGTTTATACTCACAATTACTTATCCACTCGTCTGTTACTTGTTAGCCTTTATGTTTTCTACCGTTAATTTAGTATTCATCAGTCACCACCTCCTTAAGAGATCTAGCAAAAGACTTTTTCTTTGTTAATCAACTAACTTAGGTATATCACTTCTTCCCGACAACCCACCGCGCCGACTTAAAATAAATTGGTGCCGTGTTCTATTAAATTAATTAATAAAAAATAAATAAATTACTAGAGGGTACCATCGCTGGATGTTTTCCCTCATCTTGTGTATCATGTTGTTTTTTTTTTTTTTTGTATATATAGTGTTATATCTGTTATCAATTCTGCCTATTGTGTAATATTATACAGAATGCAGATTTTCTAATTTAATAAAAAAAAAAAAAAATAGGTATATCACATGTATATTATATATGTATACGAGTTTTATTTCACCAAATTGGATACTTATTTAAAATTCCAATTCGGTTATAATAATATTATTCGTTTATGAAGTGAAACTTCTTTACGGGGGGTAGGTACAACGCTGAAAAATTGGTAACAAGATATCCATGACAACAAAAAATAAATAAAATATAGATTATGTAGGTAAATTCGATTATTATTATTATTATTATTATTATTAAGATAGAAATTTAATAATTATCGTGGAATAATGAGCCGGAGCGTCGTTTTAATAATATATACTGCAAGTTAATTAAATTTATAATAATTATAAGCATCGGAATGATTGCAGGTTATAGTATAAAATAATATTATTAAATTTCTAATACACTCAAATACGTAAAATAGTTCCAATGGAAATGTAATTTTAATTTTAAACTATAAAAAAAATAATGTCTAATACGAATCTATAATGAAATGAGATTAAACAAAATAAATAGAACAAATAAAAATAATTTAAAAAAAGGTGCTCTGCTGTACAGTAGGTTACAAGAGGCTTACTGTATAATGGACGGTACTAAATTTGAATTCAATGATATAATATCATTGTATAAGACATATTATATACTTATCTATGGTATTAAATAAATTGACCTATAATAAATTCCAAATTAATCATATCATAATATCCATTAATTACTTATAATTTGTTATACATCAACAACAAACCCTGATACTATCATAGATATATAATAGTGTACTTTAGAAGTTTCAAGTACCCACGAATAATATTATAGGTACAATCACAACAAAATAGATGAAATAGTTATTCTAGGTTTTTTATTATGTGATTTCGTCCAAATTTTAACTTAAAATGACTATAAAAATAAAATTTACTTTTTTATTTTTTATATTTTTTGGTAACAGAATTAACTACTTATAATATATTATATTGTAGTACCTAATTAAGTTATACTCAACAATATTGAGATATGTTTTCTGTCCGAGAACTTAATAGTGTTTTACTATTTTTGTTCAACCATCTAAGACTTAACATTATGAAGTAGGTACCTAGCGATCTTGCATTCTTGCTATCATACTAAATACCAAATAAACAAAATTGTATAATTTATTTATACTCTAGAGTGGTATTTATATCGAATTCCTAAACGGTAAACATATATTGTTGACCCGTTTCAGAGTGTTGGTTATCTTTGACATAACTAAATTATTAATATAGGATTTTATCTAGAAATACGAGGACAAACATAGGTAGCCAGGTAGGTATTAAAACAAAAACAGTAGCAAGGTAGGTGCCAAGTTATTTTATTCTACTACCTACTAACTAGGCAGGTCGGTACTTAATTTCAAAAATACTTATAGGTTTGAACCCTATTATTAATTTATTACCAAAGACAAACAGTACAAGCACTACAGTGTTTTATATTAAAATTCTTTCGGGGCTACATAAAAACCAGGAAAACAATTATTATAAAGATCACTATTTTTCCTCAAAATATTTGTTTAGAATTATTTCTTAAGCCCTTCATTCTTTCCAATAATCCAAATTGAGTCTTGGTAGGGAACTGCAAGGTACCAATGGATTACTGAAAAAAAAGTAAATCGAAAACAATTATTATAGATCTATTTATTCATATTTTCATTCTATACATTATTGTATATATTTTGTATTATAATAATCTCAACTATATTTATTTTAAATAACTAAAAAGGTAAGTACTAGCTACTACCTAACCTACCTATGCTTTCTAATTTCATCAATATAGCCTAGAGGTTATATCTATATTTTGAATAAAAAAGTATTTATTTCATTGTTTAATTCTCTATTTGTTTCTCCACAATAGACAGTACCTTATTATTGATAATGTAAGTATCTGTCTTAGCGACTATCTGCCATTTAACTAAGCAAATATAGCATTTCTCGTTTTTTTTTTTAAATTTATTATGTTTTCAATTTTTGTTAAATGTTCCCTTGTTCTTGTATTAAAAGTTGGTAGGTACCTATCCGAGACAAATGTTCAATGAAGTTAAACGTTTGAAATAGTTATTTCATTTATTTATAGATTAGGTATAATTCTAGTGATTCATTTAGTTCAGTCTCTACTTCCTACCTAAGTGAGATTTTAGTAGACAATATTATAAATATAAAACTTTGGTAAGGCATAGATTAAATGGCACCACGCCTTCATTTACTTTAAATGAAAAAAGGTGTTCTGCTGTACAGTAGGTTACAAGTGGGTCACTGTATAATGGATGGTAGGTATTCAATTTAATTCAATGATATAATATCATTGTATAAGAAAAACGATTCTGAGCGGAGACGGTATGTCAGCCTAGGTATAAGAGATATTATATACTTATCTATGGTATTAAAAAAAAATGGACCTATAATAGGTACCTATAATAAATTCCAAATTAATCATATCATAATATCCATTAAGTACGGGATTTTTCCATATTTTGTAAATTTTTGAACTTTAAATACCTATTTATAAAAAAAATTGTGACTAAGGATTTTTAATATTTTTCATCTACCTTTGAAACAATATACTAGGGCCCTTCTATTACATTTTCAAACTTTTTTAACCAACAAATAAAATTGTATTGATATTTTTAGAAAAAAAACAAAAAAAAATGGAAAATGAAAATGTTTCTAAACAGTTCAAAACAAATCATAATATTTGAAAATTATATCGTGTATAGAAAATGCAAATATAAACAACCAGTGAACATTTCATGTATATACATTCATTTGTTTTAGAGTTACACCAAAAACCAAAATCGATTTTTTTGGAAAACCGATTTTGCGTAAAAATTCCCGTTTTTCGTTAATTTTTATGTTGTTTTTCGCTACGCTCGGAAAACTACTGTGAATTTTAAAATTTGACCTCTCGAATGCGCAAACTAGATTCACTTTCCCATCGAACTTTTGAAGGAAATCGAAGCAGTTTTACTGCCCAAACCGTGATGACAGACACAAAAATAAATAAAAATTAAAAAATTAAATTTAAAAAAAAAACACAAATCATTGTAAAATCAATACATTCATCGTTCCACTCAGAATCTAAAATCGTTTTTAAGTAATTGTAAAACTAAGATTTTTTATATTTTCTACAATCTATAAGACCACTAAAACACTAAAATGGACATATTACACCACCCGCAAGAAAATATCATCACACATAATTCTGTTCACATTTTATTCGAAAACCATTTTTCCTATGAAATAAATTAACTAAAAAATGATGAGTAATATTTTTAAATATTAACATAATATCCCTAATATATTATTTGAAAATTATTTGGAGAACACTTATCCAGTTATCCTCTTAAGACTGGTATTAAACTTGATATTTTAACTATTATTATGTCTCAAGTAAAGTATTTTTTTTAAATGTCACACACTCTTCTCAAATTTTAAATAAAATCATCTTAAAATCAAAAGATTGCTTGCATAGTCAATGGTCATAGCAATTAAAAATTCAGAACACGACGTTTACTATTTATATCGTTACATTGGAAAATCGATTAAATTAATAGGGAGTATAAATTCACAATAACGTTCTATAAAACATTTCAATAACACGAAACTATACAAAAATGGAAATTAAAAATCATATTCCATACGAGTCTGCAATGAAGTACCACATTTTATGTCTTTGTTGTCCTTTCTATCATATATCTATTACCTAACTATCGTGTGATAAGCGCGTACCTATATCGAGTTCGAATCTCGGATTAGAAAAATATTTATATATATTTTTTTGTAACGTAACGTTTTTCGATTTCGATTCTATGTGCCAAAGCAAAGACATAATAATAATTATTATAATAGTTTTAAAACCCATATCAATCATTTACAAACATAAATAAATAACGTAACGTTTTTCGATTCTACTTGCCAAAGCAAAGACATAAAATGTCAAAAACACACTCAATAAGCACGATAACTTTCAGATTTTGAAATTTTGTTTTTCAATAGGTACCTATAGGCATAGGGTGACAAATGACAATACTCAACTGTTTACCATATTATCATTATTATATACCTAGGTATATAGGTTATATTTAATTTATAAAATAGAATACTCACTGTTTACTGATTACATCAAACGCATTGCGTTGTATAGATTGAATGTCTGATGTCATACACACTAAGAGTGATAATGTCGATTTTCGTATTTCAGAAAGTTGATCTATTCAAACAATTTTATATAATTACGGCGAGTGAAAAAAATTGTAGTCAAGCTTTAAATATCATAGATACCCTATGAAAGTGTAAATAGTTACCCGGTCGAAAAGATCCCGTTTGGTTTCCAAACTCGTAAAAAAATCGATCTCCAAACTTCCATCTGAAAAACATTTCTCCAGAAATACACTGAAACGTGTGCCCCAACGAAGATCCTGGTTTCAGTTTTTCCAATATACCACCTACGTAAAAGTCAACATCGTTTGGATCCTCGTATAAACTAGCTAAGGTATCGACATTCTTGAAAAATATGTTTTATTAATAATTAATTCAATAGTTATAATCGGTTAAAATCATTGTGTGATGCACAATTCTTTGACATATTTACTTTTTTTGATATTTGATCAGTAAAATCTTCAAAAGTTTTGGCTTCGCTCAACCCACACAATTTTCTAAACTTATTATACGATGGAAGTCCAAAATCTCTCCCACGTGCGATGTCAAAGCTGGGCAAGTCGGAGCCTACTGTTTTATTCGGAATTCTGAATAGATATTCGCTAACCTAAATCAATGAAATATAATAAATAGTATGGCAGTATCATATTTATTATTTCTAAATGCAAAAACGTTAAATTAATTTCTTTAGAATAATATATAACCATTAATCATACTTCAGATGTGTAATATTGATCTTGTTCCTGTGAAATTTGAGTAAGCAAACCTCTAGTAAGACTATCAAAATTGTCTCCTCTCTGCACTATGTCAGTTCTTTGAAAAAAGTCACTCAGGCGAATTTTCGACTTAACTTGTCTGGATTCATTGACCAAACTGTAAAAAAAATCAGACATATAAAAAAGTGCTGCAAATTTAAATTAGTATGAAAAAAGTTTTAATATTATCATTATCATTACTCCATATATCCTTGTATTTCGCTATGAAGTGATCTGTATGCAGCACCGGTAAAAGAACTCATCGTAGTTGGATTTAAAAATTTATCGTAATCCATATTATAACCTTTTTCTAATGGTTGTAATTTGTTTGCTTTGGCATAATCTTTTCCTATAATTTTATTGAATGTAATAATATTTAAAATGTATTGGTATATAATAGTATACTAAATAATATAGTGCCAACTATACGGCATTTGGTAAATTATTATGTTTTTAAAATATTTTATAAACATTTAAATAACACTATCCTTGCATATCTACAACTTATATTATTAAATATTTTTAAAACATTATTGGAATATTTCGGGAATATTAAATATTTTCATTTTAAATGCTGTCTAGTAAGGGTAGATGTTACGAGAAATGTGATACGTTGCTAGGTGCCCTGGTATATGTATATAGCTCTATTCTACACAGTTGCAAAGGGGCAGATTTTTTTGGTTCAGCAAATTTCAACGGTCGATGTGTCAATAAAAATTGTTACTGTATAATGTATTCCTTATATTATATTGTATTGAAATGTGGAATGATCAGTGTTACAATTATGATGGCATAATACGGTTATGTAACAAATAATGGTGAACCATTAAAACAATTTTCGTAGTTCTGGTTAACCCGGGATGAAAAAAGACAGTTACAAAATCAATATGCTGAGGATCTGGATACATATTATATGTAGTTTCAAAACCAGCCAAAAGCACTTTTTTTGAAAACTGGTTTTTTCGTATTTTATAAATGGTCACACTGTATTAAAATTGCTGTAAAAATATTGAACATCAAATAAGGCTATAACTTTACTAGTCTAAATTTATTAACCATGGGAAATTTTGGTTGGTTTCAAAATCACCCATAATTAATTTCAAAACCAGCCATGTATAAATAATTTTACAGGTATAGCGTTGGCCTCAAAACCAGTCATATAATGGAATTGGGAACAAAACCAGATATATTGAAACTAGAAAATATGTTAATAACTCTTTTAATAATATAAAAACGAAATGAACGAATTTACTCATTTCTGAAATTATTTGAAAAGGCTTATTTAAAGTTTAAGCAATATGTATTGACTAAACCAGAGATAGATTTGTGTAAAACCATGAAGGGTAACATATTATAGTTTGATGTTTAACCGTACATTTATATTATATTACGTATGTTTCTATGTTGACCTGCATTAAATACTTCAACTCATTCAGTACTTTCAAATGGTTAAATCATATTATTTAGCTTATATCTTCCATGGATGTGGGTCGTTTAAATTCTTTGACTATACATTTATGCACAGTTGACAACATCGGTTATGAAGAAATAATTGAAGATTTGGCAAGATCAAAACTGCTCAAAAAAATCAAATCTAGCTTTGGTGTTTATTTGTTGTATCTTTAAATAAATATTAAATGCCTACCTACTTGATAAATGTATATTACAATAATATATTAGATACTAATAAATTATTATAACTTATAACATACTTCCGACTAACTTTAAATATCTAGTATTTGATAATAATCTTATATAATTTTACATTATGTAATACGACAATAATTAAATTATTTTAAACATAATATTATAATATACCACAAGAGAACTCGAGGTGCCTTGAAATAAATGTGTATCCAGGCCAGAAAAGCCTAAATACTCCAATGTATATTAAATGGCGTGGCTCACGTATGAAGTAATCGTACAAAACAAGAAGTATAATAATTAATATACTAATATGATGCTATTGTTCAAATATTTTTTTGTAGGTAGGTACTTCAAAGTTCAAATACATGTACTTATATCAAACTTTCGATCTCGTCAATTTTCACCTTGTCCACTCACCTTTGAACTTAACCTTAAAGGTTTAATAAATAAGGGGGTCCTGGTCATATGAAATTGCTCCTACATTGCTCGTCAAAATTAAATGGTGACCAGTAGGTAATACAATGGCTGGTAAAGTACACATTGCCCGATAATCCACTTTGTGTTTTTGCCCGTAACGGAGCAACAAAGACATTACAGTATTAGTTTATTCGATAATAATAATATAATACTTACCTACCTATAATAATAATACATATTATAATATAGGTATAAGATATTATATTTTTAATTTTTTGTATTTGTTACTGTAATAGGTAGAATAATACTATGATTAATAAAAGGTATAGGTATCTACCTACAAGTCCCGGAACAAATTCATAGTATACCACGTGCTGATACATTGCGATGAGTAATCTCCTGGCTTCTTGGTATAATCGTTCGTCGTCCCATTCGGGATTTATTTTTCTAAAATCATCGCACAGTAGGTTATGAGCTCTCAATAATGATATCGTGGCAACTGCTATATTAGGATGTTGGTTTACTCTTACATCACCTTGATAAATGTATTTCAAATGTTAAATTATTATAAATGTATTTTATTAGGTAAATCGATGCAATATAATATGTTATAATTAATGAAGATATTTATGTAAGTACTTTAGTTACAGTCAACAATCAAAACATTTTATATTAAACTGGAACTATAGTCATTAACTATTTAAAAAATTAAGTAGGCACATATTATTTACTTATGAATTATTAACTTGGATCATTAAAGTTAAAGTTAAATTATAAGAGAAAAATATTATTTTTCATAATTATATTATTAAGATAACATGAAAACACTCTCATAATAAATTATTTATATATTATAATTAACAACATAATTATAAATTACCTGCAGCGTAGCACACAGTCGCATCATTATTCACGGTGCATTCTTTTGTTGCTTGTTTAACATTAGGTAAATATGATTTTCCTTTAGGTCCTATTTGTCTCCTGAGTTTTCCATGAGAGAATGTTCGTAAAGAACGTGCGGTGATGTCATCTGAACCATATAATAATGAAGCATCAATAAAACTGGTAACTCCAATTTGCTAAAAAAATAATGAAATAGGTACATTAAACACTTTCAATACTTTTTTGATAGTTATTTTTTTTTAAGGTTATGATGGAAATAATTATAGACGAGACAAGGGCTTAGATGAGATAAGAGTATGATGTTTATTTATATGAGGGTACACCGTTATTACTTGTCTGACTGGTTTTATATGGCAACCTAGATCTGCTGTATCAGTGGCTCGCTGAGATGATAAACATCGGTTTTTTGAATAACCAGGCTCATCTTTCGGGATTGTAATCTGAAGGCAATCAGGAGGTAGAATTTCTGGTGTAGAATCATCCGAGTTGCAACATACTATTGGATTTCCATCACTACCTTTAGTAATCAAACATGTAATAATATTAATTTCTTATTACGAATTAATACTATCTATATTGAATAAACTATCAATAAATTAGTGGTTGGAACCTATTTATGATTTTGTTATCGATTTGGTTTCTAGAAAAATGAAAACGACTGTTCTTGTTTTAATAATATAGTCTTCCACAACAATTTGTGATATGATTATTCGAAAATAAACAACTATGTGTCTGTACATAGAGATTTTAAGCAAATTACAGTATTGTGGATGTACGATTAAAAAAAATAACAAATTAATTCAATCAGAGCCATGAAGTGTGTCTTTAATAAGGGGCAATATTTAAGAAATATGCAATTTAGTCTCGGCCGCCCATGGAATTTGTGTCAGTCGTAAATGATGATTAGTGTAAGTGTTATTGTATGAATGTGCTACACTTTGACGTGGTTATTTCGACGCACAATGGTCAAATGAACCCGGTCATTTGGACGAACGACAATTAGGCGCATGCATCATTTCGCAGTATACAATTTTAAAGCCACCACTTTTAGGCGTGACACAATTTTGACGCAAAACAAAAATAATTACAAATTTAAAATAAATTAGGTATAAAGTGTTATTTATTTTACTATTTGGAAGTAAAAACTTTTCTTAGCTTCAACTTTTGCATTGTCTGGTACATGGTTATGATCAATGAATTTTATTATATCTCTCACAAATATAATTTAGTGTTGAAAATAACGTATAACTATAGAGCTATATACTTCATGGCATTCATGCCCTTAAGCAGTTATTTAAAAAAAAAAAAAAAAACTACTCAAGTAACTATAAGTATTTATAAGAAAAAAAAATACTAAAAAATGTTATAATATAAAAAAAAAAAAATATACTTTTATTATATTATTATGGTTATACATATTTGTAGGTATGTAAAATTATATTTATCATTATACAGAAATGTAGAGGTATTAATAGCCTTAGAATTCAAATCTCTCAAGTTTGATTTATGTCCAAAACCATTTACGACAGATTTTGATAAAGCACCTATTATTTATATCAAAAATGAATTTCCCTGTAATGCCTGCATTTTTCATTTTAGTCAAGTGGCTTGGCGAAAAATTCAGAATTATCTATGGATTGACTACAAAATATATAGAAAATGTAAATTTTGCATTACAAGCTTAACAATTAATACCGCTTGTCCGCTTGCTTTTATACTTGTTGACAGAGCAGTAAACTATTTTGATTTTTGAAGTATTGTTGGGGAGCTAGTTTTACAATGAAAACAAAGATATTTTAACTCCACTTATCACCTATTTCCAAAGTACGTGGACTGGAATTTTGGACAGAAGAGGTTGACGTCGACAACCACAATATCCTATCGAAGTATGGAACTGTTTAGAATGTCTTCAAACTGATCTAACAAGGACTAATAACAATATTGAGGGCTGGCACAAATGCATTTTCGGCATTAATAACTTGTAAAAAAACCAGTTACCTATATGGAAACTTATAAGTGGATTGAAATAGATGAAATCTTAAAAAAGTAACTAAAGAACAAATAATTTATGGGTATGCACCAACCAAAAAAAAAAAAGAATTACAAAGATTTATCAAAAAGATTATTTCAAATATGTACTAATTCAAGTAACTTCACAACCGACGAAATGCTTCTAGGTATTGCACACAATTTAAAGTTTTATAAATAGTAAAATTACTAATTATTATTATCAATTTGTAATTATTTTTGTTTTGCGTCAAAATTGACTTGCACCTAGAAGTGATGGCCTTAAAATTATATGTGTCGAAATGACACATGCGCCTAACTGTCGTTCGTCCAATCGACTGCGTCGAAATTAAAGCGTCAAAATGACGGCATCTCCGACCGAAAATGAAAAGCGGGATTTTTTGTTCAAAACACGCTTTACAGAAAAATCTTTTGATTACTTAGAAAAAGGAAAATATTCTATATTAAGCATTGGATTTTTAATTCCATTGCTTAAAACTAACATAATAAAAATAATAAAAGCTTGTGAAAATTGATTAAACAAAATAAGCTTTAAAAAAATAATTATCAATCATATGAATTTATACTTTATAGTAATATTAAGTTCCTATATTTATAGAAAAATTTGGTACCTGTCAACCTTGTATTGTACCTTCATCCTATATAGTTGAGAGTTAAATAAACAAAAAACTTTTTAAGGTTATAGTATCTATTTATTAAATATAATCTTTTAATTTTTAATATTGAGTAAATACTAAATACTATCAATATAGATTTTCAGAATATCAAAGTAATCAAATTTAAATTAAAAAGGTGGATACCGTTCTGCTGTACAGTAGGTCACTGTAATGAATGGCGTTAAATTTGAATTCAATAATATAATATCATTAAACGCGAAAAAAATTCTGAGGAGATGGTATATTAGTCAGCCTATATAATAATAATATTTTTAAATTGCAACAAAATAACAAAGATCGTTTTTTCTTTAATTTAAATATAATTTTATTACAATTTGAACTTAAAATAGGAATAAAAAAAAAACTGTGTTTAAATATTGTGTTTTTTTTTTATTGCTAACAGTACGAAATACTTATAAAATAGGTACCTTGTTTTAAATTTTCAATCCATAGCTATGAAAATTGAACATTTTATAAATTTGTAAATTGTAAGCCAATATGTAATTAGCCAAAATATTTTCAAAATTGTTTTTATGGCATATAGAAAAACGTTATATAAACATTTGACGAAAATATTTAAAGAATTTACAGTTATTAGTTTTTTAGTTGCACCAAAAAAACCTAATCAATTTTGTCAAAAACTGGTTTTGCATACAAATCCAAGTTTTAACTTAATATTTTGTTTCTTTTGAAAACTAAACTGTGGATTTTCCAATTTAACCTCTTAAAAATACCAACTACATTTACTTTCCCATCAGAAAAGATGCTGAAGTTGAAAATCGAAGCAATGTTTCTACTAGTACCTAAAGATGTTTACAGACAGAAAAAAAAACTCTGCACATCATCACTCCGCGCAGAATCTAAAACATGAATAAGATCTATTTATTTTTTTTTTATTACCTACCTACTTTTAAGTATAATTATTGTTCAGTGTGAGATGGTAAACCATAAATACCTATTGTGACAGTGTTAAGTTTCACTCAGAATCTTAACATCATGATTTTATTTTTTGCAAACTTACCAACAGTCTTAGAAAATATTAATTCAGTATCGTGTGCAACCAATTGGCCAAATTGCATGAACAATAAATTATACTTAAGTGTGGGTCTATTCACGTCTGTTAACAAAGTTGTTCGTATTTTCCTAGGGTTTGGCAATTTATTCCCCGATAATGCTCTTCTTTCTTGGCTCTTACCTTAAATTATTGTAATTAGTTCCCATATTATAACATTTAAATAATTATATATTCGTTTATATTAAATATGTACCATCCGAATAGTCTGCTTCAATAATTCGTATGTTTGCTGAATTAGATCGACCCCAAATTGGGAATATTAAATTATTACAACTTCCATTTATGGTTCTGTACACAGCAAGGGGATCACATATTGGTTTGGGAAAACAACGATCAGCCAGATCAATTTCTCTAGGCTCTAAGAATCCAATAGGATTATCCATAAGCGATCTAAGAAATAAATAATTAAAAAAAAACAAAAATACTAATAGCCAATCGGTACATATTTATATATCATTTATTTTGTATTTACGGTATCTTAGAAGGATTTTTATCTGAAACTTGTTCGTCACTCAAGCAATTATTGTGTGTCTCTTCATACAGAATTCCCGGATTACTGTACGAATCTGTGTAGGAAATAGGCAATTAAAATATATTATATTATTTACTATTTATATTTTTTTATAATTTATGTATGTATTATTATATTATTTTGTTTAATATAATATATACTATTATCCATTATATTGTTTTAAGATCTATTAATTTACCTGGATTCGATTCATTTTCATTATTTTGAATAAGTTCGCATGATATTATGTTGACAATTAACACCAAAAAAATTGTAACTTTCTTCATTTTTTTAACAAACATCGACAAACGAGTCGACACAAAGTCGTGACACTAAACGCGTTGATATAAATATTAGCTCTTATACCTATGTGTGGATTGTCGTAACCCTACTTCGGTATGTATCGGTTTGAATTTTAAATAATATTATGGTCACAATACTATCGTACAGAATTTATAATTTTATCATAGATTATTATGAGTATAGTGAAAATATACTAACAAAGTATGAGCTATAATAAAAATATAAACTTCTATAGATTCTTCGTTCCTGTGTTTTAAAATAGTTTTATATACAGTGGCCAGTGATTAAACAAAAAAATAATATGAATTAATTAATTACCTTTTACGATAGTTATAGATATTATAATAAGTATGATTTTAAATTAACATATTATTTTTCAAATTAACTGGAAATAGTTAGTTAATATTAATAGAAAAATTAAATAACTAGTGAAGTTGTAACCTTTGAAAAGGATTTGCTGTTTAATTTATCTTTAATTTTTAAACTATTTACATATAATATACTACTTGCATACATATTTATAGTACCATAAGTTAAGACAAAAGGTTAGGTACATTTTTCCTTTTTTTTTTTTAACGTAAATAATATGTTTTTGGGCTGGGTACAACTTTTTTTCTGACAGATTATAGTACCTAACTCTTATAACATTTATTGTTACTACAATGTTTGTTGTGATTATATTGATGTAAATATATCTTTAGGTACCTATGTTGACAAATGTCTACTTACAATGCGCATCAATTGGTATTTTTTTTAAAAATAGTTCAAGGGCTACGTCCAGTGTCTCCCCCCACCCCACCAAAAAAATATATCAAGTAGCGTGATAAGTTTTTATCATACTGGATGCTGTTATCAGTTGCTATATGGGGACATCATTCGTTATTATGTTACTATGTTATTCCTAAAACAGTAATTATAATTATCATGATATCCCTACGAACCAAACGACATAGACATGATAAAATGTGTTTTCAAACAAGGGAACGGTAGAGATTTACATTTAATTTCTTCATCCGTGCAATTTAATATTTTTCATATAAATATAATAGGAATATTATCATAATCTATAAGTACACTTTATCTTCTTCTTCTTCTTTACTAATGTATTTGCCTTGTCGTAGCGAAAATCGATTTCTATTACACGATAAATACAAATACCTATAATAACAAATAATGGACGATAATAGTTTATTCGTAGGTAATTATAGTACATATTATTATATACGTCTATGGTAATAGTTTAGGTACTTAGTACCTATTATAATTGTCGTAGGTTCCTATTAGGCAATTATAATATGATGCTATACCTATATTATACTCTATCGCCTATTATGCGCGTATAATATTATAATATATTCATGTAATACCTTTTTTTTTTTTTTTTTTTTTTTCAGTTTTAACCGACGGCGCCGCGGGAATTGCTTTCGCATTACTGCCGCGGCGCCGCCATCTAAATTCATGTAATACCTACAAAGAACACAAACCGTGACGGGCACAGATAGTGTGAACCCTTCTCTGGGCAAATCGCCCTCGTGGTCAACCACTGCAGACGGCTGCGATACATAACATTATTAATTCGTATGATATTCGTATTACATTATGTTCATGACCAATAAGCAACATCTATTATTTTTAGGTTAAATGCGTTCACATAATATTTTAATAATAGTATCGTATCAACTGCGATTTTGCCGTGTGTTTCGGCGCGTGACCAGTTGGATATGTCGACGGTCGATTATAAGGGTACTTAATAAGCATTGGCCTCAACTGTTATAATATTGAGCCGAAATTAGATTTTTGGCAGGGAGACACGATGTTGGAAACACTCTATATTATAAAATAATATATTGTGATAATATTATATCGTTTTGATACACTTCAAGAGGAATGTAATTATTATTATTTTAAACAAAATATTAGAACTAATCATTGCATGGTTAAGAATACCATAGGTATACTATAATATAATCTGTTATTATAATATAGGTACTCTAATATTAAACACGACATTATAAATAAACAAATTGGTAAAATAGTAGGATGGTACGCAGATATAAAAAGGTTGTGAACCTCTGCTTTATTAGGTATAATATTATTAAATCGAATTGCATGTTATACAATTAATACTAATTTATTTCACTGTTTAACACATACAGCATAGTATCTACCACCGGGGTCGTTGTAGAATAATGTTCCTCTTAGAAGGATCCTATCCGAACGGATCAATGACTTCCATGTACAAGCCAGGTTATATAAGTATTTATCTCACATATCCAAACCATAAAACCTGCACTACTACGTATTATTCTATTCTGTAGTATTAGGTACCTACATTCTACTACTGCAGGAGCTACTTGCATAGAAATACACAATAAGAAATATTATTTAAATTCGTATAAACTTCGTTATTACTGTACTAAAAAGACAATAATGCTATAGACACTCATATTATTATCCATATTAACAAATAATATTATATAATATATAGTATCATCCGTTTAAAGGAGTTTTGGTATGGAATTACAAGGTTCTCTGAAAACAAAATAAATAATACTTCAATATAATTTTACTTAAAGCCACATATTATATAAATGTAATATATTTCTTTCAAATACCTAACTACTTAACTTTTAAATTAAATAATTACTTTTAGTAAAATAACCAATAGGTAATATAGGTAGGTATGCCATATTATACTATATTGTTAATTAATCAATGTTTAATTTATAATATAATATTATGACTAAGTATCAACAATTTCATTTTAGTTTTGATAAAATTTGACTACATTATTTTAGTTGTTGGTACACTAGGCAAACGATGTTTACACTACACCGCTCATATAAACTTCAAAGTTTAAAATTAGTTAAATAGTTGTTAGCTTTCAAAGATCTGATGTTGGTCAACACACAAACTTTAATCTAGAAAGTCCTAAAATGTTCGTCTCGATTTGCTAATTTGCTATATTATTTATTGTTGTATTCGAAAAACAATTCTGAGCGGAGACGGTTTGCCAATCTAGGATATTTTATATTATATTAATTATACATATTGTTATTGCTAAATGCTATTTTAGATTCTGAGCGGAGCGATGAATGTATTGATTTTACAATGATGTATGTTTTTATATTTTTTTTTATATTTTTGTGTCTGTCATCACGTTTTAGGACAGTAAAAGTGCTTGGATTTTCTTCATCAGTAGCTTTTCTGATAGGAAAGTGAATCTAGTTGGTACTTTGAGGGGGTCAAAAGTATAAATTTCCCAGTAGTTTTCACAAGCGCCGGGAAAAAAAATCATAAAATTTAAGGAAAAACGGGAATTTTTACGCAAAATTGGTTTTCCAAAAAATTCAAAAATTGACAAAATATGGAAAAATCACGAAAATTAGCAAATTATTTTGAGTTAAGAATTCGTAAAAATTTTTCTTTTTAAATCTAAGATTTGAAAATGAAACACAAGATTCCTTATAAGATTATCTACCTTTATCAATAAAAAAATCTCTACCGGACAGTCAAGTTAAATTTTTATGAGCGTTTGAAATTCAAATTTTTACAACATTGGATATTCACTCGATTACTCATGTAGCGATTTCTTTATTTTGTTGCAATTCAAAAACGAACAACTGTAGATACATGAAAATTTCACTGAATGTTTAAATTAGAATTTTCTATACACCATACAATTTTGAAATATTTTGACTCTTTTTGAGCTGTTTATGGTCATTTACAGCTTTCAATTTTTTTAGTTTTTTTTCTATAAATATCAATAAAGTTTTATCTGTTGGGCCAAAAAGTGTAAAAATTTAATACAAGGCTCCTGATATATTGTTACAATATCAGTTGAAAAATATTAAAAATACATAGGCACGATTTTTTTTTATAAGCATTTAAAGTTGGAATTTTGACAAAATTTATCAAAATCTCGAAAATTATCAAACGTTGGAATTAAAAAACTATAAAATGTTCAGTTTTTATAACTAAGAGTTGAAAATTTAAAACAAAGATTCTCTTAAATAATTCATACTGTAACCAAAAAATCTAAAAAATATATAAACACACTTATTTTTTACAGACATTTTAATTTCAAATTTAGACAAAATTTCATATTTAAACCAAGAATTACGATTTTAGTTATTTTGTTGTGATTGAATAATATTATTCGTGGGTACTTGAAACTTCTTAAGTGTACTATTATATATCTATGATAGTATCACGGTTTTTGTTGATGTATAACGCGTTATAAGTATCTAATGGATATTGTGATATGATTAGTTTGGAATTTATTATAGGTACCTATTATAGGTCAATTTTTTGTTTAATACCATAGATATGTATATAATATGTCTTATACATAGACTGACATACCGTCAGTAAAGTCAGTCAGCCAGGATATTACTAAGTACCTATATTTGATGATATCATTGTGAATTAAGTAGTTTGTATATAATATAACATATTTACGTGGAACCTTGTTTTAAATTTTCGATCTTTAGCTATTAAAGTTGAACATTTTATACATTTTTAATAAAAAATAACTATACTAGTACCGAGCCCGTACCTCAGGCGCGTATCCAGAATTTTATTTCGGGAGGGGCTGAACAAAATTATCAACATAGTCACACAATAAACAAAAAGTGGGTAAGTGGATGTCGCTCTGCTGTACAGTAGGTAACAAGTGGGCCACTGTAATGGATGGTGTAAAATTTGAATTCAATGATATAATATCATTGTATAAGAAAAACGATTCTAAGCGAAAACGGTCAGTCAGCCTATGATATTACTAAGTATATTTGATGATATTATTGTGAATAAAGTAATTTATATATTTACCTATTTACGTGGACCATTGTTTTAAATTTTTAATCCTTAACTATGAAAGTTGAAAATTTTATAAATTTTTAATTACAAAATATTTATTATATTTTAAATTTGATAAATTTTGTCAAAATTCGAACTTTAAATGATTATAAGAAAAAATTGTGTCTATGTATTTTTAATATTTTTCAACTAATATTGTTACAATATATCAGGAGCCTTGCGTTAAATTTTCACGCTTTTTACCCAACAAAAAAAATTTTATTGATATTCATAGAAAAAAAACTAAGAAAAATGAAAACTGTCAATGTCCGTAAATAGCTCAAAAAGAAGCAAAATATTTTCAAATTTTTTTGGTGTATAAAAAATGAAAACATTCTGCAAAATTTTAAGTTTTGTGATTTTTCCGTATTTTGTCAAGATTCGAACTTTAAATGCTTATAAAAAAACTATGACTAAGGATTTTTAATATTTTTCAACTGCTATTGTAACAATATAGCAGGAGCCTTGTATTAAATTTTCAAGCTTTTTTACCCAACAAATAAAGTTTTATTGACATTCATATTTTTTGGATTTTCTTGAAATTTCAGGGGGGTCTGCAGCCCACCCAGCCTCCCCCATAAATACGCCCCTGCCGTACCTATACGATTTTAGGTGAAAATATCCGAGTACTATATTCAAAATATTATTGATATAACACCTGATTATCTTTTATGCTCTTTATTCTAAAGTAATTTTAATGAATCATAAGTTTCAAAATCAATCAATTTGTTAACTAATGATTAAAAATGTAATACAAGGTTTCAAGTAAGTAGTTCATACTGTAACTAATAAAAATAAAAAAAATATATAAACAATTTTTTAATAGTAATTTGAATTTAAATCTTGCAGGAAATTAGATATTTAAACGAAGAAGAACGGTTTTAGTTTTGAGTTATAAAATGAAAAAAATATTCGTGGGTGCTTGAAACTTCTAAAGTATATTATTATATACAAATATTATAATATACAAATAATATTATTAATTCAACTTACCGGCTACCGTATTAATAATATAACAATATAAATATAATATAATAGAAAATATTCTAGATTCACAAAAAAAAAGTGGGTAAGTGGATGTCATTCTGCTGTACAGTAAGTTATAAGTGGATCACTGTAACGGATGGTGTTAAATTTGAATTCAATGATATAATATTATTGTATAAGAAAAACGATTCTGAGCAAAAACAGTCAGTCAGCCTATGATATTAATAAGTATATTTGATGATATTAAGATGAATAAAGTAATTTATAATTTATATATAACCTATTTACGTATTGATATTTATAGAAAAAAAAAAAAAATTGAAAACTGGAAATGTCCGTAAACAACTCAAAAAGAGTCAAAATATTTTCAAAATTGTATGGTGTATAGGAAATGCTAATATAAACATTCAGTGAAATTTTCATGTATCTACAGTTATTCGTTTTTGAATTACAACAAAGTAAGTTTTACTTATTAATACTTACTACTTACGTTATAAACTATTTTTTCGTTATTTTTAATTCTATATCACATAATATATTGATGACCTCAATGAATAATGATACTGTTAGTCGTCTAAAAAATACACTTATTGAACTTAAATTATTGTCTACAAATCGCAATATAATTAACAATTTTTAACTAAAAAGAATTTAATTCTTTATTTATATTACATTAAAAAAATATTTCGCTTTGTTTTTGGGAACTAAAAATAAAAGCACGTGTCACACGAGGCCAAATAAGTATACCTATATCGATTATCTGATTATCTAAATAGATATAATCATACTATACAAAAATGTGAGCAAACGGCCTCAAATTGTTATCTATATTGGACCTCAAAACTAATACATGACTATGTTATGTCCTATCCATATCTTTATTAACAATAATTATAATATTATAAATTGTATGTTATTTGAATATCATAATTTTTAAGTAGATCAATAGATAGATAGATATTTGCAATTAAAAACAGTTAATTCATTACATCGGCGTTTCTCAACCTGAGGGTCACATAGGTCAGAAATAAATAAATGCCGATGTAGAAAACAACCTTTTATTTAAATTCAAAATAAAATTACTATAATAGTACTCTAATAGTATGGAATTTAATTGATTTTGATAAATTTAGGTTGTAGGAGGTTGACAATTATAAAAGCTGGGAACGTTAGTCACTTTTTTTTAACTAAAGTTAATTTATTTAAATATTTAATATAATATATTATAAAGTAACTAAGTTAGAATACAAATAAGTTTCTGAATTCTACCAAATTGCTTAATTAGTTAGAAGTTAGTTTGGTGAAAATAATAACTTAAGTTAGAGTAGAAGTTCGAAGTGATCGTTATAGGCACATCCCCAACTCTCAATAAGCAATAATTTATTGAACAAGTAAAATAATATATTTATATAATTTATATTATATATTATTATATTTTATCAAGTATAGATCAAGTAATATGTAGACAATGATTTGTAGTCAATAAGTGAATGTTTAGAGTTTAGACGACTAACAGTAGTGTGGTATCACCCGTATTGGATAATACGCGGTAAACCAACTTTATACCTTACCCTCGTACGCTCTAGGCTAATGACTGTCTCTAGAATAAATTCAGATTAGCACTGTTAACCTTTGAGGTACGATGGTAGCGTTTTGTCAGTTCTTCGTTTGTTTCCTAAATTGGAATGACTATTAGGACGCCACAACCAGAGCACTGTTCAGTTTATAATAAACCTCATTGACTATAGGTGTGTGGGTCTGAGCACTGTTCCAATATTAAAGGTAAGAACGAAGAAGACTTTGAAATAAAACTCAACTCGGAAACACTTTTATTATATTTAAATAACAAACACAAAATAAAATATACTTGGCGAATTCAGATCGCCTAGCCCGTACTACGATCGACGTTTCACACGTACGACCACAGTACCTACGTCCTCGCCGATTCACTCAGCGACAACGGGACTCTCCCGTGCCTGCGCGTGCGGCGGTGTTATATAGTAATCTTATAGCTGTCTCAGCACATATGCTTCACTGACCTATGTCAATGGTTTACAATAAAAGTTCCCACCTCTATTACATATATGAAATAATATTTAGACGACTGTCTACAATATACGACAGTAGGTAATCAATAGATGATATAGAATTAAAAATAAAGAAAAAATAAATTATAAAAAGTGGGTAAGTGAATGTCGCTCTGTTGTACAGTAGGTTTAAAGTGGGTCACTATATAGTGGATGGTATTACATTTTGAATTCAATGATAAAATAATATCATTGTATTCTGAGAGAAGACGTACAGTCAGCCTATGATATTACTAAGTATATTTGATATGATATTATTGTGAATAATGTAATTTATATATATCTAGGCAGTGCCGTAACTACTGCAGGTGCAGGCGGTGTAAGGCACCGCCTGATCGGCCTCACAAGTATGTATGAGGGTCCTCGAATTTTACCATTACCATACGTCCATACATAATATTATAAAACAATTGTAAAATCAAATATAAGAATTCAATCATTTTGAATTTTGTATTTTCGTGTATATATATATATAGGTCCTACTTCATTGGCTCAACAATACCTAAGTATTTATTTCTATAAACAGGCATATTGTTTATTAATAACAGTGCGGTATATATCTGTGTTAATAAAGTTTTTTGATGATATAAAGATTATAAGTGGGTTTTTATTTTTAGATTCTGAGTGGAGCAATAATGTATTGGTTTTACAATGATGTGTTTTTTTTTGCGTCTGTGTACACGATTAGTAGTCAAAATAATGCTTATTTTTCAACTTCAGTATCTTTTTCGATGGGGAAGTGAATCTAGTGGGTACTTTTGGGAGGTGAAAATTAAAAATTTCCCAGTAGTTTTCAAAAGCGCCTTGAAAAAAAAAATAAAAATTAAGTGAAAATGGTAATTTTCACTCAAAATCGATTTTCTGTTTCCCTGAAACAAATGACAGTATATACATGCAATTTTCACTGGTTGTTTATATTTGCATTTTGTGTACACGATAAAATTTTCCAAATATTTTGATTTGTTTTGAACTGTTTACGGACATTCTTATATAGTTTCCAATTTTATTAGTTTTTTTTTAATGAATGTCAATAAAACTTTATTTGTTGGGTAAATAAGCTTAACAATTTAATACAAGGCTTCTAATTTATATTGTTACAACGATATTTGAAAAATATTGAAAATCCATGGTTACAATTTTTTTTTTATAAGCATTTAAGGTTCAAATTTTGAAGAAATTTATAAAATTGAAAATGTACAAATTATTTAGCAGTTAAAAATGTATAATTTATAATTTCGTCTATAACAGATTCAGACGAATTACTATCACGCCATTCCGACAAATATACAGCATTCGCATTTCGCACACTCGATAATGCATAACTTCGGGTCTTTTTCTTCAGTAGGTACCTAAGTTTTTTAATAATAATAATGTCTCATATGTAATTAAAATAAGTATTTTTATATTTCATTTAAATAATCATCAACCACTTCGTTTTTAATATTATTGACACTTATTAGAAATTATATGAATATAATTACAATTGTTTTTAAACTTTAATCACGCGACACCTGTATTACTATATTTTGTTCTATAACTTAGGATACTAAACTCATTGTATCCATATCTAATGATAAATGTATAATATACTACTTACTTATATACTAAGTACATATGAGACAGAGTATATAAATATTTATAACTAAAGTGATTGACGAACGATATATCCAATTAACTATCTATCCAAGGAGCCAAATTGAGTTTTGTTATTGAGTTGCAAGATACCAATGGGTTTCTAAAAAAAAAACACAATAAAATTGATTATTTGTATGTATGAATTCAGTATCACATTTTCATTGATAATGGTAATCATCGAGTATTATAGTAATAATGTTATCGAATCATTTTCCATTTTTAAAAATTATTTTGGATGGCAGACATTTAAACTGTACCTAATACAATATTTGATATTTTATTCTAAATATTTAAATACCTACGGAATGGAAATCATAATATATATTTTAATGATACAATTTTTCAAAGACCTGTGTATGTATTGTATAAAGTTAGGTGAAATCCAATCTAAATTGTAAATAATAACGTTTGAAAGTACTCACCGACCACTGGGCACATCAAATGCATTCCGTTGTATGAGACGAATGTCTGACGTCACACACATTATGAAAGCCAATGTCGTTTTTCGTATTTCTTTAAGTTGGTCTGTTTTAAATAGGTATAATAATAATAAAAAAAATATATCAAACAATTATAATGAATATAAAAACGCAGATAGGTACTTAAGTTATATTATAACCGTCAACGTTACCTAAGCTAAAAGAACCCGGTTGTTTTCCAAATTCGTAATAAAATCTGTCGCCAAATTTCCATCTGAAAAACATTTCACCGATAACGCATTGGAATGTGTGGCCAAATATGGATCCAGGTTTTTGTTTTTCCAAAATTCCAGCTGCGTAATAGTCAACATCGTCCACGTGTTCATAGATGCTAGCTAAGGCATCTACGTTCTACATAACATTTTTTTGATTTATAAAATAATTTTATATATAAGACGAACGTAAACATATTATGCATGTTTTATGCAAAGGTGGGCATTAACTTGTTAAAAAGTAAATTTTTTTTAAGCTCAACTAATTAGTTCATTTTCTAATCAACTTATGAATTAAAATAGTTGAATTGAATGTTGCGCCTACACAATTTAGCTTTTTTCCGTCGATTTAAAAATAATCCATCAAGTTAAAATCGTTTCGTTTTTATGGTTTTACTGTTTTATAGTACTTGCATATTATTAATACCTACTTAAATAAAAATAATCCAATACTATAATAATAGAAACATTTCTGTTATATTTCTTAACAAAATTATTTTGTAAATATATAATATATATTAGTAGATTAGATAGGCATAATATTATTATATAAAAAAATTATTATTTTTGTTAAATTATTCATTTCGATGTGATAAAAGTTTAAACATTTAATAATTATTCAAAGTAAAATAAGTATATGCACTGCACATTAAGATAAGAGTTCAATAAAATTGTTTATTATATTTTAGGAAAGCACGCAGGCACATTTTATGTGATCTACATAATAATTAATGAAGTAAATTAACTTTTTTTAAACTGAATTAAGTTATTGTTTTTTTCCATAATATAAAATTTTAACTTATCGAGTTAGATTTACGAATCGTTAACTTCGGACTTATCGATCTTGTGTTCTCTTAACTTAACTTAACTTGATTTAATATTATTTTCATTAACTTGCCAACCTTTGCATTTATATGTATTAAACTATTAAATTATTAAACGTATTTACTTTTTTGCTTATTTGATCGGTAAAGTCTCCAAACGTTCTAGCCGCTCTCAATCCACACAGTTGTCTGAATTTATTATAAGGGGGTTCACCGAAATCTCTGCCACGTTCCATGTCTAAGGTGATCAAGTCAGAACCGTCCGTTTTGTTTGGGCTTCTGAATAGGAATTCAGTGATCTGGATCGAACAACAGACATATTAATATTATTGTTTCAAAATAATAGTAATATATTATCCTACGATCGATACACTAATTATAATATTTTAAAGTGTTAACACACAGATAAAATACCTCTTTTGTAAAAAATTGATCTTGACCCTGCGAGTGTTGAGTGAGCATTCCTCTGATGAGACTATCATAATTGTCTTTATTCTGTGCAATGTCGGGTCTCAAAAAAATATCGCTTAGACGTAACGTAGATGTGGTTTGTCTGGATTCACTAACTAAACTGTAAAATAAATCATATTGTTGTCAAAAAAATTTAAGTCTGTTTCCGTAGAACACAATGGCGTTATTGTTATTCATATTATCATTTCATTACTCCATGGATCCTTGTATATAACTGTGGAGACCTCTATACGCAGCGGCGGTAAAACTAGTAAATGTAGTCGGGTTCAAGAATGCGTCATAATTATCGTCAAAGCCATTACTTAACGGTAATAAATTATTTGCTCTGCAATAATCTCTACCTGTAATTGATAAATTATATAATAATATTATTAACTAACAATTATGCTCATTATGCGCCTGGTATTATATTGTGTAGGTATATTAATTTGATGTCCGCACATCATTCTTTAATAGTTATATTACAAATTATTACGACTTCGTATTGGAATATATGACATATTTTATGAAAACTAGTGTTTCCAGTAATGATCACCTACCCAAAATCACCGGCAAAAATTCATTGTATGTGACATGCTGATACATTGCGATGACCAATCTCCTGGCTTCTTGGTATATTTTTTCGTCGTTCCACTTGGGATTCAATCTTTTAAACTCGTCACACAGTATGTTATGTAATCGCATTAAAGAAATTGTGTTGACTGCCATATTGGGATGTTGGTTAACTCTTGGATCACCTGAATGCAATGAAAAATGCATACAATTATTAATACAGTTGAATATAATACAAGAATTTAATACAATTAATTTATAGTAAATTATATTATTCACAGATACATAGATTTGCATAAGAAATATTATATTTACCTATTTAAATTACAAGGAAAACTGTAGGACAATACAAATTATTTTGTCGATAAACATTTGATAGAGAACTAAATATTAAATAGTTATGTGCACAATAGTAGTACTGACTACTGGGTATGATTTAAAAAAAACCACCTGTTTCATAATCTTGGAATGTGAATAATTAGTATATTATCTTTATTATTGATAAAAATCATAGTACTTTTTGTAAGGTGGGCTCCGTTGATGATAACTATTTAGTTATTATTTATTATTTTAGTTAATTTATAGTTATAGATTACCTATAAGAGACAAGAGTACTATAATATATTTATAGGTAATTTTAATATGTCTCATATTTAGTAGCTAGAGTAATTGGACATTCAATAATAAGTAAGTTTATGTATTATACATTTGAGCTCGTGTAAATTGTTAAACAGCCTATTTAAAAACGTATTTTTTACCATTCGTTACCATTTTATATCATATTGTAATTTATTAGTATATCAATTGATAATAAGCCTACAAATTTAAAGAATACATTTTGTAATTTATAAAATGCTTCATAGTATATTCTAAAGAGAAAAATAAAATGAAAATAATATAGGTACGTTACTATATTGACTATTGACTGTGTCAGTTCACACAAGTATTATAATATTATAAACCGTTTATATTTTCAATTATACAACTTGCTTTAACTGATAATATTCAACTATTCAAGTGATTTTTGTCTAAGGGAATACTATAAGTCTGTAACGATTTAATCAATATGTTTTTTGTTCGTTGTTAGTACCTACCCAGCTTAATGGGTAGATTATTATGACCCTACCTTAAGAAGTAGATTATTATGACTTATCAACGAAATGGTTTTTATACTATACATCCAAAACGAATACAAATGATTTTTAAAAACTTATTAAACAACTAACTAAACAAATTAATGGACCTTGAACGATTTTAACGAACATAATATTAATTTGAATTACCCGAAGCGTAGCACACCGAGTTATCTGTAGGTACGTTACACGATTGTGTTGGTTTTTTGACATTTGATAAGTATGATTTTCCATTAGGTCCAAGCTGTGTTTTAAGCTTGCCATTAATAAGTGTACGTAAGCTTCTTGCTGTAACAGCATCTGAACCGTACAACGCAGAGCAGTCAATAAAACTGCTAACACCAATAAGCTAAAATACAAAATTGCATTAAGAAAAATATAAAATTGTTCATCTCTATACCTAGGTATATGCGTGAATACTTTATATGGGGAGTGGGAGGGTATAGTTATTAGTTTATAATGATTCGGGTACACAACGTAACATTATACTCTAAAATGTATGGGGGACTAACAAAATTCCGTCGGGCTATATAGTCCTTATGCCCTCCCCCATTCCACACCAATGATTGTAGGCAAAATGTATTCAACTTATAAGTCTTATATTATTTTTAAATGTATATAAATGTGTACAGTTTTGAAAAATGTATTATAGATCATGATGCTTACTTGTCTGACTGGTTGGATCTGACAACCTATGTCCGATGTATCAGCTGATCGTGGAATGGACAAGCATCGTTTTTTCGAGCCAGGGTCGTCTTGAGGGATAGTTATCGGAAGGCACCCTTTCGGCAGAAATTTTGGAGTCGTACCGTCTGGGTTACAACACTCGAGTTTACCGCCATTTACTACAATACGACACATTTTTATTATTAAGGCAAGTTTTGATAAGCTTATTGCTGATTAATACATATTTTACATTCTTACAATCTTTCTATTGAGTAATCTAAAAATCTAATAAAATATTATATAAATAATTTAAAAATATTTTTCGATTATTTACATGTTAGACTTTTACAGACGAGCTGCTATGACTTTTGAATACTAAGATAAATAAATATGTAAGTACACAGTTGTCGATGATCTTAAAAAACACTAAAATGATTCATTAAAAATAAGTATCAATATTTTTAAAAATCATCAACTCAATTCAAATATTAGTTAGTTGTTGAAATTAAGAACTTAAATTAGATAAAAAGCCAAAAAGGTGTCAGGTAATCTTTATCTTCCACGGGTATCTAGCTAATATTAAAATATAAAATGTGTTTAAGAGGACACTACGAAGCCATTTGTTGTATAAGTCTTAAAGATGCGTAACAATAGCAAATTTACATTCAGCAGATCACGTTTGGCCCCGTTAGCTTAAAAATTATAGTGAACCGACCTATTATGAAATTCGAAGGTTAGAATATTATCCATGTTTTTATGTGGGTTTTTTACGATATTTCAATTTTTTAGCAAGTTATGCATATAATAATGTAGCGTAAATTAAAAATGCTCATAACTCACTTAAAAACTGAATTAGGTACCTTAAAAAATCCACATACAAACACTGCAGATGATGTTCTTACCATCGAGTTTCATAATAGGTCGATTCACTCTACTTTTTAAACTAACGGCGTTAAACGTGATCTGTTGAGCGTAAATTTTGCCATGTTATACACTTGTAAGACGGAGACAACAAAATATATTAATTGTGTAGCGTCCTCTTAATAACTATTTACTTATTGAAAAACGGTCCCCTTACTCATTTTATATTAAATGCATTGTTTTTAAATGTTTTAATATAATTTATTGTTTGCAGTTACATAAAAATAACTATAGCATGTATGTCTTATAATAATATAAATATTTTTAGGTAAGTACGCACGGGTGGCACGACTATATCAAATACGAATACCTAATAGATAAGTGGATTCGTGCAAGGCAATATAATATTATGTCGAGTACCTATACGAAATACCAACGAGTCATCACTCATTACCAAATATAATATCTGTTTTTGTCAAAATACTACATTTTTTTTTTTAGATACAATTGTATTTATGAAAATGTATTATCACGCTGTAAAACATAATATTATAATAATACAAAAAAGTTCAATTTATTTTAGATTTATTAGTATAAATGTATTTACACACACGCTTGTTTTTTCGTAAAATGATAATATAATATTTTTTTTTTTAGTATAAAATACTGTTTTTGGAAATGATGAAACATTTTTTAATTTTTAACACATCAAATGTATGAATATATTTTATTTTTTAAGATAATACTTCATAGCTTGATTAAAATAGGTATTCACCTGAAAGTTTAGGAAAGGCCAATTCGGTGTCGTGTGCAATCATTTGTCCGAATTGTGTGACCAATACATTATGTTCTGGTGCAGGTTTCTCCATGTCTAAGAATAAAGTCGTTCGTACGTGTCTGGAATTTGGCAATTCGCGACCAGAAATTGCTTTTCTTTGCTGAGATTTACCTTAAATTGTATTATGACAATGTATATCATTATAATTTTTTTTATGATTGATAAAATATAGGTATAATTTTAAATAATATACAACAATAATATTTTTACTGCATAGATAACTGCACTATCAAGGGAAACTAAAATAATAATATTTTATCTACACTATAGTTTACCATCCAAGTAATTTGCATTGATAATTCGGGTATTCGCTGTATTCGCTTGTCCCCAAACAGGAAAATTCAAATTGTTACAACCGCCATCTATGGTTCTAAATGGTGCATCGGGATCACACCTGGGCTTGGGAAAACATCGATCGGCCAGGTCAACGTCTATCGGATTTAACAGTCCAACAGATTTTGATGGATCCATTAGAGATCTAGTGAAAATGTAGAATACAATAGGTACAATGCATTAATAATATTGTGAAAAGCAACGTTGATGCATAGTTATTATTATAATTCGATTTTTTTTCATTTACGGTATCTTAGCTGGATTCGAATCTACAACTGCAGGCTCGTCTCTCATTACTGTCACATTTTGAATTCCTTCATCCCGAAAGAAATTATTGTTTTTCTTAAGAGCATTATTTTTAGCATGTAAACACCGTGATTCTGGACGGTTATTTCTATCTAATTAAATACAATTACGAACATGAGTTATTGAAACGTCAAACGTTATAATATAATATTTTCTTTATGTCACCTTTTTTAAATTACATTATTTAAGCTAATATATTCACCTGCGTTGAGTCTGGTTTCTTCATTTTTACGGGAATCACACGATACACAAACAAATAACACGAAAACAATAATGATTCTTTTCATTTTATTTTAGTAACAAGTGTCAACAATGCGACGGTCACAACTGAAATGCATCGAGGTCTTAGCAGTGTATGTATGGATTGTTGTAACCCTACTTAGCTATTTATAGGATTGAATTGTTAAATATTATGCTCAAACAATACTATCTTGCAAATTGTATCAAATCGTTCTTAAACACATGCCATTACAAATAATTACAATGGCATTAAAATTTAAACTGTCGCGGACATTAAATTGGCGCTCGTTACATTAAACACAATAATTACTACTTTTGGTAAATTAACCTTGCCCGGCCACGGGTACCTACTTATGAGCGATTATCGCTATTCATGCAAATTTGTTTAGGTAAATATTTATAATTACACAATTTCTATCATATTTTACATAGTTGAATTTTGGTCTAGTTTAAAAAATAAATTAAACACAACAGTAAAAATATTATTATGCATTATTAGGATTTATTTCAACGTATTCAAACGTAAAATTAATTCGTAAAAATGTGTGTTTACTCCTCCTCATACTGGCAGGTTTAACGGTTTCGGCAATTGCGATAGGAATTCGGCTCGGAACACATGAATTAGAACACGAAGGTGATATTTTATTATTTATATAAATTTCAATAGTGCAGTGGTCTTGAATAAGTAGGTAGGTATTTGAGTTACCACATGAATTTAACAGATTATAAAATTGTATATGTTTACGAGTATAACTTTATAATAATATTATATAACAATTTACATATTTCAGTATAAAAACTATTAAAAAATCAGATTTTAATAAAGATTATTATTATATTTTTAATTTAGTTATATTCATTGTCTTAAATATTCGTATTAATATTCTAATTATTATCAAGAGTTATATGTTATTTTAAGATTATGAAAAACTACAATAATAAACATCAACATAGTCGATAATTTAAAGTTTATCACTTGTACAGTACAATGTTATAATAGTCACGTCCATCAGACAATAGTTTTAATTTTGACAGAGAAACAATAAAAACATAAAATATTTCAGCATTAAAATAAAATCAACACGTATTTATCATTAAGTAATTATAGAGGAGCAAAAATTAATAAAAGGTTACAATCAATAAAAACCAAAAGTATTTTTTTATAATTTATTTGGACAAAAACCTATATAAATTATGTACATTTTCCAATTAAAAGTATAAAGTCGAAATCTTCGATATTACAAAGTCGATATAAAAATTTTAAAAAATATAAATCAAATGATATAATATGCATGTAATCAAAATATTGAAATGTTATATTTTAATCTTCTTTCCAGGCCGACAAATCGAGTTTTGGTATAGAGTTGCAGGTTACCAATGGATTACTGAAAAATTATAAATACCATATTATTACAATTTACAAATTACATAGTTTTTGTTTACATATTTTATTTTTTTATTTTCTATAAATCAATAATTAACTTGATACTGATCTCCTATATGAGAACTTATTAGTTAAACGCCCATATCCCACAGTTCATAAAATATCAAAATTAAAAATAAGATGATTCTATTTGTCAATTTTTAATTAATATAAATTGTGGTACATACATTAACAGTTCGTCTGTAGTTACAAAATTGAAAATACACGTTTAACATATTTTTTTGTTCCTAATAATTAATAATTATCTTGACAAGGATCTACTTATAAGCACTTACTGCTAGTTACAAGATTAACACACATTACACAAATTTACCACCACTCATAACCAGTATAAAATGTAAATTTAAGAATAATGATATTTCTATTTGTCCGTTTAATATAGTATTAGATAATAATATTATAGGTAGGTACTAATACAGAAAAATTACAAAATTAGATACTATATATTGTGCAGTAGGAGGTACTCCTGACTGCTGGGAATTTCAAACATATTGCGTTGTTACAGAGAAATGTCCGATGTTAAGCACACGACAAGTGCTAATGTCGTTTTTCTTATTTCATTGAGTTGTTCTGTCCAACATACAAATATATTATTATAAACAATAGGTATTTTTGGACATTATAACATAATGGTAAGTGAATTAGCGATATCAAACCTAATTTATTATTATATTATAACCGTACAATAATTAATAATTATTATGATTGTCATATTATACGACAGCTGTAGTATATGTTACCTAATTTAAAAGAACCAATCTGATTCCCAAATTCGTAATAATATCGATCACCATACTTGAATCTGAAAAACATCTCTCCGACTACACATTGGAACGTATGGCCTAACAGAGATCCAGGTTTTGATTTTTCCAAGAGACCAGCAACGTAATAGTCGATGTCGTCCACGTGTTCATACATTTTCGATAAGGCCTCGACGTGCTTTGTTTTTCGATAAATAAAATATAATTGTTCATTAATCGTTATGGGTTTATATGAATTTATTTTTTATTCGTAAATGATATGCAAAATATTTACTTTTTTATCCATTTGATCGATCAAGCTGTCAAAGGTCTTGGCCTCGCTCAATCCGCAAAGTTGCCTAAATTTGTTATAAGGTGGCTCTCCGTAATCTCTACCGCGGTGCAATGTCTACGCTGACCAAGTCGGATCCTTTGAGTTTATCCGGAATTCTGACGGCGGACTCACTTATCTACAAAAATAATAAAAAAAATCAACATGGACATTATTGTAGTTAACTATTCCGGTTATATCAAAACGTTTTGTATCACAACCGAATATTGTATTTATGCACCTCTTCTGTAAAATATTGATCTACTTCTTGTGCATGTTGCGTGAGTAATCCTCTGGTGAAGCTATCATATTATCTTTTCTTGGACTATGTCTGGTTTGAAAAAGAAATACTGATCCGTATTCTCGATGTTTAGTTTTCGGGCTTCACTCACCAATCTGTTATGAAATAATTAATTAAATTTATGGCATAGGTTCTCTGCCCTTTCCAAGTTTCATTCCACGAGTCCAAATTTATTGGTTGTCAGATTATATGTCTTGATTTTGGGCTGTTCTCTGCTATTAAACAGAACAACTGTTCTTTGCATATTTTGAACATATATGCGTGATGCGTATAATTGCATAATTCGATTTTTGAAAATGAATTTTAAGAAAATAAATACTGAACGTTTACATTATTGGATTGTTTATTGAAAAATAGTACGTTTTCTATCGAATCTTATCATTTTCATATGACCTATAGGATAACCTATATAATATTATTTATTTTTTTTCGTTCTTATTGGTATGACACGTTTTAGTCAATGTTATTTTTGTTTTTCATTTTTCTTCAATATATTACCATTCTTCATTTTAACCTCCGGTCATTCGTGTTTCAAAATTTGAAGAACATAATTTCATTACAGCATTATTTGTAAAAAACAACACTTACAATAAATAATAATAAATATTATATATAATAATTACAATGAATAATAAATAATTAGTAATGAGTAATTTCTGATTCAATATTAGTTTCTGATTACTATGTAAAATTATTAATTGTCATGTAAAAATACAAAAAAAAATGGTTGTTGTACCTATATGTTTTTCATATTTTGATAAATAAAAGGCATATTTTTAATTTTTTTGTTGAATGTAAATCCTATGATTATTGAAATCATGATTGTGATGGACTAGTAAACAGTATACCGAATCACGGTTTGCAGTATTATATTTTCTATATACTTGCTCAATAAATCCACGTATGGAGCTATGCATTGATCTGTATGCGGAGGATGTAAAACTAGTTGTTGTGGTCGGATTTAAATATTGATCGTAACTATCGTCAAATCCATTAGTCATCGGCAGTAAATAATTTTTTCTTGCAAAATCTCTACCTGCAGTGAAAAAAAATATCATAAGATATATAATATTGAAAGAATTTCTGCAATATAACCATTTTTTAATCAAAGTATTAAGACATTAAATACATAGGTATTAAATTTGGCTAAACTAATAGCTTTCTTCCAAATATGTAATACATATAGAATACACACTATTATAGATGTATATTCACAAAGTCTAATACTCCAAAACAGGGGTGGCCAAACAATTTCGTTTAAGATCTACTGAGGGTATTTTTTTTCTTTTAGAATCTACTAATGTAAAAAAAAAGTATTTTATACTAATCATAAAGATCTGATATAAATAATAAAAATAAAGTGTAAAGTTATCTGAAATGAGTATCAAATTATAGTATCTACCATGCACAAAATTACTAAATTCACTGATTATATGACCAACATAAAATAATTGTAACGAGTTCATTTGTATGTAATTGCTGGTGCATTGTGATGAGTATTCGTCTGGTTTCTTGGTATATTCTTGAAAAATAAATAGTTACCAGTAGATAAGCTCTAAAAAATTATTATTTTCTGAAAGAGTTTCTGCCAATTAATCATTCTTTATCAAAGTATTAAGACATTAAGTAGGTACATACATAGGTATTAAATGTCGGCAAACTAATAGTTAACTCCCAAATGTTATAGACGAATATTCACAAAAGTATTATACCTACTCTAATATAATATGCAAGAATGAAATACGATTTTGTAGTTAGAATGGTAAAACCATGGTTGAAATATACAAGGTTATTGCAGATATTATACACTTCTCAATCAAATATTTGATGATAAAAACAAAAATGGCAGTGTAAAGGGAACCAATAATAATGAAGTATGTAAGCCCGGGATTTTGAATTTGTTAGCTTTTTTCGGTGTATTTTTGATGATAAGAAAAATTGATATTTGTGATATACTGACATCCCTTTACCCAGCCATTTTGTTTCTTATGATAACAATCCACGTTGATATGCAATAACCTGTATATTTCAACCATGGGTAATACCTTGAATCAAATAAAATTAGTATCTCACTTTCAAAAATCTATTAAATTCATTGAATATACGACCAACCTACAATTATCGGAACAAGTTCATTATATGTAATGTGTTGGTGAATTGCGATGAGAATTCTCCTGGCTTCTTGGTATATTCGCTCATCATCCCAACTGGGGTTCAAGCGACTAAGATCATCGCATAAATAGTTATGTAGTCTCAATAATGAAGTTGTAACAACTGTCATTTCCGGTTGTATGTTAATTCCTGGGTCACCTGATAAACACAATTACACAATAATATGTTATAATGTTATACTCGCTTAAGACATAATGTTAATTATTATTATTAAACATGGATAACATTAAAGGTTTTAAAACATTTATGTATGCTAGTAGAATTATTGAATATTAGTCGGCCGTCGAAGAATCTTTTGTATTTTTATTAGCTATAGACTATAGTTCATTCAGTTTATTTTTCTTATTATTTATTTATTATTTATATCTGCTGTTAAGTAATATTGTCGAGTATGTCATTGTAATAGATGTGTTAAATTTTAATTCAATGATAAATAATTTTATACAAAATTGATTCTGAGCAGTGACGGTATATGCGGTATAATATGTAGCCTAGCATCCTTGAATAAATAATCAAATTTAATAACTAAAATAATTATTAAAAATCAAAAATGCCTCATGTCTATAAACAGCGTTATACTTTCAATTTTCAAATATACTTTTTTTTTTGTTAAAGATAGAAAAACCTATGCAGATTGCGCAATTCAATTTTCAAACAGAAGCTCTAAAAATAAACAATTTTATGAATTTCTAATTAATTATTAATTGGAAAATTTTCGGGATTCCGTCCAAAATTCTAACTTCAGACAATAATATAAAACTTTTTTTTGACTACCCTATTCACAACTTATGTGGAATCTTGTTATATAAAATCTCAAGTATTCGAAAATATTGTCTTCAAGTGAAGGTATACAAAGAATTAAAAAAAAATCAGAATTTAAATATATTATGCATAATTCAAGCATAAAAATAGGGCGAAAATGCGTGGGTAAATATTAATAAATATGCTTAATAAATTGATTTTAATTTAAAGGCCTATATAAATACTATATAGTAAGTGCCTGGAAATATTATTTTGAAAAAGTTTGTTGAATATAAATTGTTGGAACATTTAAAATAAATGATCATTTATAAATTATTAGTACATAAACTATAAACTATTATTATAACTACATAATCCTAACTGCATAAACTATTATTATCTGCCAGTCATCAACAAAGTTGCTATTTAGTATTTATGCATTTAATAATTAAAAGGAACTGAGCAACTGACCTAGGCCCCTATTTCGAAATTACAATGAATCATATCAAATAATAAATTAGTACCTGTTGTAATTGTTTATATTAACATATTATTATAATTACCTGCAAGGTAGCACGCTGTGCTATCTTGAGTGACGTTGCAAAGTTCTGTTGCTTTTTCAACATTGGGTAAGAACGATTTTCCATTAGGTCCCAACTGTCGTCTGAGCTTTCCGTATTTGAATGTTCTTATAGAACGCGATGTTTCATAGTCTGAGCCATATAATACCGATGCGTCGATAAAACTGGAGGCTCCAAAAATCTAAAATAAATGCGAAAACAAAAATCAACAAGTGACTGTCCATTTTTTTTTTCATACAACTGTATTTTATGTCATTATTATAAACTGATGAAAATGAGAATTATATTCTAATCGTGTAGAGACTACAAACACTTTACTTAGACACTTACTTGTCTGACCGGTTTAATGTTACAGCCCTTATCCGATGTGTCAAGTGATCTGGGAACGGATAAGCATCGGTATTTTGATTGTGGTTCATCGTTTGGGATTCTAATCTGAAGGCATTCTTTTGGTAGAATGTCCGGTGTTGAACCATCATCATTGCAACACTTAACTGGGCCATGAGGTCCTTTTAAAAAATTATATCGTTTAGATTTTATAAAATATATTGAATGAGTTTGATACGTATTATTCTTTTTAATAACAATGAATCATCGATTTTGTTATTGTATTGATATATACTACCGTACATGTACAAACATGACTTCTAAGATAATTAATTGTAAATCTATTGAAAGACTTATGGAAATAAATGTTTGTTTTATAAATAATGCATAATATGGGTAAATGATATGGGTTATTACCCGTTTTAATGAATTACATATTTTATTAAATCCTAAAAAATAGTAAATAGTAAACGATAAACACGTACCTATACTATTAACTATTGTTCATATGGTTCGGTTTAGGTTTCAGATTTTTTAGTAAATTCATTTTGGCATACAAATCATGCTATGAAGTAGGTATTCTATTAAAGCCTGTTATACAATATAAAAATTTATTCTGACGGAATTTATATTTTATAGTAATGCCGTATTTTGATTTTTTAAATGGTAATAGGTAAGAAACAATAAATTAGTTTCTGAAAAATTAGGAATGTTATCAGGGTTGCTATGTTTCAATCATAAATTTAAAACATTTGTTTTAAACGTATTGTTAACTGTTTAAAGTGAATAAAATATATGTTCAAAACAGTGTAAAAGTGAATATTGTGTTTTTTTAAACTGTATTCTTTGTTTAAACTGTTTTTTTTTATTCAAAACGATGTTTTAAAGAAAAAAATTCTAATTTTTTGTTTTATTTACCAATTTAAAAAAAACAAACTCTGGATTTTATTATCTATTGTTCCTTTAAATATTTAAATATTCTATTTTTGAAACTTGTTATGGTAACTATTAGCATTAAGCATCAACATTTTAAAAATATCCATTGATGTTGTCGAGTAACTGTGTTGTCTTTGACCATAACCATTTTATGCTTTTATTTCAAACCGATACAAAAAGGTTATTCGAAAATAACTTAACGTTCTACGTAGTTTAAATTACAAGTTAAAAAATTGTGATTTCTTTAAGTCACTGTATTAGTGTGTTGGCTATGGCCATCACCACTATTTTGATCAATTATTTCAAATAGGTAGATAGAATTATAGAAAGATAGGTACAAAAAGTTTATAAGTAATATTATATTGTGCCTGTTATTTTTTTTTGTAAATACTCGCCTGTTTTTTTTAATAATGTGTTTTCTGTATCATGTGTAACTATTTGAGCATATTGCATGACAAATAAATTATGTTTCGGTGAGGATTTGTCAATGTCCTTAAATATGGTTTTACGTATTTTACGGACTTCCGGCAATTCGTGACCAGATACTGATTTCCTTGGTTGAGAGTAACCTTATAAAAATATGATTTCATAATAATATAATGGTGCTTAAGTATAAAATATTTTGGAAAATTCAATAAAAAATATACCATCCGAATAATTAGCTTGAATAATTCGTGTGTTTGCTGTGTTAGTTTGTCCCCAAGTTGGGTATAGTAAATTATTACAACTACCGTCTATGGTTCTGTACATGTTAAAAATATCACAGTGTGGCCTGGGAAAACATTGGTCCGCGAGACCGATTTCTTGTGGGTGCAGAAATCCAATGGACTTTGAAGGATCCATTAAAGATCTAAAATAATATTACACCTATATTATTACTAATAAATTATGTCATACATATAACGATATTTAATAATGTAAATTATAATTAAAACAAACAATAGAACATTTTATCGCGTTAACAGAATAAATAGGTAGTTAAGTTATAATAATAATTATATTTCTTTTTATATTTACGGTATCTTAGAAGGATATGGATCTAACACTGTCTCATCGCTCATTGTAAAATCTCGCGTCTCCTCACCCTGGATATTGTTGGTTTTTACCGTGTCATTTATGGCACGTTTTCTTGGCATGCCGTAAGTATCTGCAGCTTGAGAAACGAATATTATTACAAAACTATAACCTATGATTAATATCAACAAATAATTGTACATTCGACTATTTATTTACATGTTCTGGGTTCGTCGATTTCATATTGAAAATTTTCGCAGTCGCACGATAAGCTGACGAGTAAGACTAACAAAACTGTGACCCTCTTCATTGTTGAAGTTCAATAAATAACTCGACGGCTGTGTCTGATATTAGCTTTATACGTTTAGATTTCATTAGTCCTATTTAGCTATGTATCAGTTTGAGTGTTGTAGGTATACAATATGTTTACATAATTTACTATCATATACAAATTATCACGTTGCAATAAAATAAAATTACAATGTTAGCGTAAACAATACAATTGTTTAATACAATTTAATTTAAAGCCAAACTACCGTCGGTATGGTTTTTATTTCAAATTACATTGAACATAATAAAGTGCCTAACTTTTATGATTGTTGAGCTTGAGACTAATTTATAGGTATGTTAATATAATTTTTGAGTTTGATTGTTTTTATTTCATTTACGTTGACGACGTTGACTTCAAAAGTCACAACAGTGCATGTGTAGCTTAGGATAAGTGAGCTATCTGAATTAGTTTTAAAACCTTCACGTTTATATTTTGTCCTTCGAGAAATACTTACTAAGTATAGCCATACTTATTTTGTTTGTTTTTAAATTAGGTTTATTTGGAAAATACTTGTACCATATTATTATTGTTTTATGCCTGTATTATTTAATTGTTTTTATATTTTAGATTATAATCAAATACTCTATACAATATTATACCAAAATAATTAACAGGAACCTAGATATTATATAGAATGCGAAATTACTTTACACTTTACATTTTACGAAATTACACTTTAGCTATAAGAGGGTACGCAACAATTTCTAAAGAACAAAATTAACTAATTTTCGTATCGCATGACTTTGAATTTTGATTAGTTGCAAAATCAGTTTTTAAAATTAATGAATCTCCCCTGGTAGACCTGGATAGGCTTATTACACCAAGCAATTCATGTGGACGTCAGTCAACTAATTATAATAAGGAAAACAAAAATTAACAGTGTATGTTTGAATTTGACGTAACCCTACTCAGTTTTTGTCTGTTGGAATTTTAAATATTATGCTCAAACAATACTATCTGGAAAACTGTAACAAATCGTTCATGCCATTACAAATAATTACAATGGTGTTAAAATGTAAACTGTGGCCATTAAATTGGCACTCGTTTAACACAATTTTACGTTTAACACAATTTGTTATTATCATATTTTCAATAATTTAATTTGGATTTAGTCTCAAATATTAACTAAATATGCCTGTAACAATTGTATTATACATTATTATGATTTATTTCAACGCATTAAAACATAAAATTAATTCGTGAATATTTGAGTGTACTCATCCTCATATGGATAGGTTTATCGTTTTACTTAGAATTCAGCTCAGATCAAATTAACTAGAGTATTTAATTATCAATAGTGCAGTGGTCGTGAATCAGAAGGTAGGTATTTTGAGTTGATGTTTATGATTATATTATATGTAAATTTCATATTCTAATTAAAAACTATTAAATAACCAGTTTTAATATAGATTATTATTATTATTATATTATTTTCATTTGGTTGTTTTTTATTGTTTTAACTAAAAATGAATCGAACAAATAACATAATATTCTAATTATCATCACGAGTTATATGTGATATTAAGGCCATGATTCAAGAGTAACCATAATAATAAATTTGCTATATTCGATCATTTATAGTTATCGCTGTGTACCGTACATCAGATAATGATATTAATTTTGACGGAGGAAAATAAAAACATTATACATCGACAAGTGTTTATTATTAAATTAATTGTAGAGGAGCGAGTAGACATAAGTAAGAGCTAGAAGGTGATACACAGTGGCGTATATACAAATTATTTTCACTATGGGCCAATTTGGGCAATTTATCACTATCCAAGCATAGTCCGACTAACATAGCCATAATACTATACATATTTCTGGGAGCTGGGTGGTTATAATTATGATTTATGACATATACAATACAAATAAAAATTGCACAATTTAATTTTATAATAATGTAAAATTAATTTCTTAATTCTTTTTTAAAAAATATTGACAATGTCATTTATATATATATTTTAATGTTTTCTAACTGTGAATTTAACATCAGTCATCAAAACAAGTCCTGACAATCATTTCTTTGTGGATTCCTCAAAAACGATTTTAATCAACTGACTAAATTAATCATGGTCAAAAACTGTAAACAGTGTAGATATAGGTACCTGGTACATGCAATGCTTTAAGTAATTGAACCTACAATTTCACTATGGGCTCTGGCCTAGGGGGCCTCCCCCCTATATACGCCACTGGTGATACATTTATAATAAGTACACGAATACCAAAAAAAATTTTTAAAATTTATTTAGACTAAAAGCTAAATAAATTATATACATTTTCCAATTAAAAGTTTCAAAAGTCAGAATACAATATTAAAAAAAATGTATATCAAATTATATATGCATGTAATCCAAATATTGAAATGTTATATTTTAATCTTCTTTCCAGGCAGACAAATCGAGTTTTGGTATAGAATTGCAGGTTACCAATGGATTACTGAAAAATTATAAATATTATATTATTACAAATTACATAGTTTTTCAAATATCTATTTTTTTTTGTTCCTGTAAATCAATAATTATATTGACACGGATCTACTATAAAAAATTACTAGGTGAACACACATATTATTATTCCTCCATTAATAAAATTCAAATTTATAAATAGCAATATTTCTATTTGTCCGTTTAATAAAATATTACCTAATATAGAACCTATACCAAAAAAATATTTTGAATACAATTACAAAATTGATACTTTTTCGCAGTAAAAGGTACTCACCGACTACTGGGTATTTCAAACATATTGCGTTGTACAGAATAAATGTCCGATGTTAAACACACGAGGAGTGCCAATGTCGTTTTGCTATTTCATTGAGTTGTTCTGTCCGACAAAAACAAATATGACGATATGATAGAACAATATGTATTTATAACAATGGTCAGTAAATAACGACATCATAAAATATATTATCATAACTTTGTACAATAGTCAATAATTAATAATTATGTCTGTCATATTGTAGTATGATAGTAGTGTATATAGGTTACCTAGTTTAAAAGAACCAAGCTGATTCCCGAATTCGTAATAATATCGATCGCCATACTTGAATCTGAAAAACATCTCTCCCACTACACATTGGAACGTGTGGCCCAACAGAGATCCGGGTTTTGATTTTTCCAAGAGACCAGCAACGTAATAGTCGATATCGTCCACGTGTTCGTAAATCTTTGATAAGGCCTCAACATGCTTCATTTTTCGACAATAAATATAATAGGTAATTCATTAGTCGTTAAGCGTCTTCATACATTTATATTCGTAAATGATTTGGGAAATATTTACTTTTTTATCCATTTGATCGATCAAGCTGTCAAAGGTCTTGGCCTCTCTCAATCCGCAGAGTTGCCTAAATTTATTATAAGGCGGCTCTCCGAAATCTCTACCGCGTGCCATGTCTATGCTGACCAGGTCGACTTTTTGATGTCTTTCCGGAATTCTGATTGCTGATTCACTTATCTATACAAATAATAAAACAATCCAGCATGGGAAGATTATAGAGGCTAACTATTCATGTTATATCACAACGTTTTGTACGAATACTAAATATGGTATTTACGTACCTCTTCTGTAAAATATTGATCTACTTCTTGTGCATGTTGAGTAAGTAATCCTCTGGTAAAGCTATCGTAATTATCTTGTCTTTGTACTATGTCCGGTTTAAAAAAGAAATCACTTATCCGTATTCTAGATGTTGTTTTCCGAGCTTCACTTACCAAGCTGTAATAATAAATGCAAATAATGGAATATGATTATTACGATGGACTCGTACACAGTATACTAAATAGCTGTTTGTGTTATATTTTATAAACCTACTCAATAAAGCCACGTATGGAGCTATGCATTGATCTGTATGCGGCGCCTGTAAAACTTGTTGTTGTAGTCGGATTTAAATATTGATCGTATCTGTCGTCAAAATCCATTAGTCATAGGTAGTAAATAGTTTTCCCTGCAAATTATCTTTCCTGCAGAGATCAAAAATAATAATAATATTAAATTTATGCCTAATGCCTATAGCATTTTATGCATATAGTTATAGACAGTCGAACGTTGTGTATGCCCCCACGCGTACCCAAGTTACCTAGCAAGAATTATCAATTAAATAGACATTTTCCTATTAATATTTTTTAATGTAATTTTGTTGATTTGTTTAATGTATACCTTAGTAATACAATCATTTAATTTAGATTGAAAACTCACACAATTCATATACTGTGTACAATTATTTGATGTATTACTATATAATTAATTTAATTATTGATCTTACTCATTTAATCATAATAACATAAATAAATAATAATGCATTATTTAACACATAATTTTGTTTTCAATCTTCATTTATTATAATTATAATATGTCAATATGATGTACATATTCATAATTATAATTATTTACAAGGGTTGTAACTGGAATGCTTCAAAAACATGAAAAAACATTGAATTTTATTATACGCACTCAAAATAGGAAAATTTGCATCGAAAATAATAAATGCGTTAACACCAAAATGAGAAAAATCACAAAAACAAACTTAATTAAATCTCTCTATGATTTATTTTATCAATATTTAATTTAGTTTTAACGGATCAATAAATAATTTGAGTAAAATTTAAAAATTGTATTACAGACAAATTTATATTCCAAAAAATAAATAGTTACCAGTAGATAAGATCTAAAAAAAATATTATTTTCTGAAAGAATTTCTGCTAATTAACCATTATTTATCAAAGTATAAGACATTAAGTAGGTACATAGGTATTAAATTTCGTCAAAATAATAGTTAACTCTTAAATGTTATAGCTGTATAATATTCACAAACGTATTATACTCTAATATAATATGCAAGAATAAAATACGATTTTGTAGTTAGAATGGTTATAACCTGAATCAAAATAAAAAATATCACTTGTAAAAATCTATTAAATTCATTGAATATATACGACCAACCTACTATTATTGGAACAAGTTCATTATATGTAATGTGTTGGTGCATTGCGATGAGAATTCTCCTGGCTTCTTGGTATATTCTCTCATCATCCCAATTGGGGTTCAAGCAACTAAGCTCATCGCATAAATAGTTATGTAGCTCAATAATGAAGTTGTAACAACTGTCATTTCCGGTTGCATGTTAATTCTTGGGTCACCTGATAAACACAAAAACGCAACAATATATTATAACATTTCACTAGTATAAGCAATATGTTAATTATTATAATTTATTTATTGATCTTAAGCATCGACAACTACTATCATAGTCATTAGCGTATTATGTAAGGGGTTCACGGTTGGTTGATCAACTCGTGTAGGATTTGTCACTAAGAACCCGGGTGGTCATCCATCCGAGAACTAGCGTTACCGGACGATGCTTGACCTCATAACACGTTTAGTGACTGTGGCCAATCAGGAGCACATCAGTCCCCCCCCCCAATGACGACGAATGGAACTCAACGCTCACGCACACGTAGACAACACGTCAAATGTTAATGTGTTGCACGATATCATTCACACAACATTCGTTTTAAAATTAGGTAATATGCTCTCATGTATACGTTCCTAAATAAATAACAACTAGTATTTAGGTAATTAATATTATTATGTACTAAACAAAACTTTCTCACGAAAAAAAATATTCTGAATTGGTATTATTATGTTTTAAAATGTATATAATTGTATATAAATTAAAATGTATTATTTTTTTTTTTTTTTTTTTATTGATCTTTAAAGCCCGGAGACTATGGCCATTAGCTGATTGTGCTGTTGTATGTTGTAGGTAGTAGGGTTGTAATGGTAGGGTTTTTATACGTTGTGTTGTGTTTGACAGATTTTTGATTGGGCACCAGTAGGTATCTGCCAGTCCGGGTGGGGATGGCGGTTTGTTCTCCGGAACCGTGACTTGTCCGAAGAAAAAATGCCACCCGTGGCCAAGGAATCGAACTCGGGTCGGCTACGCCTTAGTCCGCTGGGCCACTTCGTCCCCAAAATGTATTATTATAAATGTATAAAATAATTAATATTAGTATCAAAAGAATTTATATTTATAAAGTTGAATTATGTAATATGTGCAATACCATTATAAAATGTAACTTAATATCTAACTTATCATCATTGAAAATTGTTTGTTGAATACATTTAAAATTATTTGATTAACTGTCAAGTTTTTTTAAAGGCATGTTTCCAAGTCGTTTGTTAAACATTAGTATATTGATGATTTATTTTATAAATTAAATTTAAAAGTACTTATTCTATAATTATTATTTATTTGCAATTATCACCAAAGTTGCTATTTATGCATTTAATAACTAACAAGAACTGAACTAGGTACGTATTTACGGTAATCGGTAAAAACGAACGGAAAAACACGACAAATTATAAGTTATCAATAATATAGGTTTTTTTTTTTTTTTATATTATTTGTTCATTGAAACGACCTCTAGGTCTTCGTCAATGCTTGTCACAAGTGGGGTAGTAAGAGATCATGTGATCTATTTATCTATGTATATATCACTATATGCATGATACTACCCCCCTTCTCCTGCAAGAGGAGGCATGTGCGGTCTTCACTCCCAGTGGAGTGGGACCTAGTTGGAAACCAGATGACGCAATCCGACGACAGCAGCGGGAAATGGTGATCGCGTAGAACCACACAAATTTATTTTGCACTGAGCTATGAATCGAACCGATGACTGTGTGAGTCGTAGTCAATTGCGTGACCACTGCGCCACTCTGGCCCCAATAATATAGGTGAATGCAATAAAATGTACATATAAAATGAAAGTGACTGCAAAACAAACTAAAACGAATCCAGCGGACGAATAATGAAACTGAGGGATAGAATCATAGATTTTCAAAGTTATTGGGACATTGCCATCCCTTTATATGGGTATTGATAACGAAAATCCGACTGGAGGTAGCGAATGACGAAACGAAATTAGCTCAAAATAACAAAATGCATTGGGGACATAACCAAAAAAAAAAATCAAAGATTTATGCAGTTACAAAATAAATTAAAAAATATATGTAAAGAATATTCAAGTGGGGAAAGATATATTCCAAATTTTTTAAAGTCTATAGCATATGCCATACGATATTTGTGATATTTGTGATTTTTAAGTTTTTTTTTTTATATAACAGCTAGCTGTACCCGGAGCTATAACATATTATATACTATTTGATATTTGTAATTAATAATTAACAATTTTTATTTTTATATTTATATTTCACCAAACTGTTTAGGTATAGTAAAATTATAGTAATATTATGCCATTATTTTATCAATAAACTTAAAAACCATGATTGTGATTTTTAGATAAAAATTGACGTTTTTTACCTGTGTCGGTTTTTACCATGACGTTTTTTTAACGCGATTCGTATTTTACAGTTAGAAGAAATCGTTTTAAATAATTAGAACCAACCTAACCTAATTTTTATATAACTTATTATAATAACTACCTGAAAGGTAGCACACTGTGTTATCTTGAGTGACGTTGCAAAGTGCTGTTGCTTTTTTGACATTGGGTAAGAACGATTTTCCATTAGGTCCCAACTGCCGTCTGAGCTTTCCGTATTTGAATGTTCTTATAGAACGTGATGTTTCATAGTCTGTGCCATATAATACTGAAGCGTCAATAAAACTAGAGGCTCCAAAAATCTAAAATAAATTTGAAAACAAAAATCAAAAAATGATTGATACATTTTTTTTTTTACTATTTGTTCATTATTATTAGGTAACTGATGAAAATGAGAATTATACCTAAATATAAAGAGTACAAACACTCACTTGTCTGACCGGTTTAATGTCACAACCCTTATCCGATGTGTCAAGTGATCTGGGAATGGATAAGCATCGGTATTTTGATTCTGGTTCATCGTGTGGGATTCTAATCTGAAGGCATTCTTTTGGTAGAATTTCGGGCGTTGAACCATCATCATTGCAACACTTAACTGGGCCATGAGGTCCTTTTATAAAATTATATCTTTTAGATTTTATAAAATATATTGAATGAATTTGATACGTATTATTCTTTTTAATAACAATGAATCATCGATTTTGTATTTAATATTGAAATATTCTATCGTACACGAGTATAATACAAACATAATTTAAAGAGATAATGGGTACAAAGTTTGTAATACAATTATTTTTATGTTTAAATCACACACAATATGGGTAAATAATATTGATTAGGTATTAACTGTTTTGATGAATCACATATTTTATTTATACCTACGAAATAGTCAAAAAATAGCAAAAAATACACACGTATTATTAATTAGGTACCCAATGGTAATATTTTAAGTGTTGGTTTCAGATTTATTAGTTAACTAATGATTGGAATATAAATCTTACTATAAAGTTTTATATTTTAGCATATTGTACATCAAATTTAAATCTGACAAAAATTATGTTTTCGTAAGACTGTATAAGAATATATAAATTACCTATAATATCAAACAACAAGTGTAACAGATAGATTAATTTAAATATTATGATATTTAATTTTTTTAAACTGTTATAACTATTGGCATTCAGCAATCGAAATTTTAAAAATATCTATTGGTTATGTAGTCACTGTGTTGGCTATGATCATCACCATTTTGATCAATTATTTCAAATAGATACAAGTAAATGCGTTTTTCATAAATGACTTTGTATTCTCCAATGATTAAAAATGTTTTTTTAGAAATTATCACCTTTTTCTTTGATTAATGTGCTCGCTGTGTCGTGTGTAATGATTTGAGCATATTGCATGACAAATAAATTATATTTCGGTGAAGTTTTGTCAACGTCTTTAAATATGGTTTTACGTATTTTTCGGACTTCCGGCAATTCGTGACCAGATACTGATTTCCTTGGTTGAGAGTAACCTTATAAAAATATGATTTCATAATAATATAATGGTTCCTAAGTATAAAATATTTTGGAAAATTCAATAAAAAATGTACCATCTGAATAATTAGCTTGAATAATTCGTGTGTTTGCTGTGTTAGTTTGTCCCCAAGTTGGGTATAGTAAATTATTACAACTACCGTCTATTGTTCTGTACATGTTAAAAAAATCACACTGTGGCCTGGGAAAACATTGATCTGCGAGACCGATTTCTTGAGGCTGCAAAAATCCAATGGACTTTGAAGTATCCATTAAAGACCTAAAATAATATGTCTATATTATACGAATAAATGATGTAAAAAATATAATAGTATTTAATGATAAAAATGTAAGTCAACAGGATCAATGTACTAAAAAGTCAACATTAGAGCACCACTCCAAGGCCACCTTAGACGTGGACGCCATCACAAAATAATTGTCTAAATAACACTTAGCACTAAGTCACCATAATAGCTTTGTCATGCATACCTACGTATCAATTAAAAATAGCAAAAAAAAAAAAAAAAATCAAAATTAAAACCGTTCTGTAAACATCTGTAGTTGTTGATAGCCACATAGGCTAGGAATGTCTTATTAGTTAACAAATGAAAAAAAAAAACTATAATTAAACGAGCAATACAACATTTCATTGCGTTATAACGAAATAAATAGATAGGTAGGTAATAATTATAATATTTATATTTTTATTTACGGTATCTTAGGAGGATATGGATCTAATACTGGCTCATCACTCATTGTGAAATCTCGTGTCTCCTCACCTTGGATATTGTTGGTTTTTACTATGCCATTTCTGAAACGTTTTCTTTGCATGCCGTAAGTATCTGCAGCGTGAGAAACGAATATTATTACAAAACTATAACCAATGTATGATTAATATCATCAAATTTTTCATTAAACTATTTATTTACATGCTTTGGGTTCGTCGCTTTCATTTTGAGAATTGTCACAGTTACACGATAGGCTTACAAGTAATAAGACTAACAAAAATGTAACTCTCTCCATTGTTGAAGTCCAAAAAATAACTCGACGGCTGTGTCGGATATTAGCTTTATACGTTAAGATTTCCTTAGTCCTACCTATTTAGCTATGTATCTGTTTGACTGTTGTATAATATCTTTGTATAATTTACTACTATATAAAAATTATTTCTAAAAAAAATAAAATAAAAAAGGTTACTAGGTACCTACCTAAACAATAACATTTTTTATTACATTTTAATTTAAATCTAAACTATACTGTCAGTGCGGTGTTTATTTATAATTACATTCAACTTAATATATTAGTGCATAGCTATTATGATTATCGAGACTAGTTTATTTGGTTATCATCAACAGTAATGTTAATACTATTTTCGAGCTTCTCTGTTTTTTTTTTCATTTACTTTGTCAAATTACACGACCAAGCAAATACCAGTTTAGGATAACTGAAGTAGATAGGTACTATATATAGTATATACTAGGTATGCTATCTGAGTGACCGAGAAACTCAATTAATTCACGTTTATATTTTGTCCTTCAGTAAAATATACTTATTTAAGTCATTCCGTACTAATTTTTTTTGTTTTTAAATTAGGTATATATTTTAACTTTGAAAATACCTGTATTATACCATTGTTATTAATACTATATGATTGTTGCACGCCGATATTATTTTATCGTATTTATGTTACTTACGCTTATCTTAGAATATAATATATAAAATGGCAGAATTAAACACTTTTTTAATACGATGATACACAACTATTTCAAAAGAATAAAATTAACTAATTTTTCTACTGCATGCGTTTGGTTGCTTGTAATAATTGGAATAAATTTGTAAGTTGTTATAATTAATGAATCTCATATTAGGCCTGGATATGCTTATCACAAGAGGAAATTTATGTGCACGTCAGTCATGTAATTATAATTAGGAAAACATAAATTGTATTTCAAATGGAACTTATAATAAATTATGTTAAGACACAAACTTTTTGAATTGTGCTTGGTAGTTTCATGGAATTCAATTACTGTAATTTAGTTAGAGTATAATAATATATTGTGTGGGAATAGAAAATAATAATATTCATAATGGCGAAAAGTCTCAACAAAAATATTTTGTAATAATTAAAATGGTTAAAATTGTTTTCGTTTGAATATCCAATTTGGCAAAATTACTATTAAAAAAAAATTAAATAAATACAAATGGTGTATAAGTGTATAACAACATGTATTTTCGATATTTTTAAAATTATGTAAAACCAACTCTTGAAGAATATTATATAAGATTTTGACCGAGAGTAATTAATGTGTAACCAACACGTATAATATAGAAAAAACTAAAAATATTAGAATAATTGAAATTCCAATAAATAATTTAAAGTCAGTCCAAATATTTTGAAAATGTAATTGTTTTTAGAAAATCCTAATTCGTTTAAATAATGATAATAACCCAAGTGTAACACACCTACCGTTCCAAAACCCACAGTACCACCCGACTCCCAATGGCCTAAGTTGCCACGGGATAATTAATAAAAAAAAAAAAAAAATAATAATAATAATGCAATATTCAATGTTTCTACAACTGATAATAATTAGGATAATAAATTAGTGACATGTGCGTTTTGAGTGACTTAAATCGCCAATAATTAATTCGTGAATTACTTAAAGGAACGCGTTTGGTTGTTACTTATCGTACCTCGGGTTAAATTGATAATTATAATACATTTACATTAGTAATGATGATCCTGGATGGAAAGCATTAAGTCCCCCACAAGTCTTGTCACCTGTTGCTTATATTTTAGGCGAATAATTGTATAATATACTCATATATACTAATAGACTTTGATTAAATAGGACCGTGCAGGTAATTATATTATACTGCTAATTGAAATAAATATATAATATACCTAGCCATAAACACACATAATATTATAATAATATTATTCATTCAAAAATTAAGATTACTGAAATTATAATTTTACTCATTATGACGAATAACCTCATTGAATATTGCAATAATAATAAAATTATTCAATTAGAATGATATTGAATTCTATTGATATATGATATATTATTATCACTTTGTTTTTTTTCAAATTCTATAAATGAAAAGCTAAGTTATTATTTGTCGATAACATAATATTATTATGTAGGTATGTTATTTATAAAAAAAAAATGTATTTTTCAATATAAGTATTGTTATACTCTATGTGTATGATATTGTGCACATGTTTCAGGCTTGAAACTAATTCTATATTTTAAATTTCTTATAATGATCATTGAATGGCTCAACTGCAGACTTTTTTTAGGAAAACTTGAATAAAATCTTCTATTGCAATTTCTAATGTTCGGTACGAACAGAACAATTTTTGTGAATCTCTAACTGAAAAATAATTTTGAAACGATCAGGAATTTCATACATTTGGTCAACATTTCAACTTTAAATGCATATAAAAATTAATCTTGACTATATGGGTATCTTTAATATATTTCAACTTAATTTTGAATGTAGGTACTATTATAATAAGTCTATACAACGAAAATGTTGAAATAAGAAACGAGACTAGCTATTGGCAATAAATGAATTTGGTTTGACGGATTTAAATTTTTAAACTGATATTCATTGATTACCAAGTTTACAAGGTTTGGGCTGAGGCGATTTTGAATGTATTTTTTTTTAGCTCTGATATCCATGAATAAAAATATGCCAAAATGTGAAGTATTTAATTTTATATTTATATTGATATAAGTGTATTACATCCATAAAAAAGGATTTATTTACTAAAAAAAATTATGAAATTCAGATAAGTGGATGTTCAGTAGGTTACAAGTGAGTCACTGTATATTGTATGTTGTTAAATTTGAATTCAACGGACAATGATATACAATCATTACAACAGGGATGGAAAATCCATGGCACGCAAAAATTAAAATATTTATTTTACATGTATATGTATATCATATCATATATTATTTTTTTATTTTTAATAACAAATATTATCAAAATTCACAATGTTAGTCCTTTTTTTTCCTAAGTAATTTTTCGTTGTTGTTACTATATAAATACTATATTTTTGTAAATTTATATAGTTATATAATATATATAATTTAGTTATCTATATTCAAATACTTTTTAAGTACTGAAATACGTATTTTAAATACTTTCTTGAAGTATCAGTATTTAAGATCAAATTCTAATTTTCAAATACATTAAAAAATACTAGTTTCTTAACTATCGTTTTTGAAAACAAGTATACGAATTCGTACAAAAAACACACACTATGAAATCGGTTCTTTTTTGGGGGGTGCTGGGGAAATTTACAAATGTTAGGAACTACATTTGTACTTGGACGTGAGGTCGTACGAATTTCGAAAATGGTCATACACATTCGTACGTCTCGCGTACTAAATGATTGGACCGAAAAAAACACCGTGATGCCACTGATTCTTGTGGGGGGGGGGGGGGGGGGGTGCTGGGGAAACGTTTCTCCAGCACCGCCCCAGTTTTTTGTTTGTGGAGCGAAAACTAAACGTTTACAAATTTGAAAAATGGTCATACTAATTGCATATTAAATATTACCACAACAAAAAAAATATGAAAATCGTATAATCGCGGGGGTACCTAACGTACGTAATTCTTAGGCCTAGTTGTACATGTTAATAAAACAAAATAATAAACAATAATTGCAAATTTGCAATCAATTTCAGTACGATACAAAATTAATCAAGATCCATCAAAATATTTCAACTTACTATAGACGGCAGTAGATATTAAATCTGAAAACTGATATTTAATAACCTTCAATTCATCATCAAACCCCATCTGATAGGTAGGTAGGTCGGTTAAGGCGTAGGTAGGTATGAAAATGTATTTAATGTAGTTGTGCATTCGTACATCAGAACGAAACCCGAAAGGTGCAGTATGTCCTGGATAACGTTTGCTTTTTCATGGGTTGGAATTATCTCTTGGGTGCTGTTGAGGTTGGTACTGTTGTCTTGGGTGTCGTTTACTTTCTCACAGATTAGAATTTTCTCTTTTTTTTCTTCTATTGTTTGTTTGTGTTTATATTTATGAATAAACAAGGTATTCGGTTCTTTTTTACAGTGATTAGAAGTGTGTCCGGTTTTGCGCATATGTAGCACGTGATCGAATCTTCAGTTAAGAATATGCTGAAATCTGTCTTGTCAGATTTGATTATTAGCGAACCAGGTACATTTATACATCATCAGTGTGTATCACCTGTTTTCTAAAGCTGCTGATGTGGGAAAGCTCATCTTGAAAGCCAGCATTTAAAAATGATATTGGTCTTAGTGTCTTAATACTTTCTAATAGTAAGTGTTCAGCGATTACTTCGTGTTTTATTATCGAGTGAGCACTTGATATTATAAATCGTTTAGCTGGGTTTACTAAGTTTCGAAATGGAATTTGATTTTCGTTTACTGATATGAACGAATAGTTTGGTAATTGGTATTAGTTCTTCAACAATATTTTAGGCTCTGAAATATATATATACAAAATCTGTTGTTTCATATACAGGACGCTAAAGTGATGTTTTTAGGTGGTGTTATTTTGCCAAATGCTTTAACGTATTCTATTTTCTGTATTTTGTTTATAGTGTTAAGTACAATGGCTTGTTCTTTTTTCGGAAACATTGTATTGGCTGTTGTTTCAAAGGTGTTTGAATTGTTTGTTTTTGGTAGTGGTGTAAGTTGTGATGAATCTTGGTTATTTATGTCGGATTAATATCCTTGGAGTTTGTATTGATGTAATTATCCTCGGTGTAACGACGACCGATATAATTAGGCGTAGCTATTACGAGTAAGATAAGATTACTTCCTTTTTTGCTGTTGATAGTTGTGTGCGTGTATATGCAGGTATTGCTATCGGGAGCTAAGAAATACGGAGCACACGTGCGCTTGGGTTGGTGGTCAAACACGTACTGTGTATATTATTATTTATTAATGTTATTACAATTGTTCGACTGATCCGCGTCCGTTCCGCAGTCATCAATTTGTTCATTTCATTAACAACATTCTCCTCAGAATCCCATGCACTACAAATGTGTGTACCAAATCCTATAAAGTGTATTTTTTTAATATTAACAGTAAACCTTTTTAAATAACAATATTTTCAATAGTCCAATACTTTTTTTTTAGTATCCATTTAAATTAATATTTTGTTCAAATATCATAAGCATTAACACATAACAAGAGATTTATTATTCTGTAATATAGACATATAGTATGATATGCTATTGTAAATTACAATTAAATATTAATATAATTGAATAATGAACTCATCCATATGTTGTATGCAAAAGTAGGTATAACATATTAAAGTTAGCAAAACAAAATTAGTTCTGCTGAACATAAATTTGCTATATTGTATGTACCTACATTAGTTATACAAATCAGATATATTTTATTGCTTTAGGCGATCAGCCCTTATTATTAAATAGATAATAAAAATCGGGTCTGCAGTTATTAGGTAAAGGAAAAAAAATTCAAAAACCAAAACCAAAAATTTTCAAAAACCAATCTTAGAACCTAAACCAAAACCATAACATGTAGAAAACCGTTTTCAAAAACCGAAACCGTAACCGTTATAATTTGAAACTCTGTTTATATGTATATGGGTATTTTGACATAAATAACAATAAACATAGATACAACATATTTAATTACACATCATTAATGTAAATATTGTACCTATTGAGTTTAAATACTTTTCAATACCTTTTAATGACAAATCGTACTTAGGATACTTTATAAAAAAAAATATTAGGGTAAGTTGACGTATATAAATTTGTCTAACTTACCCGTACTACACGAGTTTTGTGTTTTGATTAATAACTTATAAATAAACAAAGGTAGCTCAAATAAAGAACATTAAATGACAACTAAGAATAAGTGTCATTCAATTTATGAGTTAAAATATTTGAGTTTACCTTCAGATTTAGGTTAATTGTTATCTGGTTATGAAAACAGTTATAATAACATTACATTGGCTAATATTAATTTCTTTTTTTGTAAATAAATTTATTATCACTGATCCAAATAATTTTAAATTTGAGACATTATATGTTTCCAAATGTATAATGTTAGTTTTATCCAACTATTGATTATCAACTGAATAGTTATTTTGATATCATCAATTAGTCATCTTACCTAACACGTCAACTTACTCGAGCTCCTATAACTGTACAGATCTAATTAAAATTTATTTTTTTCAGGGAAACAAAAGAATATATCAGACAATTTTAAAATTATTAATTATTCAATGCGTTGTACCTATTTGGAGTACTGAAAGATAATTATAGGGGATGTACAGATTCACAAAACATAATATTTTTGTAGGTGTGCATGTTTTGAAAATAACATGCTATGCGATAGTTGATGTCATAATAAATCTTCGTACAAAATTAAATAGTAAAGCAAAACAATATATTATAAAATGTATTTTTTTATTCATAAAAAATACACATTAAGCATACATTTAATAACAAGTAAATACATTGTATTTAAAAATAAATTAAAATATAATATAATTTATTGACTTGTTATGTTGTTGATCATAAAACAGTATAGAAATGTATAGAATGGACGGTTTTTGTGAGGAGGTTTATTATGATATATTATACAGTATTTTCGTCAAAGTTCACGATCTGGACGAATTTGACAATCTGGATATCCAGTTCATAAAATTAGTGACTTCACTATGTAGATGAGACATAGGTAGGTACATATTAATTATTAGGATTGTAGGTTAGGCCCTTTTAACAATTTAAATAAGATCCATTATTTCTTAAGAGTCTTGAGTATCGGCTCAAGTATTAGTTTGTCAGGTGGGCACATAAATATATTTAGAGGAGTGGCTCTATCGTCGATAATCTATAAGAATATTGCAATTCATACATTTCGAATATATTGCTGTTGAAAAAATCGCAACTGTAAGCTATATCAATTTCATTTGACACTGAGATGATATTAGAGCGATACGGAACTTTTGGCGCACACTATACGATGAAAGTTAAATATTAAATATTTGTATGATCATTCGAAATCCCATCGCATAACCCTACCGCATTTCGAACCGGCAGGCGTTTGGATATAAAAACGATATGCATAGGTACCGATCGAAATGTCAGTTAATCAGCACAAATTATAACTATCACTAGAATATCGTTTATCGTGCACCCTACCCCTATAATATATTATACTATTTATACTTGTCCAGGCAGTAATATAAAACACAAACACACACACATATATATACACTCATTCAATGAATCAACTTCGAGTCACCACTGCAAGCGATCATTAGCAGATTTCGAAATAACAGATATCGTACTGCATATATATTTTAGTATAATAACAAGAACAATATGTTTCTGTCGAACGCCGCCTTGTCCGTGATCGCTTTCTTCTCCCTGTTCAATGTCTTATACTTGTACTCGCCCATCGAATCTGGTGAAGTCGGCCGGCTTTACAAGACGTGCGATGAATGTCTGAAGTCTGAGTGTCACGCTGAAAATAAAAGGCCGTGCTATACCAGATGGGACAATGAGTACAATTTCACATGTTTCCTGTGTCCAGATGAGCTTCAAACAGTACTTCAGCGAAGGTGAATGCAATAAGGGCTGCACGGACGAGACGATGGAATGCGCTTGCGACTCCGCTTGTTACATGTGGGTCCCAAAAGAAGGCTTCGATAAGACCAATTTGACGCCATGCTACGGAGATATAGAGGACCCATTGTGCTTATGAGTTCCGTACGGCACCACCAGCACATTCTCCGTGTGATTTTAATTAAAAAATATTATAATAGCTTGTTTTCAATTAGGTACGATATTTGTTCTTAAAAAAACAATACCCCATTACATAATTATACTATGTAATATATTATTATAATATACGCATCCGATCATCGCCGTGAAGAATTCAATATTGTTTTCATGGTTTTACTTTGCACAATATTCTCACACAATATAGGTATAGCAGTTATCTGTCGTCGTGCATAGTATTATTATTGTTTTGCAGCAGTGGCGTGGAAACTATTTTTAAAGCTACCCTCCCGATTGGTAGTATAATAAATATTATATAGGTACGACAGTCACCCGTTTCCAGAAAATTTTTCCACTTGTGTGCAAAAAAAAAAACATTGAAAATTGAAATTACGAAAATTCTTTAAATGATATTATTGTTATTCGATATTCTTCACGATTTTATCTATTGTATCATTATTATTATTGTATTGTACATAAAATGATAAATGTTTGTAATAATAATATATTATGTAATCGGTGCATTCATAACATTCAATGTATTATTAATTCCTCAATATTTAACTCCATCACGTCTCTTTGTGCTTTATTAATTTATTTTCTGAGCCTCGTCGTATTCGAATGTTGTAAAGCTGCAACTTGCAGATGCGATTTTTTTAACAGCAATTTATTTGAAATGTATGACATAAAATTGCAATTTTTAATAGATTGCAGAAAAACCCTTCTAAATAGATTTATGTGCACACCTATTAGTACCTCACATTGGTTACTTTACCGATCCCGTGATTCATGTTATGTTTGTAAATTGTGTTATCCCAATGGCTCTTTATTTTGGTTGAACAAAACAAAAACGTAGATATAAAATAGTTATATATTATATTCATGAATTCTAAATGAAATTTTTTAATATGAGTAATGAGTAACACGAATAACATGAATCACAATGGCCTAAGATGTCATGAGTTAATTAATAAAAAAAAAAATTTAAATATATAATATCTTATATAATAAAACGCTAATAACGCGTATAAGATCCGCGGGGAGCGCTCACGGCACTCCGCGTTTCTTCCATGACGACCAATCACAATACTTCCCGCGCGTTCGCTATAAATTCCGCTCGCTTATCTCCTCCCTTTTCCTTATCGACAAATATTTTCGAACATTATTATTATTATTAAAAAAAAACCCGTGTTTTTCAATTTTTTGACGTGATAATAACGTCTTATAAATCGATTACCCCGCGACCGTCGGGCGGAGTGGGGGGACCCATTAAACGAGTAATTATTTTTGACGAAGTATAACTTAGCCGGTATTCGACTTAGAGACCCCGTACCAATGGGCATCTCAATTTTTTAGGCCCCAGATGAATTTTCAACATTAGGGAACCAAAGCCCCCACCCCCCCCCCACATTTTGAGTTGAGTATAACTCGGCCGGAATTCAAGTTAAACACCTCGGACCAAGGGGGAACCCATTCTTTTTATGAATACTACCGTTTTCCGCTTTAGGGGACGGGGGCACCTCCTCCCCCCCTTTTTGGATTTTGCATTTTTGATGGATTTTGGTCCGGGAGAGTACTAACACCCACATCGCCAAGGGGAAACTCGGGGTTTTGAGTTTTTGATAGGATTTATTGGGATTTTCTTAAATATTGTTTTTATTGATAAGGAAAGTGATAAGAATTTTATTTTATCGCCGCGAGCACGGCGACGCGGCTTAAGAGTCATACATTTGCCTCGGAATTTCATCTGAGTAGGTGGCTAGGTTGGTTAGGCGTTAGGATAGGTGACTCGAGGGTCGTGGGTTCGAAACCGCCTCTGGGATTATCGGTTATTTGCGGCGGCCGTACTAAATCGAATTTCTTATTTTTGCGTTTTTTTTTTCGTCACATTTTTTTTTTTTTGGCAAAAAAATATTAATATATATTAAAGTAGATATTTTAAATTGTAACTAAATTGTATAATGATACTGTACTATTTTATAAATAATAATAATAATACTTGATTTTACCGTGACCAACGCACCTATATGTTTCTTATATAAATACAATATAATATAACTAACCTACATGTAGTACCTACTTGATATATTACAGTTTTTAGGTTAAATACTGTTTAATACGGTATTAATAAACTAATAGATCTAATAGAACTGATTAAACTCTGGCAGTTAAATAGTACGACTATATGACTGCTCTTTTTGCCGTTTTTTTTGAAAATTATAGTTTTAGCCCCTTTCGGTCATATCACCCTCCCCGTCGACTACTTATTCGCGTTCCCTGCTATATTTATAGCCACAGACGAGTCCCGGGGTGGAGTAGTGTGTCGGAAACGAGAGTAGGTACCGTGTAGGTATCGCTATATACAGGCATATATACGCATGTATATACATGCGCCTCGAGGTTCGATTTTTTTCGCAAATCTCGCGTTTTGAACGTCCGAAGGTGGCGGACACGGTGGTCCGCTCAAACGCCCTTAAGAGTCATAGATTTGACTCCTAATTTCATCTCGGTAGGTGGCTAGGTAGGTTAGGCGTTAAAACGGGTGATTCGACGGTCGTGGTTTCGAACGCCGGCGGGGCCGTGTTAAATCGAATTTCTTTTTTTTTGCGTTTTTTTTTTCGTCACATTTATCATTTTTAACGAAAGTGTTATTTTTTTTTTAAATTTGCATTATTATATTATATATATTATTATTATTCGTTTGACGATATTTATTGGGCAAAAAAATAATTATAATTAACATTTACCGACGCAAATACATGTTTCTTTTAATAATACATTATAATATAACTAACCTACGTGTAGTACCTACTTGATATATTACAGTTTTTACGTGATTCCGATTTGGTTAAATACTGCTACAGATTATAAATACTATATTAAAAAAATAGTACGACTGTAATATGACTGCTTCATTTGCCGTTTTTTTCGAAAATTCGAGTCCCGGGGTGGAGTAGTGTGTCGGAAACGAGAGTATGTATAGTGTATTCATTTATAGATACCTACGTTTAATAGGATAGTATTACATTTCAATAAAATTTGTTATTCACCAATATAATTATCTATTTGTTAATTTGACTTAATTCTCATAATTAAATAAATATACAAGGTAGGTATATTTTAGAAAATATCCAATCAGAAAATTAGATTTTGTCGACTTATTTGTTATAACCGCGAAAACATAACAATGATTACATTGATTACAGTGAAGCCCAACATAAAACACCTGATAACTGTTCTCTATAATTATCAACAAATACAATTTTTATACCTCCTGTATACTTTTTCATATTTGAACGGCCGTTTCGAGCACTTTTCGCTGTAGGCGGATTGTCCGTTCGGGAATCGGATTTCACCCGAAATGACTGATAACTAGACACTCAAACTCAGAATCCGAATTTCCGATTTCAACACACACACGAGAACCGGACACACACGCCTGGTGCATGGTCTGCGATCCGACGTAGTCGGATTGCCTACCTGACTAGGTACTTCCATACTAGCGACTTACATCCCCACTGCATCTGACACTCGGGAATCGACTGTCACCCGAGATGACTGTTAGCTAGATACTCAAACTCAGAATCCGAATTTCCGATTTCAACACACATACGAGAACCGGACATACACGCCCGTTGCATGGTCTGCGATCCGACGTAGTCGGATTGCCTACCTGACTAGCTACTTGCATACGAGCGACTTACACCCCCAGTGTCCCCCACTGCATCCGACACTCGGGAATCGACTTTTACCCGAGATGACTGATAGCTAGACACTCAAACCCAGAATCCGAATTTCCGATTTCAACACACACACACCAGAACCGGACATACCCGCCCGGTGCATGGTCTGCGATCCGACGTAGTCGGATTGCCTACCTGGCTGGCTGTGTCGTACGATCGACTTGAATCGCGTGACTTAAGCCGGATTTACACGATGATAGTAAGACGCGATAGTTGCTATCGTGATAATGCCTGATAGTTATTGTCATGAAAGTGAAGTATCCATACGATGATAGAACGATAGGACTATCACGATAGAACTACCAACTATCATGCATGCTTGATAGTGTGATAGCACTATCGCAATAGTTCGATAGTTACGATAATTACGTTTACACGATGACACTCTCACGAGAGAAGCTATCACGATAGCAACTATCGCGTTTTACTATCATCGTGTAAATCCGGCTTTACGACTAGACACTCTTCCAAGTTCAAAAATTACCGCTTAACCAGTGCTGCCAACAAGACAAAACACAATAACCGACGACCCCCCATTCCCGCCGCAGGCTGGATCAAAAAACCCAGCATCGCCGACAAAGATGCACCACCGCCCACACAGTCTTTCCGCCGTAGGCGGGATGACAAACACCGGAATCTAGTATTTATAATAATTAAACAATAAATACGTTTACCAAATTCATAAATAAATGTATATTGAATTCAAAAACAAGTGGTTAAAATATAAATCAGAATTAAGCTCAGAAATAACTAGACATTACATAATATATATTATAGTGTACTTATATTATTTAATCGAAAAAAAAATAATGGAGGTTATGTTATTGTACAAAAAAAGAGTTCAAAATAACAATTCTTCATAAAACAAAACACCAAATTGTGTGAACTAATAATTTTAAGTACCTACTTACTTATAAACTTTTCTGTCGAAAATAAAGGCTAAAAACAATATTTTGGTTTCAGAATGGTCTGAGAGTGGTATTACTTTTGTGTAACAATTTGGGTAGAGTATACATTGTTATTGCAATATTGTTTCATTGGTATCAAAAACTTTTAACTATATACTAAGTTCATACTTCGCCAAGTAAGGAACACAAACACAAGTAGTATTTAACATCGTCGAGTTTTTGAGTGTTCGGTATATCATATTTCGGAATATAAATGAAAATCATAAGATTACTCATTTAGTGGCCATCAATAACTAACACGATCGAATATTCAACGCGAGTAATTCTTTGCA